TTTTGTCTCTAAGAAGACGCGTACGACATTTCTAGACGGCAAGACACCAATGATTTTTGCACTGCAGGTATGTTGATATATAGTGCTTGGATGTTTCAAAGTAGAGAAAGCTGTCAGATCATGATTAGAACGTCAGAATAACTTAAAGGTACACTTGCGAAAGCCCAAGGCTTCGATTCAAAAACCCAAATAATATGGAACTCTTTATGGCTCTTTTTGCAGGGCTAAGAATTTTCAAAGCAAACGGATTTCCGTGAGGTCTAAGTGATTATTCTATAAGCAGTAATGTCAGCATCCAATCTCAAGTCGAACAAAAGGCAAGTCGGGTGGACTGGAGTACCATAATCGGGCCATGATAGAAAATGAAACTGACAAACTTGGCGCACTTCCTCGCTTTGATCCTAGGCAAAGAACACAATTTTTTGAAAAAATGGAAATGGCAATGGCATAATAAACTATTTAAAACAAAATAAGGAAAGCTTAGAAGTTGCAAAAGTTTGAAATTGGCCAAAAAGCCTAAGCATATTACAGCTTGCTGAAACAAATATTGTTGTGTTGTTTTACTGTTTTTAGTTTGTTACTGTTGTACTGTTTTGGTTTACTGTTGTGAGCATCATTAACGCTACTTCATTTCTTCGCGGATTTATATTGTAAATATTGCTTTCACTTCGCCGTTTTATTTGTTGCCGTCTCTTTCGCGTTCGCCATTTTGTTTCATTGATAAACATAGACAAGAATCGATATTACTTTTACACAAGGCAAGGATCAATATAACAATATATTATTGATAGATTTTGGCTGCATATGCAAGACCTATTAAAGTCTAGAGAGAAATTTTAGTGAAGCTCTTGATTTCACTCACGTGTCTTATATCCATCGTCCTGATTATGTAATTAGCAGTTTTGTCAGTTGATACAAGAGCTACAGTTATTCCTCCATATCTCTCCTCCCCGACAGTAGGCCAATATTGATTGCATTTTGCCTAGAAGGAGATGCTTATGAAACGGATGATTGACTGTAATGGCCAATCTTTCATGACATTTCATTTTAATGAAATTTCATGTAATGTCGAAGCTGTTTGCGATTTTTTCTATGGTGGAAAACATAAAAAAAATCCACAGAAAGTCGAGAAAACAAACATAGGTGTTATAGAAAAAATTAGATCTTTCCTAATTGAACGATAATAATTTTGCTGAAGTAACGAAGCGAACTGAATCCAATAATACAAACTAAAGAGCACATCAGCTCTCTCACATTTCCACACTATTGCATACTATTGGTACATTAACTTGATTGTATCTGGGTTTGGGGATAATGCAAGGGAAAGTATCCTGGGCGCTTTATATGAAATGCTCTCTGTTAATTTACTTAATGAATATATAGATTGCAAAACATCTTACTCGACCCAGCTCGTGGAGATTGGTGAGGCAAACTATTGTGCTTGACCGCTCTTGCCAAATCATTCGCCAGAAATCAACAATGGTCTCTTCAGTTGGGCCTAAACACAGAAATCGTTACTTAATAATAAATCATACTGAATTCTCTATTGATACATGCAACTATTTCATCTTTTATCAATATTCAAATACAAATCCAGGGTGAAAAGAGAACGTACTTAAGAGTCAAGGATAAACACATTGTTTCAGAAGCAGAGGCCTTCAGGTTGTTAACAAGAAAATATGGCAAGAAGCAGGCAGTAAAAATACGAGTTGAATTCCTTTGTTCTATTACAAAGGAATATATGCATAGATCAGTGAGTGGATCAGATCAAAATGCATCGATGGCAGTGAGTGTGTTTTAATCTAGTCTTTTACATTTTACATCAATTTCTTGAGTTCCCATTGAGACAGAAAATTTCTTAGTTGGCAATGGTAAGATCTGATGGAATGTAGGTTAAACAGGTGTGGTTCAGGGGCTGCAAAATGACTCTTTAGTGTTCAATTTTACGGGCGTTTCAGAGTTAAAAAGGGATTACTCAGCAATTGGAAAAAACTTTGAATGCATAGCCTTATTGATAAGGATCGTGTGAACAGCTGCTTGTGAGCGGAAATAAGTTTTATAAAGACTGCATGGTTAAATTATCCATTGCTTGCTTGAACTCTTTATTGGTTTAAGTTCTCTTCTGTGGCTAGCTCAAAGCAAAACTTATTGGCAATAATGTTTCTTTCATATACCAATGGTTTACCTTGGGTAGCTATGTACTCCTCCGGGTAGTGATAGCCCTGAAAGGCAATATTGAAAATGATTCATAAGGGTTCTCAATATAGACACCAACAACGTATTGTGAATAGAGGTAATACCTAAAGACCTTAGATTCACTTTACCTATTACTTTCATCCTTTTTCTTAAAGTGGTTTTATTTCTCTTCAACATATACTCTCAGAACAGATGTTCTTGCAAGTAAAAAAAAATCAAATACTGGATTTGAAAGATAAAAAATATTTGGCTTACTAACATCGATATAAGACGCATTGATGTAATCGGAACCATTCATGTCACCTGGAACTGGTTTCAATATTACCCTTGAATGATCGTCTGTAATAGAATCAATGTTTAGATTAACGGACTGGAAATGTACTTTATAAAGGCTTGAAAGAGAGAGTTGGATCCAAAGGAGGCAGATAAAACAGTGGGGCTTTGAATAATCTAGGAATAGGACTCATCCTACAGAGTCTTGTTTCGTTAGTTTCAGGCTTCAGTTACTAAATCAAATAAATATCAAACATTCATCTAAGGATGTTTAAACAAGATTACCAAGAAAGCAGATAATTCACTCATAACTCTTTAAAAAGTATTAGAACTGGAAAACAACAGCTTACATGCAGCGATGTTGGCATATCTATTTTTAGATCTGTTCGATGACTTCATAGCAACATCCCAAGTGTAGATCTGACCCACTTTAAAGTCCTTGAGAGAAATGACAATTTATGACTTGCAGAATACAGATTGTTTGAGACAGCATTGTTAATTTTGCACAAAAATTAATATGATATTTTGGAAAAAGTGGTAAATCAACGAGAAAAAAATTGCGAAGTGTTTTCTTTCAGAGTACATCTGTATCAAAGCGTTAGTCGTTAGGCAAGTATAATTGTTGGTGTTGCTTTTCACTCTGACACACTGTGTTTATAAAATATTGCCTTTGCATGAACCGCAACATTTGCAGTGGCCAATAGGTAGCGCAGCTTGTTCTCCTCTAAAAAATTAGCAATCCTTCCTTAGGCTAAGGAACTTTTTATTAAGTATGTAGATTAAACTAAAGTATTTGCAATGGATTACTGCGAGTTATTTGCTTTCAAATGACCTGGCAAAAAGCAAAGGGTTTGTGCTGTGAGAGATAACTTATGGAAAACGTTATCTTTTTCATAATGAAACTGTGTTATCGGATCCGTGGTTCATGGCAATACAATTATGATAATCATGACATCAATGAGACACTGAGAGTTTATTAGACAAAATCAAGAACATGGCAGTCTCACCTTGTACTCGTCTTTCAGTTTGATTCGGTTATTTGCTTTGAGATCATTGACATGCTCTTGAAACCTGTTCACGGCGATGGGAGGATGAGCTGGGTCACATGGCAGCGATGAGGGAGGAGGAGTGCCTACAAAGCAAAAGGAGCCACCTTGAGATACCGGCATTGTCTTCTACTTTCAGAAACGGTATATAAAACTTCTCGGTGACTTGAGATTTCAGACTGTTGAAAATAAATCTAATTTTCCCCACCAATAGTCTCGACTATCCATAGTTTCTGTCACGTACCTAGCAAGGAACTCGAATATTTACCAATTAGGTGGGGTCCTTAAATATAAATGCAGTTTAAATAAAATTTAATGTTTCTTTAATGATGAGGATAAAGCAGAAACGTACTACACGGTGTCATCTTCCTATCGCTGTTATTCGTGAATTCGTCATCATCCGAATGCTGGTTGTCTTTGGCTTCATTCTCTTCCATGTCGATGTCGTCAGTGTCGTCTAGCATTCTCTCCTCCTCAGCGCCCATGTTTCGCTTGACGCCATCCATTTCAACATCAATGTTTTTCAGTCTTTCCTTGTTCTCTGTTTTGCCTAAATCGTACTCGTTTGCCTTCATCCTTTGAAAATATGAAAAACTATTGGTACAAAAAGCGCCTGACAGATACTACAGATGGAGGATTTCAAAATCAAGTGCAATAGATTTTGCAGGAAATGGTTTCAGCTTCAAGCAAAAAGTATTGTCTCAAATCCACGCAGGGTCGGAATTAGGTCAAATTAGGTCCTGCGCTACTTACGTTATGAGGTCCTTCACTTAGACCTTGAAGGAGTTAGGTATAGCAGCATCCAAGTATAGGCATAATGCATTTTAGTGGGATTTAAATCTTTTTGAAAGGAAAATGGGGCCCCTAGGCCAACGGTGTTCTGCGCCTGAGCACAACTAAGCACACCTTAGCGTAAATCCGGCGCAGGATCTACGGCCGAGTTGGTTCGTATACAACAAGGGCACGTTGTGATATCATTGAGAACTGGAGCATTTTGATGAGCTATCAAAATATCTAAGTTGTGAAAGAGGTTAAATGTCAAGAGAAGGTCTCAGCACAGACTGGAGTGGGTCGAGCGAATAGAATGGAGCAGCATAGAATGAAGTAGAATGTTATTATAGCTGCTGTTATTTATAGAAGAGTGCCCAGCCTTTTCATGTTATAGATTTGTAATAAGAGAGGGGCAGTGCGGGTGAATGACTCGGCCTTGGGTGTTGGCTTGAAAGCACGACCCGATAGCTCAGCGGTAGAGCACTTGACGTACAAAGTCAGGGGTCGTGAGTTCGAGTCCGCTCGGGTCGGTTGTTTTCCCGCACTCTCTATTAATTATCTTCGAAATCCTGTTGTCTGTAAAATTTGTAATCAGGTTTGAAATTCCTTGAAACAATTCCTAAATTCAATTCACAGAGTGGCACAAGAAAGATACTTGAGATAACTTGGTAGCTTGAGAAGAGACATACCTTCTGTACATGAAAAATGCTGCCAGAAAACACAAGAAAAGCACAACGCCAACAACGATGGGAACGAGATACGAACGGGGTAGACCTTTGCTGTCTTTCCGCTCTGCCAAAGTTGCAGTAGGATCAGGCTCTAAATAAAAAAGACATAAAAGGGCAATTAGGAAAAGACTGTCTCATTGGAATCTTAAAAAAATTTCTTGAACTGACAAGAAAAAGAAGATTTATTAACTTATGCATGAAAAAATAGGATCGCAGTGTGTGCTGTGCTATCTCTAACCAATTTTTTCTTTCAAAGGACCGCTCTTTATTCTTTAATCATCCGTACTTTACAAGTATTTTAGGGCTTAGATTCATCCTCCCCACTTTTTTCAAACATGGTCCACAGAATTCTTCTGAAAATTGATTAAAATGCATTAGGTTCGGTCATATTTCTAACAGATTTGCCTAAAGAAAATACGTCTGGTGTAAATGACTGAAAGGAGGCAAAAATGGGTTGGTATCATAGGGAATCCCCATTACGCTCCCACTCTGCAGTAGCTGGCGCTGCCACCGCTTTCAAAAACATATGGAAACTGATTATATGACGTAATGTTCTAACTGATAGTTGGTTTCCATATGTATAAGGTGCATGGTATGAAATTGCTTTAACAGATATGAATACTCACTGAACAAGACCGCCCAATGTGACCATTTTCCTTCTCTGACAGTTTTTGCCCGCACCTGCAATTAACCATCTTTTAAACAAAGCAATTCTTAATTACAAGAAAGTTTTCTACACACATTCAAAATATGGTAAATTGCGACCTTTCTCAGTTTCAAGGTTTCCATAATTCAGAACGGGTTCCCAATGACATTTGTGCAAGTTATAAGACCAGGACCACTGTGAGATTACTAGGGTTTGAGTTGTTTGTCTTTTCACTGTGGTTTAAGTCGCTTCACTTTCGAGGCTCTTTTGACTGGAAGGAGCTGGGGTAAACTGTTCCCTAACAATCCTCATTATCAGTATAAATCCAGAAACGAGGCCTTGCCCTTACTGTTTGCCTTACATCAATGATTTAAAACCATAAGCCCAGATTAACTTGACGAAAAGAGTGGTTGTTCGCTATTAAAAAAGAGTCGGACCAAAACACAGCTATAGAATGTCTCTAAACATACTACGTAAAAATGTTGCTAAATAGTTATCAGCCAACTTTGCATAAAAAGAAAAATATGACATAACTTACTCTAAATAAATGCTCATGAGATATGTCAAGCTTGGAGATATTGACAGCACTTTGTGAGCCAGACACCCTCAAAGTCTCTGTAGTGTTTGGTCCATACGTAAAAATTTCTACCACGTAGGACATTATGTTACCATTGGGCTGCAGAGGTGCGTCCCAAGTAATTTTCACTGGTATTTGGCCAGCAGGAGACAAAACCCTTGGGCTCAGAGGTGCTGATGGAGCTGCAAAAAACACACGCACCTGTTTCAGATAAACTCAACTTGAAACACTTGACGACAGGAAGAATATTTGTTCATGCCAATCAAAGACAATTTTCACCAAAAAATAATGTAGAGATTTTGGAAACACAACTAAAGACATTGAGTAAAAATGCTGGGGAATAATACACGCTTTTCCAGATGCGCTTAACACAAGTGTAAAAATTTCTGTGAATTGCATTTTCAATTTTCTTATTGCATTGTTTATTCGTTTGTCGAGATATTTCTAAACTAACGACAAAAAAATCGTTATAAGTATTTTTGGAATACATATTTTATCAATAATAAACATTATAAATAGCTTTGAAAAAAGCAAACATTTAGTAAACTAAAGCTTTTCGTCTGACACTCTTCAGAGTTTAAAACGTCAGAACATAGATCGAAAACGCTACGCTAAGAAATATATATACCCAGTTGTGGATCGAAATAGGCCAATCAGAAACACGAGCACATGACTGTAAAGGTTGACCAATCAGTGCCGCTTGCCTATTAGAATGTTACCAATGGAGTCCTAAAGTGAAAACGAACTCCTTTTGTCTACACAGTAGCGGTTTTTTCGTGCTTATGTAGATAGATTCTAAAACTGCTAGGTGGAACGACGATCGGGCTTTACCAATAATCCGAAACATGTCGCCATTATAGTTTTTTGCACAAACTGGGTTTTCTAGCAAATGCTGCCCGATAGCAGAATCGCAGGTCTTATTAGTAATTTTGGATTTGCAAGACCGAGGTGGCTGTTCTCTTTGGGGATGTGTTTTGTTTCTAATATTAGATGGAACGTGTTGTTTTATCCTATCCTCCAATCTTTGGGTGGTGCGTCCTACGTAGCCAGAATCACACTGGCACGTGAATTCATACACAACAGAACTTTTTTTGTGGCAGGAACGCAGTCCTTTTGAATGGACGGAAGGGCCTTTTTTGTACTGTAAACAACACGTGGGTTAACCGCGAAGAAACAATTTGTTATGGCCTGTTTTATTTGGCTTTCAAAACGTAGGGAGCTGTTACCGATCCAGGGTAGTTTTAGATAGACCGGGCACTTTTGAGGACCAAATTTTACGTCAGCCGAGAAATTTCCTATCTTCTCCTTAATGTAAACTGAAATAACATGTTCTGGATAGCCGTTCTCCAGAAAAATCTTAGTTAGTTTTTCAAGTTCCGAGTCGAGTTTAGACTTGGAACAAATCATCAGTGCCCTATGTGTGAGCGTTTTGATGAGGCTGATTTTTCTTTGTTTTGGGCAAAACGAACTCCATCGAGTGTATAACCCCGAAAATGTGGGTTTACGGTATACACTGGTGAGAAATCCAGTGTCAGATTTTTCAACCAAAACATCAAGAAATGGCAAGGAGTTATTTTCTTCCTTTTCAAATCATAATAAACATTATGATAAACATAAACGCCACTTGGCGTTGATACTATGCGAATTAATACAAAGAGCTGAAACTTTTAACACAAAGCAAGTTCAAAAGCATGCATACCATCTTCTCCAGTTATCTGAAACATTGGCACAGAGAATGGTCCGTGTCCAACTTCAGTTTTTGCTGCCACTTCTACAGAATATTTGGTCGCAGGCTTAAGATCTTCGATTGTATAGGAAGTCTGATTTGATGGTACTTCATGTAGAGTTGACACTTGAATGACATCTCTTTTGGATCTTGTTCTGTTACCTACCTTCACTTCCGTGGTGTTGACTCTTACTATGTAGCCAGTGAGTTTACCGTTAAGTTCCTCTTGCTTTGGTTCAGCCCATGAGATCCTTATTGATTTTGCTGACCAGTGAGGGATGCCGACGGAAGCTGGAGATGCTGATGGTCCTAAAACAATTATTTAGATTCCCTAAATTACACTTTTTTGCATCTGTATTAACCATGCTATATAAATCGGCACTTTGGAATGAAGCTGCTACAGCTCATATTAAAGCAATAAGATTTTGGGCTTCAGCCCCAGACAGAATTTTTGCCCGGCCCCAGTCATGCATATCATGTTGTCGGTTGCATTGGGGGCAAATCTCGCAAAAAATAAAACGCAAATAACTTCAGATCATTTAAAAGAAAAACTAAGAATGATAGAAAAAAGAAAATATGAATTGGAAGAGTAATAGAAAATATGATAAAGCTTAGGAAAATATGAGAGAAAATGTTTCAAAAGTATACACACATCGGGGGAGCTTCTTTTATACAAATTTTGTTAATGAGAAATAATGATCACAATTGATAAGCATACATGCATTACACATGATTGACGTTGTCTGAGTTGTGAGGCACGAAATATAAATTGAGACACAGCAGTGTATAAAAAGCGTTTCCTAAGTAAATAATTAACAAAGAAAGTATATGTTTGTGAATTACCGTGCTTTTGTTAAACAAAACGAAGTATCTACAAACAATTAATAAAGGAAACTTATGGCTTACGGCCAGGTTGGGTCCGGGCTGAAAATATCTCTCCTCTTGGACTTTCAAGTTTCTCGTTGTCTTTCAAGTTATAAGCCAAAACCCAGATGTTGTAAGAGCACCATGGCACCAGATTTGTGAGCTTGTACACCTGCACGGTGCCAGGAACTCCTTCCTTTCTAGGTTTTGAGTCGCTAATTTTGTTGAGACCGAGAGATGTTCGCTGGTAGAAAACCTCGTAGCCATCCAAAGGGCCATTTTGATCATCTCTTTGCAGCTTCTGAAATGGAAATCGTATTTACAGTTCAAAAATTTGCTTGTGATGGAAATCAATTGAATGGTTTAGTTTGATACGGTATCGTATGGTACGGTGTTGTGTGTTATGGTATTTTGTGGTATGTTATGGTATGGTATGGTATGGTTTGGTATGGTATGGTATGGTATGGTATGGTATGGTATGGTATGGTATGGTATGGTATGGTATGGTATGGTATGGTATGGTATGGTATGGTATGGTATGGTATGGTATGGTATGTTACGGTATTTTGTGATATGTTACGGTATTTTGTAATATATTATGGTATTGTATTGTATGGTATGGTATGGTATGGTATGGTATGGTATGGTATGGTATGGTATGGTATGGTATGGTATGGTATGGTATGGTATGGTATGGTATGGTATGGTATGATATGGTATGGTATGATATGGTTTTGTCTTTAAATTGCACAACACATGGTTTGGTATGAAATATTGCATGCATGCTAGTATTGCTGCAGTATGGTGATGCAAGGTATGAGTTCTAAATAAATGCTTACCTTCCATTTGACTTCCATAAAACGAGATCCAGTGCTCACTGTTGCTACAATTTCGGGCGACTTGTTTGGTTCTGAAGTTTAACATTTTAAACAAATATATAGTTTATTCAAATATTTTGATTTATAAGTAAGCATCGAAAGTAAAAGCAAACGAAACAAATATGCCTGATGTCATAGGGCAAACTTCACTTTTGTCAACATAATTTATCGGTTTCCTTGCATAATATGAATAACTAAAGAGTGATGAAGTACAATGCAGACGTTATATACTCTGAGGAGTGTCAGAAGAAAAAGCTTTTGGTATGCTGAAAAAATGCTTCCTTTTTTCAAAGCCATTTTCAAATATCGTACCATCATAAAATTGTTTAGAAGTATGTACAAAAACAAACCGTGGCATCCTTGATACTTACTATCCACATTGGTTGTAATAATGAGTTTTTCATTGGCTTTACTGTATAAACGCTGCTTGTTAAAAACGTTCAGTGCAATGATTTTGACATTGTACGTGCTCCAAGGTTTGAGTTCATCCAGTCGATAAACTTCATATTGTCCAGGTACAAAGCGCTGCAATACAGAGCCATTGGACGACAAACTCTGGTCCCCAGACTTGACTCTCTCATAAGATATCAGGTACCCCGTAATAGGACCATTTGCATAATTGGGTTTGGGACGCTGAGTAACAATTTGAAGACATTATGTACGATAAGATAGTTATATAGATAGATATGTAAATATATAAAAATTCACCTACTCGAACTCCCTAAAATTTTGTCTAGGGACCTACATTTCTTATATCAACGGCAAAAGTTAAGTGGCCACTCGTGAGTGAGAAACGAGCTGACACTCCACAAATCGCAAACTATCTTTACACTTTTACTAAAAGAAACTAGCTAAGTATGTTGCTGATTGGCGAAATCTCAAATCTCCAAAAACTTTTAAAACCCCATGAAATACAAATCATGCAAGATGTGTAATGATTATTTAGCCGGTTGTTGAATACACACTACTCATAACTTTAAAAAGATTCTCGCACAATTCATAAATACTTAATTTTAGTGGAAAAGGCATACCTTCCAACTCAAAGAGGCGTATGTGGCGGAGGCATGTAGTGCTCTAAACCCCTCTGATGACAATTCCGGTCCTGAAATAAATACATCAGCCAGAAATTAAACTTTTTAATGAAAAATTTTATTTAAAAACTTCGAAAGGTCGGAATAATAGATGTTATTTAGTTGGTCATTTGTCGGCAATATTTTGAGAAGAACTTTGTATAAAGAAAAGTGCCTGACAATATTGAAATGATATGGAAACTGACCATGGCCTAAATTTAAGGGCTTTATAAGCTTGGAAGTATAGCAAAAAGAAACCTGTCGACTTTAATTCAATCTCGCTTTAAATTGTAATTTTTATGACTTTACTTTAGCAAAAGCAAATGAAATGGGCCTGGTTCTTTAACTCAAAATTTTCATATCATTCGAGATATATATTTACAGAGTGCAGGCAAAGAGTTCATGATTGAATCTTATAGAGAGGTACGTATTTACACCCTTTTTAAATACTGCAGTGTTAATAACCCAACGACACTTACCATCAACTATGGTTGACACCAGAAATGGCTCTGTGAACTGACTCTTCAATTTTTCTCTTTCATACAAATTAAAGGCAGCGATTCGAATACTGTAGGTGCTCCACGGATTCAAACCAGTTAAGTTGAAGTTCCCGTTACCATCTTTCTCTACTTCGATATCAAATTCCTCCATAATGTCCAGGGGTTCTCGTCCAAGTTTTGTTCTCTTGTAAATTACAATGTAACCATCGACCGGCCCGTTTGCATTGTCTGTTATGCTTGGTGGCTAAACGGTTATCAAATAAAATGAAATAGGTAGTGAAACTATACATTCATACCGCGACAAGTCTGGGTTTCAATATAATTTTTGGAAATGCATTGAAAAAAAGTAATATTGCAATTGAGATATGTTTTCTTACATTCGTAGATATAAAGTCCAAAACGAACATATTCAAATTCAAATTAAGCAATATATACTAAAATTTATAACTACTTATGCAATTCATACTTAATCAATCGTTAATAATTGTCAATTCTAGGATTAATCTAAAATTAAATTAATCTAAACTAAGTTAAATTAAACTCAAATTAATCTAAAATTGCTTGCGTACATGTGCCTGTAATACTACCTAGCTCAAAATGGGAGATGGTTTTTAGAATATTTTCTATAAAGTTTAAGTCCGTCAGACGTTTAATATTGCAAAATTCGCACCTTGTTCACTACCGAACAAGTTAAAAAATAAGAGAGCCCTTAACAATTCTCTCACAAAAGATTCTCTTCACGGTCCTGGCTGTTTGGATATGACTCTGTGCTCCGCCTGTTGTTAATGGTGGCTTTGGAAAACCAGTGCATGTAGGTACATCCAAAAAACATATCCCAAGTGAAACGCAATACCTAAAATATATTGTGCTGCTATACAGGCTACAAACGTAAACAAACAAAAAGCAGAGTCAATTTGTTACCTGCCAACTCAAGACTACTGATCTTGCTTCCTTCTGTTCTGCAACGAGGCCTCTTGGAGCTGATTCAGGCCCTAAATAAGAAAATACACCTTACATTGTGTGAGGTTAAAAAGACTCGTAAAGCAACACACATCAACAAGTTCTGATCCGTAAAATACATAACAATATCCAACAATACATAGAAACATTTATGAGTCTTTTTGAATGGCTTAATAATACGCAAATTCTTTGAATTGCTACAGTTAAGGCAAATTTCAACTAGACACAAAATTTTTTATTCTCTATTAAGAAAGAGAGGCTATAAGGAGCATTCAAAAGAAAACATAAAATCCGGCCAAAAATACACTGAAAACATTTCGCAACAAAAGGAGCCACAAAAGAGTGTTGAACGATATCTAAAATGCAAATGAAGTTACGTGGCTGTTCATAAGAATATCCATTTCTCACTCAAAACTCAAAACTCAGTCTGTTTTAACACCTTTTTGAAAAATTATACATAGTCAGATGAGAGCTTCTTGTATAAACATTGTTACTTAGATGTGGCTACTTGATGATTAGAAAAAAAATGCAGTTTCATCAAAGGGAATGTTGAAACAACTGAAATAAGAGGGATTCAGGAATTGCATGTGTTAAAGTCGATATTGTACATACTGCTGACTAAAGTCTGCACGACCAGGACATGACTCGCTTCACTCTCCAACTCGCTGCCCTGGAACGTGTTGTACGCTATCACTTCAACGTTGTATGTACTCCATGGAAGCAAACCATGCAAAGTGTAATTGTCGTTTACGTCACGTGATATGTAGTTAGACTTGCTCGCCTCCTTCACATTCATGTAGCCAATCTCTGTTCTTCGGTAGCGTAAAATGTATCCATCAATTGGCCCATTAGCGTTGGGAAGCAACGGTGCCTGTTGTGACAAATGAGGTGGACCGTAACTCATTGGCATTCGCTAAAAGATTGCTAGCACATGTCCAGCATGGTCAAAAATAGTTCGCTGAAGCTTGAAAATTATTGCAATAAAGACAGTTCGATTTCTCAAATATTGATGTTTATTCACTTTTAAACCTCCCATTTACCTGGTAGGAAAATTGTACCTAAAGTATCGCGAATGTGAAACAGGCAATAAATTAACCTAAAATATCACGAACGTGGCTTTTGTTTCAGCTGTATCTTATGGATGAATTAAGAAGCAAGATAAATGTAGAGGGAAATTATAACAGAAATTACTCACCTCCCATTTTACCTGTGCTGAATGTGATGTGACTTTCACCATGTCTAAGTTTGATGGTGGAGTTGATGGCCCTGCAATGAAACAAACAATAAAGTTTTCCAGACAAACTTTGTACTTTTACTAGCCTTATTCACTTTTGAATAGAACCAAAGAAACCTGAGGAGAAAGATGAGGAAGAAGAAAGAGACGAAAGTGGAATGTAACCAGCATTAAAAGGCAGATGTAGCCAGTGAAAATATGTGCAGTCTGTAAATAGAAGCCAATCTTTTTCATTGCCCTTCAAACAGGCTTTTTTATATATAGTTTTTTGAATATCGAAAGACAATAAAGTTTGTTGCTGGTTTTGGCTCTCAGTGTTTTGTAAATCTTTTGAAAAAGAATACAATGAGAGATAAACCTTTGAGTATGCTAATAGAACTAGTAATTTAACTGGGAAGACCCAACGACACATACGTGCTAAATGTGTATTGACAGTCAGATTGCCAGATTTGCCATAAACAATCGATTTGTCAGTTCTTTTTCGATTGAACCCACATGCAGTTATCAAATACGTGCTCCATGGTTTGAGGTCTGTTGCATTGAATTTTGTGACGGTCCCTCCGACAGTGCTTGTCACGGTTTTCTCACCCTCCACCATCCGGTTTCCGTGCTTTATTCGTTTGTATGTGATGTAGAAACCATTGAGAGGTCCATTCCAGGATCCTGTTGGTGGTTGCTGCCATAGAACAAGAAAAATCAAGTTTTATATAAAGCTCAACCATCTGCGGATGTCATCTGCGGAAGAACTTGTGATATGGCTATCTGACTAAAATAAGTCAACTACCGTCCTCCAACAGGATTGTAACATTTAACTCATATCAAGGTTGCATTTTCTTCTGTAGATTGCTACTGCGCAAGTTACTCCAAAGTACGGATAAAATATGTCGAACAACTAACAGAATAGTAGATGAATCATTCTTAGTTCTACATCTTGGCTTTGTCACTGCCGTGGTTGTATCAAGTACATCTTGAGAAGTAAATACTTTCAATGATTGGTAAAAAATGTAAATATCGACATTATTTGATAAATTTAACTTGATATACTTTTGAACCAGCAAGATAATACCGGCCATTTTCTTATGTTAGGCCATAAGTAATGCATTCACCTGCCAGATCAAGTATATGAACGTCGATCCAACACTACCAGTCCTCATTGATTGTGGCTCAATTTCAGGGCCTGTTAATAAATAAAATCAATTTACTATTGTACAAAGAGACCGAGCACATCCGGGGTGTGGTGGACCACGTTTTCAAGATAAAGAACCTGATTTTCAATAGTCTTTTCTTGGGGCAAATCAGCTAGGGATCAAGCCTTTGTTTGTATAGGTAGCAGGAAAAATTTCCTATTGTTAAACAATGGAAGATCACTGAGGCTGGAAGTTAGAACAGATTCTGTGATCTTCTCGACAAACCAAATGCCTGAATAGAGTATTTTCATACTCTATTCATACTCTAAGACTTTATCAGAAGACCTTCTTGTTTATCAATGGAAACATTTTGAATATGTCCAAGAGCTCCGTTACGACAAGTTGCTTCTGGCACGTTGAAATATGTTAGCTTCTAATGATACTATACAGTTTAAGTTGCAGTAAAGATATGTATGGGCTGAGAAACCATTAGAGGATAGAAATGACTACTGGATATACCTTCTGCCTATCGTAAAAATCTAGGCGTATTAGTGAAAACTGGAAGATCCTTTTAAATATAGAGCTCTCCTAAAATTAATTGTCAGCTTTCAAATATTGCTTTGTATTTCAGACAAAATGATTATTTTCTTGATATATCTTTAGACTATCATATGACTGTTTAAGATTTTCAGTTGATCGATGGACTTTCTGAAAAAATGGCGAATACACTCCAAGAAGAAGTCAACAGAAACTAAAACAATCTCAAAGTTGACAATCATTAGGCAGCACAGAATTTGGACTGAATATTTCTCCTTTATTTCCATAAAAGAAAATAAATCATTCAATAAGCCGACCACGAGCTGCTTTTCTTTGCAAAAACAGATCACGTCAACTTGCATAAACAACATTGCACAACATGCATAGGCCTAAAACAACAAATTTTGCACGATGAAATCGCCTTGAAAAATATGATTCAAAACAGATGACGCAACAACTCACCATCGACATCTGTTTGCAGCCTGTAAAGAGGACTCTCGATAAGGTTTTTATTTTTGCCCAATGAGACTTCCAACTGTTTCGGGAGCACTGACAGAACATAGATATTATATTGTGTGTATGGTTTTAGGCCCTTGATTAGAGCCATTCTAGACTTGTTGCTTTCAACTGGCCCGCGACTGAACACAAAATCCAAGTCTGCTTTCAGTTTGTACATAACTTCATAGCGAAGAATAGGGACCTCTCCTCCTGTTGGCTGTACCCAGAATACTTTGCCAGTTGTCGAATCTGTTGAAATTTTTGCGATTCTGGCACGTGGAGGCATTCCTGGAAGCAACATTTTGTAGAAAAATAAGCAGACTCAGCTTTTGATACATCTAAAGGTTGTTGGCTAGTACTTATATAAGCAAAAAAATGATTGACTTGATGGCATTCTATGCGCCAACGAAGATTCAAACTTAGTTATGTTTCTTTCGGTCCAGTTTCAGTTCAAACACAACTGTATGCGCACTTTGATTTATATTGGAATTGTTATCAAATGCTGTAAAAAAAGCAAGCATAGCAAAGAAATGAAAAGATATTTTTCGCCCATAGTCAAAACGGTTTGTCCATTCAGACTGAAGTTGCACGCGCTATTGTTAAAACAGCTGAGGAAATGCTGACTTGATTTCAGCTATTCGGTGATTTGATTGGCTTAGACAAAGCTTCCTGCACGTTTGTTGGTTTAGACTCGGCAACATTAACTTATGAAGCATGATAATTGTACAGACTACTTGAAATTAAAAGCTAAAAGTAAAAGGCAATTGAAACATCTGGACGAAATTGTACGATTGTAGGTAACAATCTAAAAACATTGAATATTTTGATTTCAGATTCTGATTCTTCGCGTTCAATGTTCATCTAAAGGGATAACATGATACTAAAACATTTAGCTCCTTATTAAAAAGTATAATCGTTATTTCTTCTCCATTAAAAATTCAATTTAGCACTGTAACACCGTAAAGGGCTAGAACAGGTCACGTCACCAGATCTAAAACGGATCAAAGAACAACTTGCGGCCTAAGCAAACAAAAGGGGGGAGCCTTCAACTCACTAAAAGTGAAAGCAATGCAGTGCATTGAGAATATGAGTCTCTTTAAAATGGCTTGAAAGTAAATGAAAATATTTATTTTCAGGTAAAACTTACGTATTACTCCGTCTATGTTAACTATGGCCACATTTTCCATATAAACGCCCTTCTTCGGAGGTTTGAAATCAGCAATGCACTTGTATGATCCGTAGCAAACAAGATTTTTGTCTTTTTTTGTGCACTTAAAGTAGGTGAGGACGCTCATGAGGTCGTATTTAATCGTTAGCTTCACACTTTCTTTAATAGAAGTTCCATTGACCTCTTCAGTTGTTCTTTGTATAGAATGGATAGTGTTTGTAGAACCATCACTAAGCTCTATGACCTCATCGTCAGGTATCCCTGGCTTTACGACATACCATTTGATAGCCATTCCCTTCTCCCCTTTTGCAGTGCACACTGCCTCAACTGAGCCACCTTTGGGAAGTTTGCCGCCTATCTTCACATTTACAGAAGGTCCTGATCCTAAGAAGAAAAAACATCTTAAGTCAAGGCCTGATAAGACCATGTTGTTAAAAATTGATTGGCATTATTTAAAGACGGTTTGGAAAAGAACCAGTAGAAAGGATATAACAAGTGGTCATATCCGTGAAGTGTCACTATAAGAGAAAGAATACTTTAATGGTGTAGGCACCATATAAGAATATAAGATGAAGCAACAACCAAAACCATTCAATGAAGTGCAAAAGCTTTGTAGAGAAGAAAATTTGAAATGGTCGAAATGAAAAGAAAAAGACTAGAAACCTAACAAAAGTAGACAACCCTATCTTCCTTTAGCATAAAATCGTTAAATTTGATAAAGAAACACAAACATCTAATCTGTTGCGTATTTTTGAAAAGCACTCCAGTTGAAAAAAGTGATTGACGTGTAAACAACCAATAGATGCTCTTCCAACAAGCTTTTGTTTACAAACTGTTATGATCAAGGAAATAGGCAGCGTTTCAAAAGTGGAGGGACATGTAGGCAAATTAGGGACACCTTCGTGAAATGTAAATAGGTACTTTACTTTTTTCTGAAAAGTGAGGAGGCATGCTCTCCCTGTGCCCTCCGGTTCTTACGTCTATGATAAAGATTGAGTCCAGAGCATATATCTGTCGTTATGAATCTATGTTAGATCCTGTAAACATATTCTAGCTGCAATGCTACAATGAATTTTCAGAGCAACATTTGGCCTAATTTGACCTTTTAAAGATTTTAAGTGATTTATCAAGGAAGAATATCTTGAGTTCATTTCTGGCTAGTATTAAAGAAAATTTCGTTGATCCTATAGCATAGTATACTCTAATCTTTATTTTTGCGAGGCGTTTGTGAGTAATTGGATCAAAATATCTTAGTGGCGTTCTTATTGCTTATTATTTGGAGACATTAAAAAAAGAAGATGGGGTTGGTTCAACAGGATGTCTTCCAGAGACCTGCATTTTTGTGCTAAACAGCCAACAATGATCCTCAAATTAGTGCCCCTCCGAATGAACGCCCCCAAGAATTGCCTATACTTAATGAACACCCCACCTCAACCCTAAAATGTGAATCCTGGGTTATAAGGAGAGTGGTAAGGAGGGTGTCAATGATGGTGACGAAGAATTTGATAGCAATCTAAAAAAACAGTTAAAACAACTCAGCACTCATTTCGAATGAGCGCCCCCATACAATGTTGAGAATGTTCCATATTTTGGATTCAAAACAAACTTACTGTACAAAAGATCTACAGTATTGTTTGACAGCTTGAAAGAAAGGGACTTGTTTACTTGGCACCATCGAGGGATCAGGGCATTTGTCTTTGATTACCTATCTTTTACTGCTAAGGATCATTGAACTTCGCTGGAAAGATGCCACGCCCTCTTCCCCCATTTTTATCTAAATACCTCTGCATTTTAATCTTTATCTGCTAGATAATTAGAAATGTCAGCAATCCTATGTGTGGATCATTCCATAAATGGCGAAAGGATTATCCTTTTAATAAAAATTGATACAGTGTAATGCAGAGATTACAGGCTCTAGCAGCAACCCACGTTGCGTGTGTTTATATAGGAAGTGACAAATCTGAGAGTCGACTGTGTGTATGCTGTGATAAGAATTCGCAAAATTTCACATACAAAATGATTTCACTCACGAGAATCTCTTTACTATGGCTACATAGAAAATTGGAGCCCAACTACAAAAAGAGTCGCAAAATACTACAGGCAATTTCAACCATACGTATCAATAGAAATACTGTAAAATTCAATCAGGTTTACTTCGAACCTTGACTTAAGTCGAACTCCGGCTATCTCGTTATGCTATGCTTCATGTATAGAATTAACCCGGGGTAAGTTGAACTCTGGATAAGTCGATCAAATATCTAATTCCCTTTAGCAAATCAATCCGTTTTAGTCTAGAAAAATCGTACTTTTAAAGGCAAATAATCAGTTAAGCTTTCTTAATAAATGAAAATGAATTAATCCTTTTTGAAAATACGAGAAAATAAATTTTATCTGATTTATTTCGATCCCGTTTTAATCTGGATGCATTTTGATACGACTGCTGTTTTTTCTAGCAACACAATTATTTCTCTTTAAACAAAAACGGACTAACAGCTTTCGATGGTTTATAAGGAAAACATAGCTTAACACTTAAAATCAAAATACGGAAGAGATATATGTCTTAGGCGACAAAACCTGAAGGCCAATAGAACTAATATCTACTTAATTTGCTCTTATATTGAAATGAGAGTTTATATGGCGCCTTCCTGCTTGCTTCGGCAATATCTTCATTAGATGATAGTGTTCCAAGAAGCAGATGGGCCTGTGTTCGCTTTTAATCCCCAAATACACTTACAAGCCTGCTGACAGACCTGGAGTAAAGGGAAAGCTTCCATGTGGCAACGGCTATACGATTGCAATAAGGAAGTATTATTCGAATCCGGATTCGAGGGCGCCTCCTCACCCGTCTACGTGTTGTCATGCAGAAAAAGAAGACTTTCGTATTTTTGGGGTTATTAGTAAAATCCAACTCTTAGATTGCTTAAATCGATGAAACATTGAATTGTAAGGTTTGCAAGGAGAGCAAGACAATTAAATCACATTTAATAACAGATTTTGGAATGATTCTCGATAAATATCCTTTTTCCTGTTTGTCCCAATATATTTTAAGTTGCTGGCTAGAATGTCATTAATAGCTATTCCGTATACAAATTTCAATTAAATATCAGACCAAAGCTCTGAAAAGACGCACCATTCTGGTTTTGGATTAAAACTATTCTCACTAAATTCAAGCAGGGCTGCCAAATTGGCCCTTTTCAGTGACAAATTTTCAAATTTTGGCCTTTTCAGATTTAAAATTGTTGCATCGCACCCGTTCAACCAAATTTCCTTACATATTACATATTACGACCAGAAAACTAAAAACACCATCAGCAACAACAACAACATGATTACCAAGACTTTCACTCCTTGTGCAGATTTTATTCTCTTGTTAAACCATCAGAAACATTGAGAAAATTATTTGCATATTCAAAGTAACCTATGTTTCTTTCAGTTTAACGAGTCCCAGTTTTGTTGTTGTAAATATACAGGGTACTACAAGAAATAATCAAAAATGGGGGCAAATGAAATAGATATAGGACACTACTGTATGCGGTGTCAAAAGGATATTAAATACACTTAATAAATTTTATAGCATTGAAATTAGTGAAATTATTTAAATATTTTGATATTTGAAGATATCTATTCAGGGTGTTTCTCAGTATTTTATCTCAGATTCGAAACCTTTGAAACAGAACTCTGTCATTGTAAAAAGGTACGTTACAAGTTACGGTTTGTGATGTACAGTCGATCGAGAGGCAATTCACTCTTGGAAAAAACATACCAGATTCCAACCAAAACAATATGATTTCTACGGATTTTCGGATGAAATAAAAGAATTCCTACCAAAGATGTATGAGATTTTTTGGAGTGATCTGCCCCTCGTGTACTGAGGTGTTTTTGATTAAAGTCAAAGTGGTAACAAATTTCTATCGATCATGTTAACTATCGATTTGCTAGCAATCGATCAAGAAAAAAACAGTTGATGTGGGGAAGATTGACACTAAAAGGGGCATTGAATCTACTCTAGGTTTAACCGCCTGCCACGTGTCTTTTCTTGGAGGAGGGGCAATTCATCTATGAAAATCTCGTAAGCCTTGGGTGAAACTCCTATTATCTTGTCAGAAAATCCTTGAAAATTCTTTAGATTTCGTGGAAATCTCGTTCGCTTTTTTTGCAACAGTGAACTGCCACTCGGTCCTGGAACATCAAGCCGAAAAACATCGATCTCTGAAGTGAGTTCCTACGAAATTTTAGCTTTTGTTCTCCAGCAACTAAGTTCAAGCAACAAGAGACACAAGCTAGGTAGAACAAAACATTGGGTGAAAATCAATCGTTTTTCTTCTTACCTTCACAAAAAGTTGCTGTCGAGAGCAAAAGTACGAGGCCCATCCACATCTTCATTTTGGTTGCACATACAAACTTTAGTGCCTCTGTTAACACTCTAGGATAGCTTGGTAAAATGGATAATCTCTTCACAGCTTCTGACAGCATGTACTATTCTTTGTACTTGCAGAGAAAAACCAACACCTAATTCCGCATTTCACTTGCTAGCAACTATAGAATGTCCAATGTAAACAACAGAACTTCTGCAGATACCAAGGCATTTAACTATTTACTCCAACAATTGTTCGATGGCTCGTCTGTAAACTTGTCAACAGGAACACTGACTATAAAAACGAACTGAACTTTATGGCGGGGAGAGAGAGGCAGTTTCCGGTATATCGCTCATATAGTTAAATCCCTGTTCAAACTGCGAGCCCCCAATGTTATTGTTTAGAACTCCATTTAGAGCTTCCTCCTTGCCCAGTCGTGATCAATAAACCACAACGATTGAACGCAGACTTTCGAAAAAGACAGGATGTGTGATCAAGGTGGCGGCCGAGGAGCTGTTTTGACAAATTCTCAAAATTAAGTGGAGTTTACTTCCGATGTTTTCCTTGCTAAAAAGCCGGGCGTCCTGCCTGCTCCGCCTTTATTGACCCCCTTGCTTTATTGACCCAAGTGCAAAGAGCGGAAATGTCAAAGAAAAAATATGGGCTTTCTAAAAAATCGAAAATTAAAACTAACTGAATGCATCAGGTGAATTGTTTCCAAATTTTACATTTAAAGAATGTTCGTTTTACAAAAAGGGTCTCTTAAAAGATTGATAGGGCGCTGCTTTTGGTACTACTCACTTCACCCTGGGTACACCAGAGCCTCCTTGAAAGAATGGATCGAAAACAGTGGAAGACCTTTTGAGGGGAAAAGAGGGGGGCTCTGGTATCCAGGGCATACTTGCTTGTCACAAACTACTTCTTGCTCGCCTTTGAAAAATGTTGAGCGCGTCCCACGATGCCCTTCGGGCTCCTACGGCCTTGGTTCTCAAAAAATATTTTCGAAAATGCTAAATCTTTACACAGCTATTGAAATATATCCAAATAAGCAAAAGTGCCTGTTACTCCAAATATGTAAAACTCCAAAAATAGATTGGTTCTCAAAAAATATTTTTGAAAATGCTAAATCTGTACACAGAACTATTGAAATATATCCAAAAAAGCAAAAGTGCCTGTTACTCCAAATATGTAAAACTCCAAAAATAGACAGCCCCGACCACCCATCAATAGACATGGACGGGGCTATTCGGATGCTTGGTTGTGGTTGGGGAAAGATGATGCAACAAGGCCTCGTTTTGGTTACGACCAAATGGGAAAATGGCTTCCGAATCGATCAGTCAGTTGCTGCTGGAAAGGCTTGACTCAACTGGAAGTGTTGATACACTTGAGTTTGCAAAGACAGTCGGGAAAGAGCACCAAGCAGTGGTTGGAGCAATCAAAAGTCTACAGGCCTTAGGAAATGTACGTTGTTAACTTGCTACTTCGTATTTTAACTTAGAAATTAGGCCTCTCTTCTGCTATTTTTGGATGTCATCGATGAGCAAATGCAATGCACACGCTACATTTTTCTTCGAAATCTTGAGTGGATGGAGGCTCTTTCATATATTAAAGAACCGGCGCTCAATATTATTTACATTCCGGTCTGCAGAGTATGGCACTTTTCGACGAGATCTCCGGTGTGCACGAGCAAAAATGGTTGGTGTGCTGACCGACTACTATTTGTGAATTTACATTTCACCGTCAAAATGCGTGTGAAGTATACTGTTGAAGATAGCGCAAGTTTTTATTTGTATATTTGTCAAGTAAGATTCATGATATCTCAAATTGTTCATACACAACTGTGCTTGTTTATATCAGCTGACATTTTCTATGGGATCACACCAAGCCACACCCATCTTAGTTGCCACACCCAAAAATACCCGGTGTGCAACAGGTTTTGCACAAAAATATCTCCGGTGTGCACATGCCATACTCTGCAGACTGGTTTACATTGAAACCATCTTTTTCTTCTACTCCTTGATGGCCTTACGTCAAACTTTGTGTTACGGAGGGGGGTTTCGAAATTTTTTACAAAGGCAGTGATCTCTGGAACCCCGTAATCCTTGTTTTTGTTTCATCGCTTTGGGTAAAACCATCTCATTTATACTAAACACATCATCATCATAATATACCAGTCTGCAGAGTATGGCAGATTGCACACCATTTACTATAGCTCTACTGAATAATTTTTATCCTTCATTCCGCCTGCGCACTGAATAATTTTTATCCTTCATTCCACCCGCGCATTATTAAGATTCCAACAACAATATTTGTTCACCTGGTCATGTTCCCTGCAAATATTCCACCATTTAAACTGTTGACTTCTGATAACAAGAAGAAAACAAAGAATACAAGGTCTCTTCAAAAGCTTTTGTTTCAAATTCCATGCACAATTTTGCGGGAAACATTCATTATCTGCAAATTTCAAAATTTATTTTTGTGGCATTCCCTGCACAGAAAAAATACTTTACAGTCTGGTAGCTCTGTTAAAAAAACCTTCTTTTTACAGGGTGTGAAAAATAAAACAGGGATGCTTGAAATGACTAAGCAAGAATGAGATCTTGTCAAAAACTGCAATACTCTGGATATATATTCTCTCATGGAGTTCATTAAAGATCATCCCAACATTTCATTTCGTATGATGTTACCTTTTACCCTATAAAAGTGTTCTCCCATTTTTATAAACATTACAGCCACTTTTAGAATTGTTGATTGTTATTTTTGACAGCAAGGCTAATTCTAAAATGTGCGTGAATGTGTATATTGGTTATCTTTACCTGGAGCAATATTCTTTTCACGAAAGGAATCACGAGACCCATTTAAGTGTGCCCTTTCTTAGGAAAATGCTTGTGCTGGAATTGGGAAGCCCTGCTTTTTGTGCCTTCCATACTGGCCTGCAAGGGCATTATTTAAATTAAGCCTTGGTGTCATGACATTCCTCCCACAAGCAATGGATTTATGATTCCAAGTTTCTCATATTTTGTATCTTTTAAATACCATTTTCTTGATTTTGATCAATTCTTGTTGATCAATTATTTCCCTTTTTTCCAACAGGTTATTAATGTAGAGCAAAAGCAACATGAAAGTTTGGTTCTTACAAAGGAGGGACAGCTTTTAGCTACCAATGGCAGTTATGAAGCAATTTTTTATGGTCTTGTTCCAGATGAAGGTCTCCTGCAAGCAGAGATGAAGGTTTCATGCACTTTAATTTCTTTTTTATTTCTCATGACTTCCTATAATTTGAAGCTATGAAATTGTAACTTTAACATATTTTTGATGTGTAATGTCTATGACTCTATCCATCTTCATAGCATGGTATCTTTTGCTATGTTTCTCATTTCTTCAATTCAGTTTGATTTCCAAACTCTTATTCTGGTGTGTTTATTAAAGTTCCTTTGTTTTTGTTTGACAGAAATTATCTTTAGGTGAAAATTCGAAAATTGGATTTAGCAAAGCAATGTCAGAAGGATGGATCAAGATTGATAAACAGGCACCAGGTGGAGCAAGGATATTCAAAAAGGTCAATTTTAATGAATTCTTCGCTTCTTCACACATATTTATGCTATAGTTATTACATATTTTGCATAAAAATCTTTGAGAAATAACTTTCCACATTCTCAAATAATCCAAGTATCAAATGAAGTTTTAAAAGAATCTGATAGGAGAATGTGCAGTCATTATAAAGAAAAAATTAGAAATAGATATGTCATATTTAAATTAAATTCTTTTTTAATTTTGAAAATCAGGTGGATGGTATTCAAGATCATGTCAAGGAAAACTTGCAATGTATTCACAATGGAGACCTTACCAAAATTCCTGAAAGTAAAATGAATGAACTGAAGAAGAGGAAACTTGTTTCAAAGGAGTATGCTACTTTTTCTTTAAAAATTTGGAATTTTTCTTTAAAAATTTAAAAAAAAATTAAATCTGCAGATTTCCCTGAGATTGAAAGTTTACAAGAGTTGAGGATAATTTATGGGAGGGCCCCCATTCAATTGTTCTCTCATTGCAAAATGAATGATTGGGATCAAGAAGAGTGAGAAATTTTCGTAAACAACACTCTTGTCTCAATAACAATCATTGTTTATTGGTATTGAAGAGACAAGAGTCCCTTTTCACACGCCCTTGACACATTGTTTTTGTCTTTTATTGCTGTCATCAGTGTTTATTCTCTAAAGAAAGAAAAATTATTTTTTAATTTCTACTTTTCACAGTGTCATAAAAAGCTTCATTGTTACCAAGGGTAGTGAATTTAGCCTCAATACTTCGAAATTAGAGACCGATTTAACACCAGAAATGATTTCAAGGTATGTATTACTCATTTTTTCAAACTCCATGGCATTTTATTCAAGACAATAATACTGTAAAAATATAAGGTGGATCTGTAATTTGTTTTACTACAGTATATTTAGCCTAGCATATAGTGATATAATTTCCAATCATGTTATTGTAAAGTTTCATATAATGTAGGCTTGCTTATGCAGTTTTGTCTCTTGCATCAGTTAATTCTTGATTAACTAAATTTTTGATTCACTAAATTCTTGCTGATATTTCCAATAATATTTCACAACTTTTATCTTTAAGTGGCTCTTGGAAGACAAAAAAATTCAAGGATTATAATTTTGATGCATTAGGCATTATGCCAAATTCTGGCAACCTTCATCCGCTTATGAAAGTGAGAGCAGAATTTAGACAAATTTTTCTTGAAATGGGGTAAGTACAGTAACTGTTTTTACAACAAAGTAACTTTTTTTTCGTTCTTATGCAAACAGTTTTAATTCATAATTGATCACATTAAAGCTACCATAGTCTTTCTTTTTATTTTTATCTGTTACTTAGCTATCTTCATTTCTGCAAATACTTTTGATGAATTGATGTGTAATATAATCAATGGAAAGAAATATAATTGTATGTCACACTTTTTTCATTGAATTTACAAAACTGAATGGAATACAAATTGTACATATTTTTATTTTGAATGTCAATACTTTTTGAGCTTTTTCTCATTTTGGCAATACCTGCGAAAAATATTTTCAAGCAAAGGCTTGATGTTTCCAGTGTATGCCTATGTGTGTTGTTAGATATGTTGTACCTAACAGTTGCTGCCCAAAACAAAATGCAAGATAATGGTGTAGTCTTAATTTTTTGCAAAGCCTGAAGAGACTGTGTTTTTTTCAAAAGAGCTTTTGTAACAATGTTCTGCATGCTTCAAACATACCAATTGATTGATAACTTTTTATTTGTTGCCTGTTTTGGTAGAAAAAATTTTTCTCTTTCAAAGATTTACAGAAATGCCAACAAACAACTTTGTAGAGAGCTCCTTTTGGAATTTTGACGCACTGTTCCAACCACAACAACATCCTGCAAGAGATGCACATGACACATTTTTCCTGTCAGGTGGGAGAAACATTCAGTTTTCTTTTTCCTTCACTTTTTTAGGCAAACCCTGATAAGCAGCTTTGCTTCATTGATGTAGTAGTAGCTATATGAAGATAATTGTAGTTGAGAAAACAGATGCTAGGTTATGTTTTGCAAATGTATATTTGCTTGTACCATATATTATTTTGTGTAGCAAGTTTAAAAAACTTTAGTCATGTTTCAGAATCCATAGTAATAGGTAAATAGCTAACACTGTCAGATATGTTGTATGCGAAAGCCTTTGAAACAAAACAACATTCCAGTTTTCAAAGTTAATGATGCCAAGCCACAACTACATTCACAAATTATTACTTCTGTTTTCAAATGTCTCCCCTAGTTCCACGTGACCTGTAAATCCTAAATGGATTTTGAAAGAATATAGGTTATTCTGAGCAATATAGTAAATGTGGTTGTTGCTAGCAAGGGAAAAGTATTCTATAAAACCAATGACAACAAATTTGTCGAATGCTTCAAGAAATCGTTAATTATAGTTGTCCTTCCATCTGGTTCCCTAAATTGTACTTCATTCTACCATTATCTCTCACGGTCTAGCTCACTGTTCATTACATTGTATTTGATTTCACAGAGCCTGAATTTGCCAAACTAGAGGATATCTCAAGTGATTATATTGAAAGAGTAAATACTATACATTCTAAAGGAGGTTATGGATCAGTTGGGTATGGTTCATTTTTACGTAATATTCAATCCCAACTGTCACTTTTATTTTCAGCTTAGATTTTTAAAGTTTTATTCACCTTTGTTATTTTTCTATATTGTTGTTTTTAACATTTAAATTAGAAACTGTTGGAATGATGCAGCCTTCGTGGCGACATTATTTAAGTTCCTTTTATATTAAATTCCACTGGATACAAATGCTCTAAACATAAATAAACTTGCAACAGTTAGAACAGTTACAGGCCACATATTATAAGTACAAGCATACAGATTAAAGATAAATCAATTGGCTTTACATGACAAGAGATTTTGTATGAAGGGAATTTTTAAGGAGGAGCTCGTTCTGTAGCTAAGCTAGTCGAGGAGAAAGCATCCCCTTACTGCAATACCACGCCATCGCCCTTTATCCTTTTTGAAAACATAGATCATTTTTTGAAGAATTTTGATTAAAGCATCATTTATAATAGATTGTTACACGAGAAGAAGATGACCCCTTCCTGTCTAGAAACAATTCCACTGCTATCCCATTTGAATTAACAGAGGTATAAGTTAAGAGAATTTGATGTAAGAAAAAATCAGGGAATTAAGATTAGGGAATTTTCATGTTGTTTAGATTTCTTGGTACACTTTGCTCAAAAGCACAGTTAATTGTCATTAAGAATCCGCTCGAATTTAAGGTCTAGTGTCTTGGTGATTTTTTAAGACTGCATGACAAATGCAGAGATTCGGTTTTACTCATCCTTGGTGCGTCCAAACCGTTCAACTGACCCTTTTCACTTTGCAATTGTTTACATGAATGAAATTTCAATTTCTAGATACCAATATGACTGGAAACTTTTGGAAGCTAAAAAGAATCTTCTCAGAACACACACAACTGCGGTCAGTGCCAAAATGCTTGCCAAGCTAGGTAGCCAGGTAAGATGAAGTTTAAATTTGAAGTGATAGAATTTCAAAGACCTTTTTTAGAATCAAAGATGTGTGCTAGTTGAATTGAAACATTTTAAGAATCTAACAGGAATTCTGATACCGTTGAAGGCGTATTAAGCCCCAGAGGACCCCCATTTCATGAGGTTCTAGCGGGGCATGAAAAGTGAATAGGCTTCATTTTCAAAATTGGGAGAGAGACATACTGCCTTTGAAGTTGGGAAATATGCGCTGGTTGCTATAGGAACGCCTAACTGTTTTGTGTCTTTCGCTAAAACTGCCAGAATAACTAAAGGCAGCACCGGGCAAACAAGATTAGAAAACAAGAATTAGAAAATTGAAATATAACGCGTGAAGTCTTTCATTTCTTTTTATTGTCTTTTTTGCAAGATTATGGGGTAGGCTTATTGAAGAAGGGGCCAAATAGAGAGGGGACTAAATGGCCAAAAGAGCTTTACACTGAAAGGAGGAAGGTTAATTGAAGAGGGGGCTTAATAGAAAGGAGACTAAATGGTCAAGAGAGCTATACATAAAGTAATTTTTGGTTGTCCTTTTTTTGTTCAAAATATATATTATTTTTATCAATCATTTTGTATCATCATTTTTGTTATTTTGCTGTATTTAGATCATCGCAAAATCATGATTTATGTTACAATTCCACAAATGGATATTTTATCCACAGGATGAATTCAAGCCTTCAAAGTTCTTCTCAATTGATCGAGTTTTCAGAAACGAAACGCTAGATGCAACACATTTGGCCGAGTTCCATCAAATCGAAGGCTTAGTTGCTGATTATGATCTCAGCTTGGGCCATCTAATCGGCATTTTGCACCAGTTCTTTAAAAAGCTAGGTATTATTTAACACGACATTCGATGTTTTTACGACGTTAACAAATTTATTGGGTCTCTTATGCGAGGAGCATAAAATATTGTTAGAGCACTTGTCATTAGGTATCAAAGACTTATTGAACAAGACATTTTGTGAATGAATTGACTTATTTATGAATAAATGAATGGATAGTTGAGTGGATAAATTAATGAAATTGTAAATCTATGAATCAATGAACGAATTAAAAATTGAATCAATAAACGAATGATTGAGACGGATCTGTTTGCAAAAGATTGTATATTGTTTTCAAAGGAATAAAGGCGTAATCCATGACGATAAAAAGTTCATAGATATAGGTGGATGATTTTTGTGATTGCAATATCCGCAGTTAATGGCAAAAAGAAAAATTCAGTTATACAGTTTATGAATTACTTGCCCGTATATAACTGCGATTTCTTTGTTGACTTATGCGATATCATATTGTGTTCAGGCTAAATCTTTACTGAAAGTTGATATCACTAAAAATATCTCGCATGGATGTTTTATTTACTTATTTACATTTCAAAATTGATAAATGCACAAATATTTCCCACACCAACCAAAGTGCAAATTCAACTTCGTTAAGATGATGTTATTTTCCATCAAGCATCAAAGGCTTCAACGCCAGCTGCATCAAAAATATTATCAAGTATCAAAATTATGATGTTGTTCTTTGATCTCTCTTTGAACTGCATGTTCCAATATTCGTTTAAAATGCATTTTCACCTAAAGGCATCGAAAAGCTTCGTTTCAAGCCGGCCTACAACCCCTACACTGAGCCAAGCATGGAAGTTTTCAGTTATCACGAAGGTATGTGAAAAAACATTTCGTTTTAAATTTTAAGAGTAATTATTTAGATAATCAAAAGTATTAAACGAAATGTTGCACTTTTTTTCCCAGGGGGGTCACTCAAACTTTTTGTATAATTATCGATAATTATTGGTAAGAACTTTGCCTTGTGATCTTATACTTTTGGGTACAATATGCCTTTTTTATACTTCTTTGCACAACTAACACACAACAATAATATCAAAAACAGGAATAATAAAACAGATGTGTTTAATGTGATTATTAAAGGAAAAGTCTCTGTTACTATGAGTAGTGGTATCTTATGTGCTAAACAACAAGATTTAATGTATTTTGATATATATTAGCTTTAGCTGATAATTTTGGGTCTGCTAAATTTGTTTTGATACTTTTAGGTGAATTTTGACAACTACGGATGGACCTCCCTGTATAAAAAAGTTCTGAGTAACTCCCCTGGGACTTTTGTAATAAATTTTCATTGTATTCAAAGGTTTGAAGAAATGGGTCGAAGTTGGAAATTCTGGTATATTCCGTCCAGAAATGTTACTGCCCATGGGACTTCCTGAAAATGTGTCAGTTATTGCCTGGGGACTTTCACTCGAAAGGTGAGTGCAATATTTTTATAAGCAAATTTAAAGGGATATTCTCATTGGCCTTTATGCCACTGCTTGTTAAAGTTGATGCCCTGGTTATAGAATTTTCTTCTGTCGGCCAAAATCAAGTACAGCATATCCAACGTTGGCGTAATATATTGAATTTGTCTTTATGAATTACTTTTTGTTACACTTTTCTGGACTAATTTTGTCAATAACAAACCAAAGTTAATATGTGACAGTCTAGATAATTTTAAGAAATATAAGAAGTATGTTTAAAAATGGAACCCACGAGTTAGATTCCCAACGTGTTCACTTTACTAATTGGGTAAAGCTTCACCTTTATCATAACAGTACCTGCATTTAACTCGCGCAAATCCAGATTCAGAAAGTTTCAAAAACATTGTTTTGTCACAGAGATTCTTAATGCCGATAGTCTGCTGTCATGTTTTATAAGTAAGAGCAATTGTAGGTGCTGTTTAAGCAATACTGTCTATGACACGAGATGTTGGCATCTTACCCTACGAAGACACATCGTTTATCTTGCAACCTTGATTTCTTAGTATGGCTGGAATAAGAAATGGAGAATCGTATCATGCATTAGAGATCCTTCTTTCGTTTTTTATTCATTACTACCTATCACCAAAGTAGTTTTTAGGACACTGAGAAGCTGTGCTTATTGAGCAGTGTCCTGGTCCTTCCTCTCGATGTGACCTTACCTCGTGATTACTACATTTAGATTGTGAGAGAAATGGCAAATGCCCTCACTAAATGAAAGCTATAGTTGTATTTCATTGATACCGTTATGTACAAGGAAAGCAATCGAGTATTTGTATCAGTGAAATATGATTTTTTGAAGGATTACCCGATGAAGGATTATTCGATGAAAAATTGATGTTATCAGCAAACCAAAATTCAATAAAACAACGTGGAGGCTTGAACCTCTTGTAGGACTTTCTATTTAAATTTGCTATCTTTAGTATTCTATATTGAATTATTTTTTTGTTGACATTTCCATTTCTCCTTTGTCAGACCCACGATGATCAAGTACGGCATATCCAATATCCGGGATCTCATTGGTCACAAAGTTGATCTCGATATGGTTCAACAAAATCCAATATGTCGGCTGGAATGATCACGTTTTGCGACTTAACTATGTAGTAGTCTTAGCAATTATTTTTTGTTAATTTGAACGTAAATTGAATGAAACAAAGTGTCGATTTATGATATGCTTTTTTCTTGTGTATTCACTTGCAGCTAGATTGTTTCATGTCTTTCACTGATAGGAGATCGATCAAATACAAAACATTTTAGTAGGACATAGCAGCAGTATCCTAGCTGAAAAAAATGTGTTGATTCCCCTCAAGAATCATTTTTAAGGCCGTTGATTTTCACTTTGGCTCTCTCTCTCTCTCTCTCTCTCTCTCTCTCTCTCTCTCTCTCTCTCTCTCTGGTCATGGCCTTCCACTTTCTTGGATCTTTTTTGCAGCATGTAGCATGTCATTTGTTGTCATCATATAACCTGCCATGGATGGTAACATCATTTGTCTCTGCCTTCCTCTCGCTTTCTTGCCTTGAATCTTTCCTTTCATTACACTTTGTTCCAACTCTTCTTTCCGTATCACATGATCTATAAATTTTCTTTGTTTTTCTCTGATGTCTTTCCACAAAGATCTTTGTGTTTTTGTTATCTGGAGTATTTTCTCATTGCTGACATGTCTTGTTCAAGATATTCTTAACATTCGTCTAAAAAACCACCTTTCTGAAGCTTCGATTTGCTTCCTCATCGTAGAAGATACTGTCCAGCAATCGGAACCATATGTAAGGATTGGAACGATGTAACACTTTAGAATTCGTATTCTTACTTGATATCGATTTTCATGTTAATCAGGATGTTCTTCATTTTCATAAATGCATCTTTTGCCATACCTATGCGCCTTTGTGCTTGCGAGGTGGTGGTCTTTCCTCGTTTGAATTACATTCTGTCTTTTTGCAGTTTATAGTTAGGCCCTTTTCAGCACTTTCCTGAACCACCTTGTCTAGAATTCGTTGTGAATTTCCTTCGGTTGTAGATATTAGCACAGTGTCATCTGTATATCTAAAATTATTTGTGTCCTTTCCACCTACGGAGATACATTCAAGATCTTTGATTTCTCTGAGTATCATTTCACTGTTTAAATTGAAGAGGTCTGGGAAAAATACGCAGCCTTGTCGAACTCCTCTTTCTGTGCTGATGTATTGACTCAGCTGGTCTTCCACTCTGATTGCTGCGGTTTGTTCTCAGTACAATTTCCTTACGATCCTGAGGTCTTATCCATCTAGATCTAGTGATGTTAGCATGTTGAACAATTTCTAATGCTGTACCTTGTCAAAAGCCTTAGAGTAGTCTATAAAGCATAGGTATAGATCTTGCTGCACTTTAATTGATCGTTCTCTGCAAGTGTTCACATCAATAATATTGCATTTCTTGTGCCTCTATCGTTTACGAATCCACATTGTTCTTGCGAGATTTCTGATTTGATCTTGCTTCTACCTCTTAGCATAATGATTCGTAAAAATACTTTTGTGATATAACTCATAAAACTTATTGTTCGATGAAGTTCGCAATCTGGTTTCTTTTTTAAGGTTATAAAAATTGATCTCCTTAGTCTGTTGGAATTGAACCGCTTTCTTCAAATCTCGTTTAATGCGTCAGTTAGTTTTTCGCTACCAAACTCTTCAAGGGTTAAAATTTGTTCCATCTTTATTTCGTCTGACCCTGCTTTATTTCTTTTCATTCTACTTAATACTGATCTCACTTTCGATTGTAGGATTTTCAATCCTTTCATGTTTTTCTTAATTTCCGGCAAGTTTCCTCTGTTAACTTCAAACAGTTCCTTGATATGTTCTTGATATATTTTCACATTACTCCATACATTTGGTTAAGTCACGTGATGTGCAATAGTAAAAACATCATGCAATAAAATTTTCCTATTAGAATAGTTAAACAGATTTTTCAATCCAGTCAACTGAATTCTTAGATCTATGAAATATAATCGCAGAGATCTCCTAATATTTCTCGGTAATCGTAGATTATTACTATTTCAATAAAATTTCCGTTTATAAACACAACACCTCTGATTTGAATCACTTGTCTACTTTTTAATGTTTAATTCACTCTTAAGATTGTTTGCCTCGTGATGGATAACTTTCTCCTTATGCCAATGATGTAGAAGCGCCGAAGGCGCTAGATGTCTGACTCACAGGTACGCTGTGAGGGGAATTTGTTTACTTCCGCCATTTTGAATAGTGGCAAAAAGGAACTTGCTCCATACTGAGCCCTTATGAATTTGGTAAAAGTAAGGATTGATTTCATTCATTTGGAAAAATAAGCCGTCATTCGCAAATTCCAAGCATTTACAGTCGCGCTACTTGCTGTGGTGTTTTCTGTCTCGTCGAAATTCCAGAAAATAATGATTGATCTGTTTTAAAAGGGATCCAGCAACAATTTTTAGCCACTCAATGCATAATTTTCTAAACACATTTGTACAAAGATGTGATTTAGTTACTTTTTTCTTTTTTTGTTTACAGAAACTGCCATGACATATCCAGGCCTAACTCTAGAAAAAGCCAAAAATAGGTCACAATTCAATGCTTGGATATTAATAACAGAATCTAAATATAGGAACCAATTTTTGATTTTATATAGTCAATGATATTTTTAGACTATTTCAAAACCACACTCGTTGCCTGTAATTATTCTTCTGCACAATGCGTCCCTCCCCGCCGTATCTTCAGGCCTATAAAATACCTTCGGGGTACATTCATTTTCACGACAAAGATTACTAATTTGGCCTTACCAAGAGGAAAGAAATTTGATTCATATCAAATTTCTTTTCTGCAAATTCAATTTGATAAACTAAACATAAAACATTCGCATTTTCCTACTCATGCCATATTAGGTTCTAAACGACAGACAGAAAAATTCAAGAATCTTATATTTAAAATGATCTATATTATTAGATAATAGACTCAAAAAGGTCTTTCTAATTTATATGAAGATAAAAATTGCAAGCACATACTTTTTCAACTCATAAAAACACGACAGGCCACTGCTATATTCTTCCCGTAACTGCGTAAACTAAAAGAGCCATATTTTTTGAAATTCTGTTTAAAAACCCCAAAAAATTGTTGTGTGTTGTTGATTTATATCTTTTCTAACTACCTACATCAGAAAAGGCACTGAAATAGTTGTGAGCCACGAGAAAATCATTCATTAAAACAAGCAATTTTACATACTGAGCCCTATTGCAGCTCGCTTTTTGCCACTATTTAAAATGGCAGTAGTAAACAAATTTGCCTCACTCGGCAGTACGCAGCATGACCCTAGTTAGACATTTAGTCTTTCAAACCTTCTTCCCATTATCAAGCAAGGACACAAGACAACCTCCTTAGAAAAGCCCTACCGTCTTTTTCCCAGTTGAGTCTTATTGTGGATAATGGGAAGATCAGCAAAACCACATGATTTTTTGTGTAACTGAGTATTCAATTGTCCCTCTTTACCTTTTGTAGAACGTATGGAGTTTCAGTTGGTTTTTTGCATAAGAAACATTGTTTTTTGATTTTCCCTACAAATAATTCACAAGTGTGTGGCAGTTTGAGCAAGTTCGTATCTGAGAGATCACGTATTTAATGGCACGCTTGTGAAATCCACACACGAAACTGCTAGCTGTGTAAGCCCTTGCCTGCGTGCAAATGTCCAGCCTTACGTAAATATACCATGTGCTACAATTCAATTCAATTCCATTCAATTCAAGAAACGTGCATTGATCCTTCATCTCAGATTCTGCGCATATCGGCAGCACCTTTACTGCCATTCAAGGAGAGTTTGTTTGCCGATCATGATAAGCAACAAGCATGGTTACCGATTAAATCTTACTATTTTTTCTTGATCAATTTTCTTCTTTGCCAATCGTACATTTCTTTATCACTGTCTTAAGATAATAAAAATTTTACTTCTTCTTCCAATTGGGCTGATACTGATGTTATCTTCCATTGTCTATAAATTTTTTATGGTTATGATTATTGGATAAAACGCTTGATAACGACTGAATTCACCTTCATTGTTTCTTTTTCTTATCAGTTTGAGTCAGTAACAAACTTTGAGCAAAACACACTAAATTATTTTGTGACAGAAACTCTTGTCAAGGGATACCAAAACACCCATTAAAGAATTTAAATGCTATGTTCCAAAGTAGATACATAACTCCTTCTGTAGTCCATTTTTGTAGGGCAATTAGACACTGTCCATTTAAACACTATTTTGAACAGAAATGTCGACAAAAGGAATTCAAAGGTCTTTCAATTCATATTTTCTGTTAATCATGGAAGAGAGGGGATTTATTTTCTTCGTAGATAGAAAAGAGGTTTTGATAGAATCTTTTTCCGATTCACACGTTTCAAAATGTATTGTTTTATCAAAATGTTATGAAGGTGCTAAAAATATTTCACATTTCAGAAGAATTTTAGCAGAAAAATATTAATGTTTATTTATAGCAGGTGTTTATTTTATTCGGCTGTTCAGGTGAAAACGGAGAACATTTCTAAAAACTTTTTTGTATTGTGGTTGTAGAGTATCTTCTGCCTGTTTTGTTAAGAGAATATTTTTGCGTAGCATTCCTTAGCACGCCATTCATTCGAATGGACCATCTTTATTGCCACACCTGTTCTTTTGAGCATCGGTAACAAAAAATCTGCGTTGGTGAAATATGCCTGTGAAAAACCTAATATTTAATTGTTTTAATGGAGGATCTGAAGGATCAGTATAGTAAACAAAACTGTAAATATTTGCAAAGAGGTGAAGATAAATAGAGAAATTCACCTGTTAGGCCTCACATGCACTGAAAATGCTTTTGAGATCTTCACTGTCGTTTCTGTTAGCTTTTATGGTTCTGTTGTCTGTCGTTAAAGATGGGCAACTTTGGCGACGAAGGAGACGAACTTGCAATGGCTGCGCTAAAGGAAAACGGGAACTTGTTCGAGGGGACGAGGGCCTAACTTCAGGTAATTATTTGAGCCAATTTCAATGAATCCCCCATGGGTTTATGTGCATGCTATAGCTGTCAGTTCTATTTCCCAAAGGGCTGTATGGAATATAATGATTGGCACTCGGCATATGCGTATGTTTTGGGAAGGAATTATTTGTAAAGGTCAAAGATTTAATTTCTGCGTTTTCCTTCCTGAAGTCAACAGGCAATTTGTTCTCATATCCATTTCCATAGCGAGTTGATGAAATAAGAAATCTGGATCTTAAGTATAAATATATCTAGTCATCTACAGCTTAGACTCTAGGTAGCTTTGCTGGTTTATGAATCTCTCGTGTTTTCTTAAGGAAGTTGTGGAAAAATTATTGACTGTAGCTTCATCAATTATCAACGATCATCTTTTGCAATTTCAATCCCATATGTTGAATTCTTATACAGATTTTGAGAATCTTTCTACATTTGGTTGTGAGCAAACAGGAGAATATCTTTTCTCAAATGGAAAGCTCGTACCAAGACTGGCCAGCGATGATACGAAGCTCTCAATTGAATGTAACAAACACTACTGCAGGACAAAAAATATTGCAAATGGAAGGAAAATATGTTGGAAATGCCGACTCGACGTAGAAGAATTTGTTATGCTAGACGCATTTAATATGGATGGTATTGAATGCAAAGATCAAGATTTCTCGATAGAGCTTCTAGGAAATGACAATTCAGATGACTTTCTCTAAAGAATATGTGATATTTTAGTTCAGCCTATTGGCGAGTTTCATTTACTTATTTGTCATGACTCTCTGCGTGTAATTACGATAAATGTAATTTTTTGTAGATATAATTGTCACATTACAAAATGTAAGTAAATAGAATTAATTAGAAGTCAAATTTAAGTTGTTGTATAGAAATAATATCAGAATTCAGCAACAGGATTTTTGGAGAGGGAGCCAAGATTCCTCAAAAATCTATATAAATTTTTTTTTGAGTATATGAAAGATGTATGAGGATAGTATAGTAACTATTTATGTTGAAACGTATAAATATTTTCGCTAAATCTGTGTTCTTGTTTTACTAGTACGTTTTTCTCGACATCAACAAGCTTCCACAAAAAGATGGCATTTTGATGACATTCGTCCCTCTTAGCAAAAAATTAGACCGAGAGTATGCTTTGTCAATAAGAATTAATGAAATATTTTTGGAAAAATTATACAAGAAAAGTCACTTTAGTGACTGGTGGGAAAACTGCCCCACCGGGCAAAACTTGCTGCCCAGCAGAGAGAAAAATTAAAACCATTGCCCAGAGATTTCCCCATCACTAGTGGGCCTTCTTGACGCAGAATGCATTACTTTACTGAAATATGCTCATCGTTTGAGGTTTTACCCAACTGTCTAGAATCCTGGGAAGATGCTGGGAAGAAGAATTTTTCGTCATATGAGTATTTCTTAATTCAGTAGCAGAGCACTTTGTGGTATCTGTTTTTTTAGAAAAAATGTGTTTATCCTTAAGCACTGAGATATCAAGGACAATCTAACCAGTGTTACAATTACCTTGGAACACAAGCCATTTACATTTTGTTTAATAATAATTCATAACTTTTCCCCAAATATGAATATTTCCAGCCCTTTGCCCAAAGAATAATGTTGAAGGTATTATATAAAATGTCACACGAAAAACCCTAATTCTTTATATCTAACGTGGACGTGTAGCAAGCCAAATTGTTCGCAGAGGGAAAGAGAGATAGCTGAATTTGTCTTTGAAACCTAGTGTCAGTGTTTCGAAACTTTGGCAGGCATTGTAGCATCTATCAGAGACACATTTAGTTTGAAGGGTGTTATCAATAGCAGAATATTACTGTATATAAAGTATAATTTCAAATATTTTGCTCCATTAAATGAAATATTCACTATTGCTGTTTCATAATCTAGTAATAAATACATGAAGTTGATAGGATTAAATAAATTGTTACGGGGGATATATACTTATAGCTAAGTTTCAAATCATCCTGCCAATTGCTGCAATGAAATTTCCCGCTAACTTTTCTGCCCAACTCCATCGACATAATGTCTTTGATATTTTCCATAGCAGGACTTGAATGTATGCAATTGTGTTCTAATGAATATCTGTAAGAAAGTTTGTTACCTTAAACTTAAACGGTGAAAATCTGGAAAATTTTCTAAGCTTCTAAATGTACCATTAATCAAGCAGAAAGCCGTATTGAGTAAGCAAAAAAGAAGTAATGACGGATGCTTGCCGGGGTAACGAAGACCATCGTAATAAAGACATCAACTAAAATGGGGTTTAACATTTATCAAAAATTTAGGAAAGGCAGAAAACTAACATCATTATTCATAGCTATCATATCACTTCCTCGATTTCAAAGAGAGGCTAGTACATTGTTTATAAGCACCGCCGTTTAGTTGATCCAAGTACACGTTCCATATTTTTTTGTGGTCAAAAGTCAATGTTTTCAAAAAATATGATTGAGAACATACGCATGTAAAGCAATCAGTATTCACAAAAAATTTACGATTGTCAATAAATAGAATAAAAAAATTCTAATAGCATCAACCTGAAAACACTAATCTTAGAACAGAGAAACAATATTTAAATATTGAAAATACTTACTACAACCAAAGAGAGCGACTGATATTTTAGAAGACTGGGACTGATTATAGGGAACAATTTTGACTTTCCGTGCAATGATTGGTTTGAAGAGTGTGTGACGTCTTCCATCCAGTTTCGCTGTGCTGGCGAACACCTATCAATAGAATGTTGAATCAACGCTAAGATCCTTTGGTAACAAGCCTGGGTTGTAGAATCGATAAAGTAATATATCCTGGTAGATTGCTGGAGCTCTCAGGAAGCAAAGTAGATCATTAGGAAACAAAATGGGACGATTATTGTTAAATGTTGGTAAACATGATAATTAGTGCAAAGTTTTCGTCATATGTAGCAGGGTATCTTTGTTTTTTACATTGATTCATTCTAAGCAGACTATTTGTTCTTTATAATCAATTTTACTAGCGGTATGTTTCTGTCCACAATCTCGGCGAGAATGACGAGAATATAACAAAAAACTCTGTAAAGAGAGTAAAGAAAGAATGAAGTATTTCTCTTTCAATTTTCAGAACTTGTTATACATCTTTAGTTATTTGTTTATCTCTACGCGTATATGCCAAACATTAAATGCAAAAAGAAGGCTAATTTCGGCACGATTCATAAATGTATAACAATGTTTGTTTGTAAGGGACTTCTAGCAAACAAATAAAAAACTTCAAAATATCGATTATAATAGCACCGAATGGCTTTTTTATAGATTTTGTTAGCACAGCTGATCTAAAGCTATTGAGAAATCATGTTTATGACATCAATACATTTGCGCAATGGCTTATCCGCCATGAAAGGCTAGATGTGATGAAAAATGAAGGATTTGAAATAGACGAAAATATTCAACTAAGCCCTTATCAAGAATGACAATTGCTCACATGCAATACAGAGCACCTTGATATAAGGACAGAAGCAAACACTTTAAAGTTTTAGTTCGCTGCTTCTCAAGTTTGAAAAAACGCCGCATAACGACCCTCTAACCCTGTATCAATCTAGAGGCCATACTTTTCCCAGACCCGGCCAGTTCATACCCTCTTCACCATATGAACAAACGCAGGCATTCGCAATTTAATGGTTACGTCACGGGCTGCCAAGAAAACTATTTGCTTTCCCTAACAATAGACTAACCTGAAATTTCGCGCTTTGGTAATTACGTGAAACTGCCCCTAAAATCACCACTTTTCCAGTTATTCAATGGAACTTGCTTTTGTAAAGCTTATATAGCCGATTGCGTTTCCACGGCTTGTTATCGGAGAGGTAGAATTATCTGATTTTTCAAACAGCAAAAGATGATTAAGGCAGAAAAAGTTAACGATTTCGTTTGTAAAACTAGATTGCGTTACAATCCTAATCAATTAAATATCCCAAAAAAAATTCAAACAAGAATAATTCAATATATAAAACAAATGAATAAAATATTTAATTCAGATGCAATAGAATACACTAAATGTAACTTTATCGAAAATAACTTTTGGTTGCCAATTGGCAAGAATTTTTGTGTAACTTACAGCTTTATCTTGGAATTCGTGATACTCTAACCAAGTTTCTCCGTCAAGGCTATACGAAAAAGTGTATTGTACAGGGCTTTTTCGTCCTCTGTGGGTCACTTCAATGTTTGTTATCAGCTTCCTGGCCGGAAGATTAGCCAAGATAAATGATCCATCGTTTTCAAGCTCCTTCTCTTCGTCATCTGCAAAAATATTCAAATTTATGCATTTTATTACAAAGCATATATTTCCATGAGACAAGATCTAAAAGATGTGTATAGGATTGATTGGATAAAAAGAAATCAGCAAAAGCTATGTAAAGCATTTAAAATTCACTTTAGGGAGCCACACGTTTAAAACTAACTCAAAATTATGTCAACAGGGAACAAAGTAACACGAAATTTGATAATTGAACTCATTATGAATCATTATGTATCACTTTATATAATAAGAGAGAAACAAGCGAACAGAAAGGGAGAATAATTGAAAGACCAATCGTCTTTTTTCTTTCGTGTTTTTTCTTGCCTTCCCTAATACCACAGCTTTCTTTATTCATCCTCTTTTATTCTTGTTAATTAACAAAGTTCAGAAGATAATCAATGGCTGTTTACGGAAGCATTGTTGGCAAGTGAGGATCATTGGATGCAGAGATACCTTGAATTCTGGTACTTGCATCGAAGGCGAGGTATCTAGAGAGTTCTTACCGTCTAACGAGCTGCCAGACTTCAGACCCCCAAAACTCCTGCCTTGAAGCTGAACAAGTCTTGTTGGTATCGGGCAGCCTGTTAAACAAATCAACACATCTTATCAATATATTCACTAAAAGAAGAAAATATAATCACTAAAAGGGAATCGATGCTTCTCGGGGTAAGTATTCTAAATTGGGCAATGATTGTTCCAACAATAGGCTGTAAATGTATCGTGAGAATATGCTAGATTTGTTGCACAAACAAGCAAACCGTAGTTCTCAAGAATGTTAAGCAATTCAAATATTTTTACTTTGAATGTAAAATGTTGTTCTGATTTACTCAAGATTATCAGATGGAAAGGAAAATAAAATTTTGCATTGAGTGATGATTTTAAAATTTCAAATCAATTTGACGAAATCTAAAGCTCGGTGCAAATCACTGCAGTTTTATCCTATCATAAATAAATTATCAAGACTTAAGTTGTTTTTTTGATAAGAAAGTGTCGAACTGCCTACAAAACAAGACCGTAATATTTCTCTTTCAAGGTCCAATTCCGAGAACTTTTCCACTCTGGCGACCATAAAAACTGCCTTAATGCGATAAGTTTCTAGTTATATACAGTGCTAAGAGCGTTTGCTCGAACTCGAAATTTGTCAGAATAGGTGAAGGATAGGGATGCACTAACAAGTAACCCTGTTGTCGAACTCTCTTCCTGTGTTTACGGTCTCAAAATCATCGTTTTCGTGGTTCAAGCGACACTTCCAACAATCTTTGTCAGACATACAGAGATAGCTGTTGCAGCTGAAGGGGCCATTGGCACGAGGAACTGATCTTGAGTCATTTCTGCTATAGTACTCAAGGCTAGTGTCCTTTTTTCCAACCAAGCACTGTGCGTCTGTAATGATCAGAGATGTGACGTAATTGAAACTTCAGTGCACAAAGCAAACAACAAGTAAAACATCAAACGCTAAGTTACTGTGTTTAGTTTGGAAAATAATCTAACTGATGCATCAGCAAATAAGTACAAATTCAATTGACTTCTTAGCATAGTGTGTGCTAAGGTGTTCCTGGTAACCTCATAACGTATGTATAATGAATTATACAGTATCTGACATGTAATCGTTCACCGTTGTAATTGGTCACAGGGCTCAGACTTCAACAAAATTCTTCAATCTCCTATGAGTGCGATTAAAATTACATTTTGATCCCAGGACTCTTACATGCATTTTCAGGGAATTCAGGGGCAAAACTGAAAAATATCTAGGAAACATGGAGCTTTAAAATTTGCTAAATTTATTGCCTTGATATAGAGATGGTTGATGAAATTTATGATTCCTATCAAGCAAAGCAGAAGTTTGAGATATCTAAAAAGCTTCACAAATCAGAAACCTGTGTGTGATTTTGAATCTCAGCATGAAATCCACGACAAAATGAGAAAAGCGCCAGTTACACACTACATTGTACTTTTTACAAAATCTTGAATTCACCAAATGCCATTTCCTCTTTTCCAACAGTAACTGATAAATCTAGAGCCAAATGATATATATACCTTGGCGGTGTGAGAAAATGTAGGCCTCTTCTCAACCCAAATACCTCATTTTGGTATGAGAGCCTGTCAGATAGATAGATGACATTAGAACATAAATGTTTGCCTGACTTGTCTTCTAATGTCATCTTTCTTCAGACCAGATCTATTGTCGCAATGTCTTTGCTATGAGAAGCGCAAATAAACAGGAAACCATGTTGAATTCTCAATATGATTTTTCTCACTTACCTTTGCATATGATTTTGTTTATCTGACTTGGCATTACTTCTCGGAATTCCAATCCTCCGCTTCTTAGCTTGCATTGCCAGCAATAGTGGCCTTTCCAGCAAAAGTCCTTGTTGCATTTGAGCCCTGTCACAGTCGACCCTGTATTGTCAGTTGGAACAACTTTTCCTCTTTTTAAACTGTATTCTCCATGGATCGAGCATTTTCTTCCATCTGAAGAATAAAGAGGGGGAAGCTAAATATACAATCTTTGGTAGACTGCACCCCCTCCATTCCCTAAATGTCAAAAATTGGTATCTATTTAATTTTGCACCCCCTCCATTCCCTAAATGTTAAAAATTGGTATCTATTCTACTAAAAAGTCTGTCTCTTGATGTTGGCAATGCGTTTTCCTGGTCATAGAGACTATGTATGAGTGTTCTGATTTTGTCGTACTAATTTTGCCTTACTGATAATGTCAAATTTGGATTAAAGCTGGTTACAATGATTTATGTGAAAACATAAAGATGTCTCTTTTTTTCGCCGTGCTGGCTATTCTGAACAATAAGAAGGGAATCGCAATTTCATGCATGTTATGTGCCAGCAGTAAATTAGCTTGGGAACAGAATGACTTAAAGGATGAACTGGTTAGCCATTGTTTAAGACAACATAACACAGCAAAAATTGGGAGACAATGTCTCTTGATATGATTGGCTAGAAATGCTTGCCTTTTAGTAATTTTTCGAATTATCAAATCTGAACAAGTCATTGGAGATACAGCTGGAGGAAGAATGTATTCTATGGCAACATGCAAGTTAGGCCCTTGCATCGTGATAGCAATGTTCTATTGGCATATTGTTTGATTATAGAATGGAAAGAGGCGTTAAAAAATTCAAAAGCAATATCAAGCTTGAAAATATCTAGAAATTTCAGACGTGGCATATGCTGACAATACTCACAATCTTCTAAAAATTTTTTTTCATTGTTTGCTTAATCTATAGCAACAAACAAAGATTATACATTTAGATGGCCGAAGCTGGAGTTTCGTAACTAACACACTACTGATGTGATAGCTGAGAGCTGCAGGTCTAAAACGAATTCGTAGCATTTCACGCACTTATTCTACCTACAATACTTTTATTTTTGCATTATCAATACCTATAAATTTAACAATGTACCTGAAACTAAAGAGATGCAACTAGCTTTGCACCATATTGCAAATATGCTACATCAAGTTTATGTTTTTGGATCAAAATAATTTAAAGAAAAGAAACTTTCGACTCCAGTTCCTTCCAATCTTCACAGCAAAGCAAAATGTCTAAACATTTATAGATTTTGTATAAAACCTATCACAATTTTAAAATTTACCTACTTTCGAAATTGAAAATTGCCATTCCCAGGCTCCACAAACACAAGAGACTTTTGGTCCTAAAAAGCCGTTCTCTGGGTCGGATGAAAATTATACTCAAGTGTTTTGCTTTCGCTTTTTCGCTTCTAAAAATAGAAAGCTTCTCAATCTTCGTGCAGTCTTTCAGCAAAAACATACCTAGAAACGCCCTTGTCAGACTTTATCAATCTTACTTTGATGAATACTCGGGCAAATGATTTTCATGTTAAATTTCTATGCATGAATACTTTGGCCTTGAAAACAATAATCATGTATCACATACTTAGTTAAATATATTAGTTCCCGTGTTATACAATATAAAATGGCAATAAAACTTAAAATAAAAGTAAAATTGTACGAGGAAATTAGGAGGGAATTTTAAAAAACAAGATTCGCTCTCATATTGCTCGTACAAATTCACTTAAATTTAAAGTCATATTCTTATTAAATGATATCAAAAAAATATTGTAACACATGTTACTATAGTTTTTGAATTATAAACAAGAAATTTTGGAACAAAATCATGAAAAATCTTCCCTGAAAAGTTCTCTAAACCAACGCTTGATGGCCTTATCATGGCAAAGATGTGAATACAGATGGCTGTTTGTGTATTACTAAAATCGGTCATCTTGCTATTTCTACAGAAAGTCAAAACTCACAGAACAAAGAACCACAACACATATCGGCTTACCTGACCATCGAAAGGAGCCGAGAATGAAAACCTGTGCTATTGATGCATCTCACAAACTTCCACAAACATATTCTTAAAATCTTACAATATGTATCTAGATCACGAGACCAGTGCCTCAGAACGGATCATAACTGATCAAACTCTTGAATGAGGCTCTGTCACGACAATTTCACTATGAATGCGCTATAATGCAAAAGGAAGACCAACGAATTATTTTCATAAAAGAAGATTATTACTTCGAAGTCAATTGATTATCTAAAATCTACAAAACGACTCCGTTTGGCTCTTGAACAGCAGTAACGCTGATCTTCACCAAAGAGACATGTGATGATAATGGTTGAAACTCACCTGACAGAAGATCTCGCTTCTTCCGTGTTTCTAATTCCTTAGCGCCTCGCACCTGGCTCACTCTTCTTCTTCTTCTCCATGCGTTGATGACATGCAAGTTTAGGCCAAGGGCCAAAACGGCCGTCAGTAAAACGACCTGCATGGTGAAGCGCATTACTTCTGATTGACAAGCTATTTTAGCATCACTCTCAAGTTTGTTCACTATCAACCAGTTTATCAGATGGCAGGCTTTAAACTCCGGAACGATGAATCTGGAGTGTGGACTTCGGAATACTGAAACAGACTAAGGATGGTTTACGGTTCAAATTCAATATTTCCGTATTTTCATTTGTCCCTGCATTAAAATTTTGAATGCATGGTGTATATTTAATTTTTATGGCTCTAGCCAAGCATAAATCGGAAAATGTTTCGTTGCATTGAACCATCTGACGTTTTTCGTATAAATAAAGGGATATGTCAGATCAATTGTGCACAAATTACCCTTATGTTTGAAGACCATCCATCATATTCTAATTTTTATCTCTTCAGTCTGCATTTTCCCGTGTCTTGATGTACCATTTTCAATAATGGACTGCAATTTTTGATCGCTCTGCAAGTTTTATGGCAAATCTTTAGAAAGATAAGGTCTTGACAAATTGACTTTAATGGATTCCATTTTCAAGCTTCTTTCTTTAAGGGCAATTCTCCAACCAATAAACTCTAATTTAGAGTATTCCATAAAAGGAAAGATAGACAAGCATTCCCCGGAAGTATTTATTTCAAATTTGGTGTTATTCGTGGTGCATCAATCTCGATTTGATTCAACTAGACGTTATTCCGAGGCGTTATCTACCTGCGCCAACAAAATGCATTGTGGCTATTGCCAGTTACAAAGAAATCTTGCAAGTACTAATTATTGATATAATGAAAATGTATGACCAGCATATGAACAGCAAATGAATGAAGTGGAGGGAGGGAGGTGAAACGAAAGTGAGATTGCACAAATAGTTGTATTGTGTGTTGTTTGTTTTCTTCTTGGGAAAATGATCATTGCGCGAAACTGCACTCTAAAATTGTTTTGCTTGTTTAATCAGCTGACTCATTTTAATCTAAAAATTAGATAGAATACATGGGCTCCGACAAAGGTTGAAAAGTGAGGGGGCCAAGGAAAAATTTAACACCCATAACAAAAGATTTTGAAAAAACTCTATTGTTTTGCAAGAAAGTGGTGAGACCAAGGCCCCCCCAGCCCCCCCTTCCTCGGAGGCCCTGGAATAAACAGTGTATGAATAAGGCAAAAATAAAGCTGAAGAGACTTGTAAACTTAAATAATAGTTCTTGTTGCAACAAATAAAGGCCCCCTTTCTCCAGTGTATCAATCTTGAAACGTCTTTCTGATTTTTTCACCACGATTTTTTACTGGAAATTGACTTGTCCTATTTGAAGGAAGATTTATCCAGAAACCTACCCGTAAAAAGCACTAGAGTATGCATGTGATCAGCTTTAAAACCAATTGCATAAGCAAAAACCCACTTTCATATTCGTCGCATTTATAACGATAATATCTATTACAAGAGAACAAAGGAAGAAAGAGAAAATTACACCAGAGGGAGCAGTTGATGAAGTGCTATAAAGCTTGTGAGCTTTAAAAGATAGGCTATTTTACAGAACAGAGGTTGAAGGAGCAACTAGAGATGAAAGATGGTCCGAGGAATGAAGGAGGTAGAATTAGTTATGGTCTTTTGTGGAAATACCCAGTAATCTTGTTGGACAAGATTAGGTATGGTTGGGCTGCTTAACTTAAAGCGCTTTTTCACTTTCAGATTTTAATTGCCAAAAGATACTTATTTTTCTTTACAAAAGAAAAAATTGATGAAAAATTCTGTCTTTTTAACAAATCCTGAAAAAAGGATACCAAACCTTGACAAACATTAAAAGCCAGTTATTGAATGAATATTTGTACCTTCTCCAACCATAATAATGAACATGTTTGCAATTTTTGGCCGTTAATTCGCAAATTCACAGGTGCTCGAAATGCAGTGTTATTTCAATGGTCTGGTTTCGTTGCTAGGTTACTGTTATGAAGCGGATAAAATTTTACTTTTCAACACAACACACGTGGCTGCATTAAATAGCAAACCAAAGAACTGTGAAAATTTTTCTCCGTACAAAGAGACGACAAACTATTAAACAACGAAGATTCAACCGGAAGTGATGTTTAAGAGTCAAGAAAGAAGATTTAACCGCGGAGGCAGAGTTTAGCCATAGTGTCGAAGAAAAAAGTTCGTTGAAGACAGGAAAAAGAAAAGTGCTAATTTAATTGGACAGAGTTCCAGCAGCAATTTTTACAACGATTAGTTTACTGTCTCATTAAGTCATTAAGACAATAAAGCCTCGTTCTAAAGAACCCAAGAACACGTTGGAGTTCCAAAAAGAGGCAAAAACACACGTAGATGTCTGTCGCGGCGATCGCTTGCTTTTGTGCAAAGATATTCTTGACAAGATGTAACTAGAAATCATGACGTTGGAGGAAAATTGGAACACCAATACGAAATGCTTGTTCAGAAACCAGTGACTTTGGTCACAATACTAATGTTGGGAGTTTGGACTCTGGTTTTTTTGTATATGGCGTCGGATAAATCGATATCGGATTTTTCTGATCACTTAGAGGCTCAACTTCGACGAAAAAGGAAGTCTCGTGTTCTGCTACCCAGGATAAAAGGTGATTTGGATGATGTGAAGAGAAGTATTGGGAAGTTACCAGGCAAAAAGCAAGCTTTGGCAGTAGGGAAAATGAATGAAGGAGAAGATATCAAATCGCGATGGCAAAATATGTTCAGAAAGTTTGACGCCATACATAAGGGGGAAATAGAAGACAAATTAAGGAAGAAACGCAAAGAAATGTTTACAAAACTTGATAAAAACCGTAGCAGTGAGAAAGAGCGAGAAGGCAGCGGTGGAAAGTTAACAGACGATGAGATTAGAAACTTGGCCAAGTTTATAGCACACAAAGAAAACTATCGTTTTGATCAAGAAAAACAAGTGCTAGAAATGGCTGCAAGAGAGTCTGAAAGAAATGTTGACAGAGAAAAAGAAGTCGAGGAACGAAACGCAGTTGGTAAACAGCAAGAAAAAGGTTTAAATCAGCAATCACAAAAAGTGAATCAAAGTTCAGATAGGCATGTAACTGCTGGAATGTTGACAGTGGGGAAAACCAGGGAGAAAGTTATGGACGAAGAACAGAGTAAAGAGGAATTGGGCCAAGTGCTAGAAGAGGATAAAATCAAGGAGGGTAATGAAAGAAAGCAGGGAGAAAACAGGGAGGTCGATGATTCTGATCAAGATCAACACAGTAATCAAAACAAAGAAGTGATGATGGATGATTCGATGCGAAGCGGTAATCAAGGCAATCCAGCTAATCGCTCAAATGCCGAAATAAAACAGGATCAACTCAATAGAGAGGTCAAAAGCTCTTCTGATGAAAAGGAGAGTACAGTTGAGCGAAAGGAAGGAGCATCTGCTGAGCAAAACAGTGATGAATTGAATGAAAAATCAAATGTCAAAACGAATGGAAAATTGCCAGCAAATGAGAAAATGCAAAAACAGCTCGATGAAAATGGAATGGTGAAAGAGACAAATAACAGTAGAGAAGACGAGAAGCACAGTAATGAAAAAAGGTTGAGAGAATACGGTGAAAAGTATGTGGGTGATAAACGGGAACAAAAGAATACTGAGATGAAAGTTAAGGATTCAAATGAAAGGAGCAAGATTCGAAAGGTAAATGAAGAGGGGGAGCAGAGAGTAAACGCGAAGGTTGATAAAAACAAGATAGAGATAGTAAGAAGCGGTACTGGTGGAAAGATGCCTTTGGTACAATCATTACAAAAGGTAGGAAGTACCAGAAAAGGAGCAGTTAAAAAAGAGCAAAAAGAAATAAGTGGTGATGCAACTGCAAAAAACAAAAGAAGCAAAGAGAAAGCTGGACTTTTGGTGAAAAGAAAGCAGAGTTATGTTAATTCAGTTATCAAGAAAAGGGTTAATGATTTGAATAAAGAACATAAAAGAAAGCTTAATTTCTATGGTAAAAAAATAAACAACAAGAATGAGAAATGAAGATGAAAATGGAAGCAACATCATATTTACTTGTTTTGATGTGTCTGAGGAAGAGGTGCAGCTTCAACCGATCCTAAAGGTGAAGTATGTGGAATGAGTGTCAGATAGATCAAGTCAAGTGCCAAAAGCAAACTTCTATGCATGGTTTGGAACAAGCAGGGTATGAGACATGCAGAAAGAACAAGATGCTTAGTGACTTTATTCTATGGTTTAAAACTAAGTTCACGGCCATTTAATGCTTTTTCTAAGTATGTTTTGCTAATTTAAAACACATTTTTGAATCCTTCAATAACGCTTACTTAAAATAAAGTATGCCTTGTATATAAACCTTTTTATATATGCAGTTGCAACAGTAGCTCATCCAACAAATGCGATAAAAAGATAAGGTCGATTAGGAAGTAGGAAAATAGAATAGAAAATTCTGCAAAAGGATTATTCATAAATTTGTAAGTAACGTCAAGATGCAATTATCAGAAATATCCGAACGGTTTCAGAAACTTGCAAATGCTTTAGTAATATTTTTCATAGTTATAAAATTGTAAGTTAGGTTCTTAACATTTCTTTTAAGCAGGACAGGCATTGAAATCAGCAATATTTTTGTTGAAGCTTTTATCCTGTTGAAATATTCGTTATTATTATTATGATTATCTTTGAAAACGTTAAAACAAAAAGTCAGAGGGTAAGAATGTGCTTCTTCAGTTTACAGCCACAATCTAATGCAGGTAGCGAAAATGATTTCAATAAAATCGATGGACAGAAAGAGAAAGTGAAAAACTAGGCCCATAATGACTGATTTGTATATTTGTATGATATAACACAAGAATATTAACTTTATCATGTCAAAGAAGCAAAGAATAAATTGTTCGAATGAATAGATTGTTGGGAAGAATTCTAATGATGTTTTATAATTCAGCTTTTTTCGCTGCGTATCTGTTCAAGTCACGACACAGGACTTTATCTTGACATGGTAAACTGCAACGGCAAAGAAAGGAAAATCTTGTTTCATGAAAACATTTCTCAAAAGTGAACTTTTAACATGAACTAAGCTATTGTCTGTAAATTAAGATTTTTAAGTCTTTGCAACTCTCTAGATGACTTACGCAATTTAAAATAAAGTGATCATAAAACATCATCAAGAAACTGGTTATTACCGCAGACTTACAAGAGTGTATTACGGCAGACTTACTACCTGTTGCATCAAGATAAGTTGTATTGATTGCAAAAAAGGGATTTTTTCTTCGGATAGTGCGAAAAACAAAAAAAGGGAAATGGAGGCAAACAACATTATAATCAGTGGCGTAGCTTGACCTTCCAGACTAGGGAGTCAAGGGTCATAAGTAGAAAAATTTACTGACGAAGACATGGATAAAGATAAATCTGGATGCTATTTTACCTACCGATAGACGATCTTACCAAAAATCCAGGGAAATTTTGCACCAACTAGAAATTTACCGACCAACTCATGAAGAATTGGGAAGGGGGTGTCCCGCCCATACACCCACCGCTAGCTACGCCCCTGGTTAGAATAATTAGATTAGAACAAATGGGATGCTGTATATGTGATGCGGTATTAGCTGAAGCAGTTATTGCCTGCAGTGTCAAAAAAGAGCAAAGGATGAAACAATCACGACAAAAACGAGGTAAGAGGTAACAACAAGGACATGGCCACTGTAAAAAGATCGAAAAAAGAAATTCGCAGTATTTTGAAAAAGATCGGGCAGAACTTGTATACAGGCTCAAAATTTCACCAGGATATAGGAAGAAAATACTGAAGATTTTGCATACATTGAAGCAACTACAGTGTTATCCAGATATAACCAACCCCCCGGATATAACGAACTTCCCGGTATAACGATATAAATGTCCAGTTCCTTGGATTCTGCCTAACAAACTCCTTACAAAGTCTCTCAGTATAACGAACCCCGGAAAAACGAACTCTTGTTATTACGAACCAATTTTTAGGTTCCTTCATCATAATTACTCTCGATATAACGAACTTTTCATAAATTTTTCATCTGTTATTTTCGTTTATTTATTTTTTGAAGTTCATTTACCACTTTCTCTTGTGGGAAACTATTTTTGTCATCGGCAAAACATGTTGGTGAAACATTTGAAGCACTGGCTGATAAGGCTCAGAGCACGGGATGAAAGTTTGATTGCCTCAGAAATTACTGCGAATGGATACACTGACACTAACGGATACCTTCTTACATATGAGACATTGGCAATGAGTGATGACAAGATTTAATTGAGAGACCCAGATGGAGAAGCAGAAGAAGGCTAAAAGAAGTGAAGTGATACCAGCTTTGCCAATCTCTTGGTCCCAAATCATAAGAGGAAAATAAAGATTATAATTTTTAATAATCAACAAGTAGTATTATTTGAACTCAGCTTGGTTTTTTGGAGTTCAATGTGTACAGAAATTGCAGTCTAAACAGGCACACCGAAGGTTTCTTAAGGCGTGTACTGCGAAAAAACCTAAAAAACGTTTTCTCTCGGTTTAACGAACTCCCGATATAACGAACTATTTTCTGGTTCTCTTCAGAGCTCGTTACTTCCACTGTATTAACAATATTTTAACCTGATAATTAATTACTGTAATTACAAATGCGATAGTTTCAGTTTAAAGGCATTATTCAAACGTAGCGTGAGGAAGTAGTAAAGGCGCGGGTTGTTGTTCTGATTTCGTTCACTATTTGTTTAACGGCAACCGCTCGTGTCTTGAAGAAGTACAGCTGAAAAGAAAAATCGAGTGAACTCAAAAACAAAACATGAACAAAGAGACTAGATATTTTGAGAATGAAGAAAGATGGGCTGCTACTGGACTGAAATCATAATGTAAGCTATGGATGTTACAAACAAACTTCAATAACTTATAAAGTGAAATAAATGCTATTTGGTGTATAGAACAGGACAGTTCTAAGTTGCTCATCGTAGCTTCACGCTAAGTGCGAGCACTCTTTGAAAAATGGTAAGCAGAAATTTCATTAAAGTGCAATAAATGCCATAAACTTTTAAGTTTTCGGAAAAGAACTTATGCAAATGTTGCAGCGTCCGTAAAATTAGATCTTGGATATTAATGAATGCAGCGAATGAAGCAACTACTTTAACTTTTTATTTATTTGAATAAGAAAATTTTCACTTGGTAAAACAAACCCTGTTTATAATAACTTGAATTCCGAACAAATTCCGTTTTTTTGAAAATTCAAATTATTGAACACTGCTATTTGCCTTGTTCAAGGAAGCCTATTGGGTGCTTCCAGAATTTTGACTCGTTATAAAACTAATCAGCAAAAATACCTTGAATCCAATTGCAACTGCGCAATGCAATAACAGGATAACGACTAATGTGCATGCTTGAACCTGCAAATTGATGACATATTGTAAACAAAAAGTTCCCTTACGAATTAAGAGTCTGTTACTAGGACGGAATTCAACGAGACTTTGCGAAATGAGAGACTCGTTTGATAATGCACAAATTCAACTCACAACCTGATTTGGAAAATATTTCAGATATTTTTGTATTTGACATTTTTGACTTTAGAATAGAATTTGGAAATATGAAAATTTTATTCGGACTGAAAGATGATGGTGAATTCTAACCTGAAAAGGGTTACAAAGAAAAGAATTTGGTGTATTTTTTACAATGAGGCCATCAATTAAAATTGATATATAAAAGAAATGGTATGACGATAAATTACTACGCAATTGGCGTTGTATTTCAAGGCAAAACAACAATATCAACTGATAATACAATACAATTATGCAGTCAAAATTGTGAGATAACCAATCATGTTATTAAAAAAATCGATTGCTTTTCTTTCAAAATTCCTTTTAATGTTCTGAATGCTTAAAAAAAGTTGCCAGATCGATGCAATTTGTGAAAAAATCATTTGAAATCAATATGCACATTCTTTAAAAAAATATTTGCATAAATGAGAATGCAAACTGTTGAATAGAAGAAAAGCTTGATTGGTAACCTGGTGTTGTCATAGTTGCCAAAAAACATTCAATACATAAAAGGTTCCGATCTTCGAATTCACAAACTGAGCAAAGTTTTAGAAAGAGCAAACATCTACAGAAATGCTGAAAAATTATTTCATATAGGCTGAAGTAGAATTAATAGATTTATATTACAATGGACGCGAGCGTTTTTCAATCATCAAAGGTGTAAGATATGCAAACGATCGGTCAAAACCAAAATGATATTGAGTAAATAAGCCTTGATAAAAAGCCATATTTTTCTAAGATCTATTTTTAAATTATTTTTGATTATGGACTTAAATTTTTTTAGATGATGGAACTTTTCAGTCCATTATCTGTCTTTTTTTAAAAAAGAAAATGATATAAAGATAACAAAAAGCTTGAAAATTGATCAAACAGATAATAGAAATCAAATTTAGAAATACAAATACTAGCACGGTGCTTAAAATATAGAATAAACAAAACAGAGATCAGCTCTTACCTTCCGATCATCATCTTCAACAGCTCGGAAGAAAGTTAGACAAAGGACCGATCCTAAAAATCAAATTGGTAACCGTAAAAGTGGAGTTGCTTATAAGAGATTCAGCTCCGCATTGAAATGACTAACAATTTAAAGAATAGAACAAGCATTGTATTTAATTAAATGTATCTGAGGATTTAATTAACAGCAGGAGTATGCAATGTAAGGGTTATTTAAGGGGTTGAATCCAAGGGGTGGAGAGGCAAATAGAAAACCTCTGAAGATTTTTGCGTATCTACTTGCAAGGCCAAATCTTGAGCCCCTGGTTTTCGCAACCATGCTTTGCCCCTCAGAAAAGAGATAATTATGCTTCTAAACAATAGTGAACTGTATATTAACGAACAAACACGTTAGAAAGACGTTCTCTAATGAAACTGCACCATGCATGTTATTGGTTTTAATTGCCTCTAGAGAATCAATGCTCTTTAAATAATGAAATCTGATATTAATGTTACCCATTACACATTACAAATTAAAGTGCACATTATATCTTTTTAGCAAAATTGCGTTTTACATAGAGTTGCCAAGAAAATGTCACCCGTCGAGTGCAGACGGTTTATTCGCGAAATTAGAAGATAAACAAGAACAAAAATGACTGACGTTTTTACCTGATAAAATGACACCGACGATCATAAGGGTCCACCTTAACCAGTCTTGAGGCAAAACCCAAAGAATCTAAAAAAAATGAATTTTGCCATCACAGAAATGGCAAGAGCTGATTGCATATCCACTTTTGAACTACTTATATAAACAGCAAGGCTTATATGCACCCCTTTATGGGAAAATTTCACTTTGACATTCGCGCTGAAGATGAAACAGAAGAAAAATTAAAGAAAAAGCTTGGTTGAGAATTCTTTTAGGAAATATTAGGAATATCACACTTAATGGCATCCTTTTTATAATTTTTTTTCAAAGAATCTTCAAAATTAGTAAACAATTAATTACAAAAAAAGAAAAGAAAATTCTAAAGGAAATCATAAAGGACGCAATGAACTATCGAGTCAAGCATCTATGGGCACTATTTACAAATGGAAGCTTCATTTGTAACACCCAAACAACAAGGCTGCATGGTTTCATACCTCTGATCACATAATTTAAAAAACAATAACATTTATGAAAAGCTCTCGAAATGGAGTTATGTTATTTAAAAATGCAACTCACCGATATTGGAATAAATATTGACAAGGAGTAGCCATAAACACAAACAATTTCTAAGAACAGGAAGCCAGCTTGATTTCCTCGCCATAGCAAGAATCCCCAAACAGCTGACGGGACAAGCCATGCATAACCATATATGACGAAGGCAGCGAACGTAACTAGGGTTGGGAAGATGCAGTTGATAAAGCAAGTGGAAGGGACAGTTTACCTAAGCATCAAACATTGCTTATTTCTGCTGGGGGAGAGGAATCTTTTAAGGATTAATGCTGAAATGGAAGCACATTAAGCATGAGAGTACCAATTTGGACGACATGCAGGGTGTGGCACTCACCTCCAAACCTGACTCTCTCATGTTCTCTAATGTTTTTAAACCAATCTTGACAATTTTACTCAAACAAATAATAAATTTCAACCAGTTAAAAAGCGTCTTAAAAGAACAAACTGGTTCTGCGCTATCATAATTATAAAAGTGCAGTTATTTTGTGGAATGAAAAACATAGCTGAAACAAAATTTCAGCATGGCGAGATTCTGTCAACTGAGTTTGGAAGGAGCATATTTTTCTGACGGCCAATAGTAACGACGAGAGTGATGGAATACATTTTGAAACAGGTTTTCATTATAATCAGCGGGTAGCGATTGTTTTTCAATGAAAGTGTATGGACGTGTCTTTTGATCCCTCTACATTTCTCTCTTATAGTTCCAACAAGATCTATAATGTTCGATTGCATGTTAGTACTTACGTAGGCTGGTTGTTAAACTGTTTGTGCTACGTAGCTCTAGTGGGTTATAGCAAAGCATTGCGATAACAATGCCTGCAGACTGTACGGTTGCCTTCCCATTTTTGCTAATACTTGTGTAGGACTCGTGTATGCTAGGGACAGATACATTTTACAACCTCAACGGGCCCATACAAAAAGCTGGCACAGGAAGGTACTTGTTTGAAAACAGCATCCATACCCAAAAAAAGCTTTCTTCTCGAGCATTGTGGATTCTAATATAGACAACACCTCACCTTTATGAAAATTATAAACCCATTGTGTTCCTCCTTCTGACGCGAAATAGCTTGCCAAGTTTCCACTAATTGCAATTGTAAAAACAAGTGTTGCACAAACCCAAAATGGCCCTATTTGAAAAGAAAAACCACAATTGAAAATAATAATAATAGTAATATCTATCTAAAGTAGATTGCTGCACTTTTAATCTGAAAATTATGAAAATGGCTTTAAAAAACATTTTGAAAGATATTTATATTTTTTCGCAAGCGGCACTGATTGGGCAACGTCAACAGTCATGTTCTCGCGATTCTGATTATTCGTGGTTTTTTCATAGTTTTTTGCAAAATCTCAACCGTACAAAGGAAATCGATGATTTTTACTTTGACGTGAAAATCTATCATTTTGATTTATCTTTGTATGATTGCGATTTCTCTAAAACTTTGCAAGAAACTGAAACCAAATTTTGACATTTTATTCTATAAGAACATTTCAATGGTAAATAAAACACGAACCAAATTGTTGTTTCTCTATTGTTAACTATTTTTGAAATCGCAGTACCTTATGAATGAACTGTCAATATTTGGCTTCAGTTTCTGGCATAGTTTTAGAGAAAATCGCTATCATACAAAGATAAATCAAATTCATAGATTTTAACTTCAAAGTATTGATTATTCGTGGTTTTTCAAAGTTTTATGTAAAATCTCAACCGTACAAAGGAAATCGATGATTCTTGACTTTGAAGTTAAAATCTATCATTTTGATTGATCTTTGTATGATGGCGATTTTCTCTAAAACTATTCAAGAGGCAGTTTGACAGTTTGGTCTATCTCAATCCTCAATTGGGTATTTATTATTTCCTTACGTAGAGTTTTCAATTTATGTTTTGACGTTTCAAACTCTAAAGAGTGTCAGACGAAAAGCATAAGTTTGTTTAACAATGCTTCCTTTCTTCACATCCATTTTTACATTGTTTTTTGTAAAGATGATAACATTTTCAAAAATTTGAGATTAAGGAAGATCTTTTGAGCAAATAACTTTAAGCTCAATAAGAAGAAGCTGCAGAAATTCAAGCACTTCAAGGCAGAATTTGTACCTTAAAAGATACTGATCTCAACTGCTCTTGAAACTATAAAATTTTTAAGAAAAGAATTATGAGAAATACTCTTTAAAGCTTACCATACAAATCTGGATCTGGTCGGACTTTTGTTGTTAGAAAATTCCGTCCATATGTTGGAAGCATAGAGTATAAGATTCTATTCAAAACCTGAAAATAAATAAAACAAGAATTCATGAAAAAACATATACTGCTGTATTGCAATGTTTTTTTTTAATTACAGTAATGCTGAATTTTTATTACCAATGTATTAGAAATCAATTACATCATACAGCAAATAACCCATTGCATTGAAAATAAACTTGATTTTGCAGTTAAAAGGGGTGTCTAATAAAAAAGATTTTTCTATCAAAATTTGTTGTAAAATTTGTGTTCTAATTCATATGATTTTGGTTAAATACATTTTTCAAAGATGACACCGTAATGCTTCGAACAAGTGCCCTCCTCAAATAAGAGCCCCCCTCAAATAAGCACCCACCCCTCGAATAAGCGCCAATCCTTCAACTTTCAGAAATGGGCGCTTATTCGATTTTTTTCAACGAAAACATAATTGGAAGGCAATTCAACAAGAAAGATTAATGAAAAATTTGCACCCAAATCTACTTTTGAAATAAGCGCCCCTTGATTGTGTACCTCCCATTAATAAGCCAGGTTCTCCTTCGCAACGGAAAGTAAAGTCTGCATGCAGGCTCTAGAAAGTATTCTGATTCATCAGATTAAATTTTCAATTGTGATAACTGATTCCATCTGTTTGCACCAGTGAAAGCAATATGCAACAAACATGCCTGCTGAACGCTTAATTGAGGCCTTTGGCAGACCCCTGAAATCCAGCACTTTTTCAAGTCATTAAAACACTTGATGTTTGCAGATAAAAGCCAAAACCTCCAAAACCATTTAGCCAATTTCATTTAAAATTTGACTGTTGGATTGTATTAATGTTTTGAATTCAAGTTTAGATTATTTGAAGCAAAGCGCATGAAATCATATCTGAACTTTTAAGACTTCACAAAGCATGTGACCTGGTGGTATATGCCCTTTTTACCGTGCCACTTTGTTATCATGGATACAAAACTGCAAATCACAATAAGTTTTATACATCTTAAGACATAGGACGAAAATTGAATGTGGCCAATTCAACTGATTGCTAGCATTAATGTTTGAATTCAAGTTTAAGATTATTTAAAACAAGGCATTTTATAAATCATATTTTAATTTTTCAGACTGCACCCTGCATGTGACATGATGAAATGTACTTCTTTTACCAGGCCTTTTTCTAGATCAGACTACAAAATTGCAAATCAAAATCAGATAAAGGGTTTACATCTAAACTCTTGGAAAGTAAACAAATACCTGCTTTGTATCAACATCAAAGAATTTCTGATAATACTCAAATGTCCAGAATGATGGTTGTTTCTTCTGTCCAGCAAGAAGCTTGAGAAAATAAGAGTTTTTTTATATATAATATAAAATAAGATATTCAGGATATATTCTGAAGTTTTATATGAAGAAAATTGTCAGGCAAAATGCTTATATCTGTTTCAGCTTGAAAGTCAATTACTAAACCCCGTCCAAACATGCTAGCATGTAAAAAGGATGTTAAATATGAAAATGATGATGATACTTCATAATTTTTGCCTTTTTAAAAACCATTGAATATATAAAGAAGTTGGCATAACAATTTTACATTACAGAGTTGGTATTTCTAAATTTCAGGGAACATAGTGCTAAATTTTCTGAGCAGTGCAGACATAGACAGACCATTTTTTACTTCCAGCTTCTTTGTAATCTATTTTGTAGCTGATCTTGTTTTGCAATAGGGGGTAATATTTTTCCATCTTAATATCCACTACTTTTAATCAATGCACAAAAACAAAAAATCTCCATGGCACTTACCTCAGTTTTGTCATTTTCATCTACAGGAACAAAATATTAGTATCAATAAACAGAAAATATCAAATATCGAATAAAGAAAAGATGTCAGATGTCCTCTACTGAAATTTATATTTTGAACAGACAAGTAAAAACACAAACAACTTACACTCCAATCATAAAATATCTTTAGGTATACAACATCCTTTTGACTTTCCAATCAACAACAATCTTTTGGTGGTACAAAACTTGAAAATTGCTTTGAAAAAAGCAAACATTTGAGTAAACTAAAGCTTTTCGTCTGACATTTTTCAGAGTTTAAAAAACAGAACATAGATTTAAAACGAGTTTGTTTGCTTTTTTCAAAGCAATTTTCCAATTTTTTAACACAAGAATATATTATTTACAAGACATCTTATGCCAGGAGTATTTGCTGAGAATACATTGTGATAATTTTGTTATTTATGACAAAAATGCGAATACTAGATTTTTTTAATATTTTTTTCACTTGTGGTACTGCTTCTCCTGTGCAACAAACTAAAGCATGCACTCTGTTGTCAAACCAAAAGCTAATTGTTTCTGTTCACTTCCAGCTTAAAACAAAATTATCAAACATGTCTAGGATGTAACTAAAAGTTGCAGGGATTCTTATCTGATATATAAACCAATACAATATATTTCTGGAATTAGCAAGTAATACAGACCATCGCTAGATTCATCTCCAAGTAATGTTGTTCTTGTGGGTATCTTTATGTCATCATTGGTTTTTTCTGCTTTTGACTTTTCTTTGCCTTCAGCATTTGGTAGTAGAGCTACTTCTGTATATTCTGTCAAAGTAGAATATATCATGAAGACCTAAATGGGTACCTAGCAAATTAAGAAATGGTACAGCAGACACATTGTTTGTCCAATGAACTTTGATTGGTACAACAAATTTGATTGATGTAACAAGATCAATATTCCTTTTAACTAGACTGGTGGCAAAAATGCAACAACATTGGTAATGTTTCCCCCTAGCACAGGGTGCCCCAGTATACAGTCAAGCCCCAGGATAGGGATTGTCAATCAAAATTAAGTTCTTAAGTGCCACCAAAGCCGTTTCAGTGCGTTGTTGTCTCAATGATAGATGGAAGTTATTTCAAGACACAGCGGCTTCTCGGCCAATAGACATTCAGGTTTGTGAACCAAGACTCGAGAATGAAGATGCAACCATGTTGATCCCTATATGCTTAATTTCAAATTCCCTATTCAGCAAGCGGCCATGTTGTATCAGCCGTACATGAAAGACATTTGTGTAGCTCACCGCTAGCAATAACAAAATATAGCCAGCTTCATACCCAGGCACAACAGCCCCCCCCCCTGCTCCGCGGTGCCTGATTCTTCAACTTATTTACATCAAAACAAAATGATTCAACAAGTTCCAGCTAATTTAATTCAAACAAGTCTCAACCAGTGTAATGAAAACGAACACGTCTAAACTAAAATGTTGCGTTGTTTAGGACGAGCATTGACTGGGGATTTTTTTCTGAAATTGGTTTCTGAAGTTAGAAGTTGCAATCAATCTGTGTTATTAAGCGCAGCCTTCTGAAAATCAAATCCACATGTGACATTATGTTGGCTGTTCAAAATCCTCTTCCCCAAGAACTCCACCTTGGTTGTGGGAGACACGCGGGGGCCTGCACCCCCGGGTCAGACATAGAGGATTTTCAGAGACCTCTGTACATTTTGGCCTAAACTTTGCCTTTTATATGATTGATTATATCTTTAAAATTCATACAAAATACAAGTTTAGTGACCAAGAATGAGGGGGCACAGAAGGATATCCAACTCTTCAATGGGGCACCAACAGAGCCCGTTGAGAACAAACTTGCATGAAAAAAACAACTCAAAATAGCCCCCCTCTAGATAGACGCATATTCAATATAAAGATGTATTTCCCTTATTTCTTCCTTTTCTCCTGCACACTGCTGCACCACTTAACCTACTCCAAAACTGGCTTTACTTAGCTTGGATAGGGTAGTGCTCAGTTGAGAGCTATAGCATGACATTAATGTCCATCTTTGATGAAATGGACCAATTATGGACTACCAAAATGTTTCTTATACTAGAAAAACAGCCATACACTAAAATACTCAGCTAACAGAACTTAGCTAGCAGAGTGAACAGTTTAAGAAAACCCCGATTCATTGAACCAAAAACTTTGCTTTTGAAATGAAAGTCTACACTCACCATGAAATTGCAGATCATCCCCTGCCTTTGGCAGCTCTTGTTTTAATAGTACAGTGTCACTTACAATCAACTCTTCGTCTTCTTCAGAGTCATCCAACTACAAGATGTAACGCAAAAACACCTGACTTTTAAATGTGAACATTACAGAGAGGCCTATTTTGTATTTACTTTCAAATGTTTCATATAAAATTGCAACAATGTTTGCAAGCATTCTACTGCAGCAGCAAATTCCCGTCAATAATGTTTGTCTTTCGAACTAAAAGTGTTTAAAAAATTATTGAAAACAGAAAGCAAGTTGCTATTATTACTTGAATTGCAGAGTATTTTGGTGCCGCCATATTTTTCTTTCCACGTAAATGATATGTTGTTGCTGCTGTTATCCCACGATTACGAGTGGAGGTCGCTTTGAAATCAGGGGTGGATGCCAAGAAGGCACCCCAGTCCCAGTAAGAGCCACATAGCGCATAACCGCATAGATAATTTCTAATTTATTTCTGAATTTTAGTTAGGTCAGACGTTCCAACCTAAGAATAACCAAAATTAGGATTTTTATGATAAATTCCCGCAAAAAATTCGACTTTTTGGCCTATCCGCCAAAATTAAATCTGATGCGTATTGGAAAGTATTCGAACCCTGGATAGTTGACAAACTTGAAGAATGAAGTAATGCATTATCACTATCAACATATATTCAGTATTTTTTGGAAAATCGTTATCTTAATACAAATCCACTTTCTAACAGATAAGTGGAAAAATTGACTATAAAGAATTTTAGGAAAGAAAAACAATTTTCATGAAAAAGTCTCTGTAACTCGTGCAGCAAAAAGGCGGGACGGTGGTCAACCACTCATTCAGTCACCATCTTATATTAGGCCAGTTAGTATTCAAAAAATTATCAATATGCATAACTTCCAAAAATGTGTCTTACTTAGACAGAAGAAATGTTTAAATATAATTTACAAACTTTTAAAAAGCAGAATAATAAATAGGAAGACTGAGATTTGCCAAAATGCTAAGCATTTTGCTACACAATGTTCAAACTGAAAGTAACATTAAAAGTCCTTTCTAGATGAGAATATGAATAAACATCTTAAAAAATGGAATTACATTCTCAAGAATCAATGCGTGTTTTCGCGTCTGAATATTTGTAAAACATTAGAATTTCCTTTCAATTTCCTTTTTGATTGAGAATCTATTCCCCTTTTTAGGATCGCTCACAAGAGAAACAAAATTGCCTAACCCTTGAGGTTACCGGGAAAAGCAATGAAAAAGAACTGATAAAACTTTTTGTGTTGAGGTATCATTTTGCATGTCGTTACCTGAGATATCAATTTGTCTTTATTCAAAACAAAAATAAATGTGCTTGATATTTTCTTTCTCTCTTCCTAATCCCTCATCTCTTTCCCTTATTAGGGCCTAGCTATAGGCTCCTAAGCCTTGTCATAATATCATCAGATGAAAAAAGTAACGGAAGTACAGCAAAATCAAAAGAAGCGTCTACCCATAAAACTGTCAATCAAAATGGACATGGTCCAGCCAAAAGCTGAAAGAAGGTTTAATGTAGGATAGAAATCCTACTCGAAATACGCCAGTGTAGACCGATTGTTAACATGTCAGTGTTATCTATACAGGGACATGCAGAAAAGTGGATTCAATAATAAAAGGGACCAACTACCTTCATGACCTATAAGGATACAGAATGCTTAACAGGAGAAGCCCTCAAAGAAGAGTCTACTGTAGAGCCTAGCCTTTCAGATCTTAATGAAATGAGGTTCATTGAGTATTTAGGTCATAGATTCGAGAAAAAGGAAAGTTATAGGTGAACAAGCTGCATTTTCAAAAAATTGTCACCTAGACCTCATTGTTTTTATTAACATCCCCCTGAGCTTATGTTGCCTATAATATCATCAACCTATCACGGATTTGAAGGAAATTTTTTTGGTTCATAAAATGTCTGCACGTAGATTTTTATTCAAAAATACCTGAAGTCAAAATCTAGTGAAGATAAGAGACTGAAATGGCATCCATTTTCTGGTTAAGATAAAAGCGCATCCTATAAACGTTCAGTGCGTAGAAAAAGTGCCTGTAAGAAAGGGAACTTGTCCTGGCCAAATAGTTTGGTGCTTTTCCCCTTAGCCTATTCAGTGTTGCCACGAGGTACCCATTTCCTGCTGCGCGGACAGGCAGAAAGCACCACAATCAAGTTTTAAACTTGTATTAAAACCTAGATTAATGGCAAAAAATAGAGTCTAAATGTCAGGTTGTAGGCTATAGACCCTGAACAGCGCTTTTTTAGCTAATGCAAAAGTTTTTGGAACAGAAGCAGCTGGAAACAGAAATGGAGAATCATTCAAGGAAAGCAGCTAGACATAAGGGACAGATCATATTGACATCTTTCCCTTCTGACAAGAGTGATGGAAAGGAGAGCTAAAATCACGCATTTGGCCACAATCTCATTGATATTAAGAACGTTCAATTGAACCCTGAAGTCTTCGCTTATTATCTAGATTGTCGTGGAGAACGGAAAAAGAAATGCTATCAGAGAACAGGCACATCTACTATAACATACAAGCCCCTTGGCGCCCAACTTAGGTGCCATGTAACCTGGTTATTGGCATATTGCATTTGCATCAGAAGATTCGAGAAAGCTAAAGACAGGTGTCACAATCCACTTGGTGTCTCAAACAGTTAGCTAAATTTTAGCCCTGGGCATACAACATATATAAATGCTTGGCATTTGCTGTAAGATTCATAAATCTTTATATTTGTACACTGAACAGCTTCACACTAAGGTGGATAAAATTAAACGATTCTGAAGAGTTACTAAAAGAATAAAAAATAAGCATTTCTCTTAAATACGACGTTGTGCAAAATTTACTGCATCAACGTGTCTTAGGTTTTAAAAATCAAACAAAGAAATGTAATCCTTCTTTGTTGCACTCTGCAATAAAGGAATCCAAAGCTATTTTAGTTTTCCACCAGCCTAAATTTAAATAATAAATCTCCTTGTCTTCAGAAAGCTATAGAAATCAAAGTAGACTTTTCATGGCCTTTTATAAAACAAATGCCGGAATCACAGCAAGCACCAACTCAATAAATTTAAACGGGCATAATGAGGATGTCCATAAACATCGCTAAATGTTCTTTACTGGTATAACAAACAATGCTCCAATGGAGGAGGTGCCTACGTCATTTGCAGGTGCCGATAATTGAATATGATCATGAAGAGTAGAGCAAAGATGAAGAGAAGAGTAGAGCTCTTGATGCAGTCTGGATGCCATAAACTAATATACGTTAATGGTCGAGCACTATCTTACAATAATTGTGGACGTATAATGAATGGATCTTGTTGATTATCGTAAGGACATATAGACTCCTTGCAAGCTGAAATAAAATGAATGCGAGAAAAGGAATTGAGACTCATTGAATAAACAGTGAGAATCAATTTATGCTCGCAAATTGACAGTGAGCAGCAACTTTTAACGGCTGTTGCTGATGTGACGGTTGTTGGATAAAGCAAAACGAGGTTGGTTAGCATAAAATCAAAAGATTGGTATACTGCATTATTTGTTGTCAACGTGTACAAGAGAACTAATGGTCGTATTATCGTACATTAATATCAATAGGAAGGCGATTTGCATTAATCAGACACAATTGATCAGAGAAAAAGCAAAGCATTGAATTAAATGAACGGAAATCAGTATAAATTCATTTAAGAAAGAAATGTCGTTTACATTGGCTGAACGTATATTTTCTGCAGCGTTTTTCTGCTGTCTTGGGATATTCGGCATGGTTGCCAACACAATATCCTTAGTCGTCTTGTACAAAGTAAAAGATTATCGAAAAATGTCATCAACATACTACCTCTGCAGCATATTGGTTGCAAATATTTTGGCTTGCTTGTATGAAATACCGTACTACACTTTCAGCGTTGTTTATGATCTTCCAAGCCCAGATGGCGATAAACACAAAGCAGCGTGTAGGGCTAGTGTTTTCTTAACATATGCAACATCAACCGTCAAAATATACTTGTTGACTGCCTTATCCGTAGACAGGTATATTGCACTATCTTTTCCTTTTCTCTACGACGAAAAGTGTACTAAAACGAAGGCAATACTGGCAAATGCAGTAGCTTGGATGCTTCCAATTATGTTTATCATTCCTCTATCTGCAATCGATGGTCTAGCCATCTACATGGGAGTTGTTGGTACGGCATGTGGAATCAATTGGAATACAGTTAACAAGGCGTTTTTCATGACTATAATGACCTTTTGTTTTGTATTACCGTGCGTTATCACCGCATTCACTAACATCAAGGTCTTTTTTATTGCAAAAAGGCAAAAAAGAAGTATTTCTAGCCAGTCTACACGGCTAGATAATGATGGGAAGGACGTGGCCTGCCGTGAGTTGACTACAGTTTATGGCATTGATGTCGAAAAACAGACAGATGTCAGTCAGGCTAGTCCAGATAGAAGTTCCACACAGCCTGAGAAGTTCCACAAGGGGAACGAAACAGTGGCAAGAGAAAGCGAGTCATTGGCGGAGAAAAAACAAGATTTATCTAAACAAGCTAAAGGAACGGGTGTAGAAGATACTATATACAAAGATACCGAGGGAATATTGAAAACTAAATCCAGGAGCGGTGATATTTCAAAAAAGGTATGCAGGGTGAAAGAAGGAGACAAACCTGACCATCGTTCACAAAGCGTTACTTATGATAAAAATGTTCCAAAAAGAAACGAGATCTCAATGCTAAAGAGAGGGAGTCGCATTTTGAGAGTCGTAGAATGGAATATTGTTCTTTCTACGCTGATTTTGGTAGCTGCCTTTTTCATAACATGGGCTCCTTTTGCAATATCTCGGGTATACGAATCATTTCAAGGCATTCTTGGGGATAGAGTCATCCTTTACACAACAGCACCAACATTGTTGGACATAATTCACAATCCGGTAATCATTGTTGGAACAAGAAGACGACTTCGACAAAAAATCTACAAGCTTCTTTGTTGTAAATCCTAACCTACGCAAGCAGTAACTGAGGGCAAAGCAAAAACATCCACAAGAGAAAATTGACTCTTAAGGAATACCGCTTTGTAAATTTGCATTAACAGGTATCCCTGTGATAAGGAAAATCTCTTTAACGGGCTTTGACTAGAAAATTACTCAGATCATAGAAGAAAAAGAAATTCAAACATTTGATCAATGAACACTTTAAACTATCTAGCCGCAATGCATTCAGAAATCGCAAGCTTCGAGGCTACAATCGCAAAATCTTCACTCATACCACGCACCAGCCAGCAACGGAGTCGCAAAAAACCATCCCATTCATATCACATTTGATCAATCTGGGGAAGAATACTTCATGTTCCTGTCAGTTTCTATTTCAGTCGTTGAAACGTGTCTTTTAGATTTTAAAATTATCATCAAAGTTAATTCGCTCATTTTCAAGATATTAATAGCAACCTTTTTTTAGGCAGCAAATGGCAGTTCTTGCAGTGCTGCTTGTCGTTGTGACTCAACAAACTACTTTGCGGCCAAAAAGATCAACTCAATAAAAATTTGTGATTGAATATGAAATATTGCGAATGATGACTAAGGGGGGCCGCTAACACTGACATAATGAAGACTCACGGACTCAATGTTTTGCGTTAAGAATTTGGGTGGAGAGAATGCCGCAAAATGCAAAACTTTAGTGCATATCATCAAAATGTTTAAAATAAAAGAAAAATTCAAATAAACGAGTTCAAGATGTCAGAGGAAATAGAAACAAAGCATACAAAATCAGGCGTCAGCCTTCGTTAACTAAAGCATGGCAGTGAAAAACGGTCAAACGTCACATACAACCGCACTCCTTCACAATCATATTCTCCAGAGTAGTTTTAAATATGAAACCGTCCTCGTCAAAATGCAGCAGGGTTAGCTTATCAAACTTTGTAGGCACACAACAAATCGAGAACAAGCTGCCTTTTTTGCTCCTCATCAGCTCCTTCTTTACAAAACCATGACTCTTCGCGACATCAATCGCTCCTCCTGAGCAGCGTCCTTTGCACACATTGACCTCGATTCCAGATGGCTCGATAATCCAATCATGCCAGCCTATTTCTCTGAACGAGACATACAGTGACTTACGGCAACATTTATCATATCCCGGAATACAATCAACTGAGACTGATCTTCTTTTGCGTGCATGCTTCTGTCTCTTTTCCGATGTCTTTACCAGCAGAAACGGTCGATATCTAGGCTTTGTGCTCACTTTCAGCTGATTTCCAGCATTGCAGTTGGCACAAATTATGCGAATTGAATAGTGTTGGTCGGCAGCTTTCTTGTTTCGAGTCCAGGCTTCAATTTGCTCGTCAACGCGGAAACTAAACCAATCACGTGCAATCGGAAATCTTTTCAAAACAATGCTTCTATCTTTAGCACTATTTAGTGCAAGTCCAATCTTCTGGGCACGTGATCCTTTGCTGTCTTTGAAAAACTGCAATGAGGCGAATTCGATGACTTGGTTTTTGAAGATCCTGTTCGTCAAATGGAACTTGAAGCAACCATCCTTACCAGGGCAGTCTTTAGGTTCACCTTAAGAAAAACGCAAGACATATAATCATGGACATTGACCCAACTAAACAAACGAGTGCAAACTAACGCGAAGCTTCAATGGCATTTAACTATTTGTTTGAAAGCCTTCTTACGTCATTCAACGTTTTTTTTTAAATAATTTAATTTGAACTCCAGATAAAGTAAAAGAACAAGTAAGTTTTATACAAATCAATTGTTATTTACAGCGCTGGTTAAAAGAGGTATTGTGAAATAAATTCATCTCAGCTTTACTTATTCTATTGTTTGCCTTGAAGTAATTTGGCTTCCGCCCCCATTACATTACTCACGGAGAAAAGCTGTAAGGGAACGGAACCAGACTCAGAATTGCGCCTTGTCTGTGTTGAAGTTAAACAGGTTTGCGTAAAGCGATCGAATTTTCAGTGAAACCTTGTAGAGATGTTTGAGAAAATACGCCTGCGGTTAAGCGTACCCAAAACGGATTTTCTTCTTATCCTGTTTTAAAAATGGGAAGGACCACCTCAAAAAGTGTAGGATATTAATAATGTCATGAAAAGCTTTTAAATGTTGGCATTGGACCACATAATCTTGAAAAACACCTCGAAACGCCCAGCAAAATCAGCTTAATATGTTTTATATTAGCTTAGATATGGCCACATGAGCAGAGGATCTTTTCAAACCAAGTCATTCTCATTTGGTCTCGGTTCTAAAAACAACATTGATGATCAAACAAAACCCAGGTCTTTCACTGGCAATATCTTAATCTATTCGCAACAGTTCCGATGAGTTTTCATATCTCGTGGTATTATATAGTGTTCTGTAAGGTCATACGGTTAACATTTGAAAATTTTGGAAATAGATTTTTATAACTTCATGTTTATAACTGTGTCACTTTTAATTTCGGATCACTTTTAACACGATACAGATCAACTTTAAAAACTGACAAACGTTACTATTATACACGGGTAATTTTATACTTCGAGGCTTAGGTGTCAAAAATCAAAGTTGATCTACTCTTGCTAGGGGTCGTGTTTTTGTGACTTTTCTCTTGACTGCTCAGTTAACACTTTTTGATTTGAGATCTTTCTTAAAATAAGTTTAAGTGGTCTGGTGCTTTCAGGAATGGGGCTCAAGGCCTTGACACCGGTATATGAGAAACTTCTCACATCCCGTTCTAATTACTTTAAAATCTAGTTTGTTTTCAATTTCCAAGTTAAAGTTTTGCAACTGTTAATGAACTTCTTTTCGAAATAATCTGTAAAAATTAGGTGCACGGCTCCATTCTGGCTATCATAAGCGCGGGGCATGAGACTGAGGCCCCCTTATATAGAGTGAGTCTGGTACCCAAAGTCTGGTGCCCAGGCCCCCTGGACCCCCCCCCCCCAAAACTGCTTCTGCTCCACAATCATGTCAGCATAGCTCAATCAACTTTGCAAACGGACTCTGCACACCTGCTTCAATTTGCTTTGCGTTAGGATATCCCTCAGATTGTTAAGGGGAAGAAAGCTGAGAGAGCAGATTTTGGCTTATTTCTTATCATTTGAGATTTGCACGTACTTAACCTTATAAACTCTTTCGATAGGGCATTTTCCATAGATTCAAGCTTGCACTGGGTAACGATTACTATGTATTGAGCATTTAGCTCTATGTTGTTTTTTCTCACCCATTCAGAAATATATCCAAGCTCTTTTTGGACGACAAGATCGCTTAGTCCTTGGAAGAGAAGGTGAAACTGTATGGTGCAACAAGCAGTAGCGCTAGACATGATTCCTGAGGAATACCACGGATAATGCCTAGTTCTTCGGAGGACTGCCCATCAAGAAAACAAAATTTCGCTTTGGTGAAGAGCAAACAATTGATCTAATTTCTCGGTTATTCCGTATCTTTTCACATTGACAAGACGGTTTCATTGCATGATCTCCTGTGACGTTAAACTGTTGTGTAGCATATGAATGGAAAATTGGTTATTTGATGGCAGTTTGACCCTTTATCCTTAGGAGGATACTTAATAATTGATGTTCCTATCATTTAAAAAGAATTTGCAGCATCATATTTCAGGCCTGAATTGCGGGTGGGGTCAGGGGGCGTTGTGGCTCCTAGAAAAGGGCCAGGAGAAAATGATCATAAGGAAAATGAAAACCATGCGAAAAATTACAAAGACGCCAGTTTTATCCTCTTTAAAGGTTCGTTGCTATTTTTATTTGGGGTGTATTCCCTTTTCTCTAACCATAGTCTCTTTAAACAGAAACGGCGACACAAAATTGAACCTGAGGGAGGGGCTGAGAATCAAGTTTAGTAACATAGGAGGACCCACCATGGTTGGGTCCGAAGCGATTTTTTTTTAAATTAAGGCTTCTAGTATGGCTAAAAAAGCATCTCCCAGACTAAAATTTAACAAATTACTATACCGCTCAGAATAGACCATTCGAGGATTCTCAGAAACTATCGATTATCAATTTTCAGAAAAAATTTGGGAGGGGAGTAGTCATGCTAAAACTCTAATGACAGACGTTGGGGAAAAAAGGCTGACCTTTGGATCAGAGTGCTGATCGATGTGAATAACAAGATTATTGTGTTCTGTATATCGTCATAGATATAGACCATAGAAAATATGTTCTTGATTCTAATCGGTTCTTCAATCAAGTAACTCAAAATACATTGACAGCATTCGTATATTCATTATGCTAATTATGTTAATTATGCTTAAACATTATATCTCCCCCTTACTTAAATTAAAACGTCTCTTCTGGAACAGTAACAAAGCAATAGTTAAATGTTTACAAATATAGTTGATCATGTCTCATAAATGTTTTGTCCGTATCTTCTAGCATTTCTCCTTTCCCGGACAGGGTATCTAGGAATCAAAACTTCAGCTTGAACGTTTGGACGGTTTGGCATATCCATAATATCTTCATCGTCTATGTCAGAATCAATTTCAGTTTCTTTCTGAATAGGAAACCTTTTGAAATGAGAAATATTTCTTGTGATTGTATGATCTTTTCCTTCGTTATAAGCAGTTAGCATTGTTCCTTTCTTTTCAATTACGATGTAAGGATCTGGGTTGAAATTTGTAGATAATTTGTTCTGCTTAGGCTGTTTTACTAAGACAGTATCACCAATATCGATTCCTGATGCTTTGGCTCTTTGAGCTCTATCAGTGTTCTCTTTCATCTTCCCTTTTTCAATGAAATCACGATGGACAAGATGTTGATGTGTTTCTGATGTATTTTCAGTTGTAAGCTGCGGCAATTTAGTGTTTATAGATCGGTTAAATAGCAATTGAGCGGGCGAAAATTGAGTTGTGCTGTGTGGGGTTGCACGATAATTGAGCAAAAAACGATTTAGTTCTTTCCTCCAATTTCTCTTATCAATAACAGCTGAGCGTATAGCTTTGGTTAAAGGTTTCATAAATGTTTCTGCTTGAGCATTGGCTTGAGGCCATAAAGGTGTGATTCTGCGATGTACTGGTCCAGTTTCTCTCATGAATTCTCGAATTTCGCTGCTTGAAAATGGTGGTCCATTATCGCTGATGAGAATTTCAGGAATACCGTGTCTTGCAAATATTCCTTCCAGTTTCGGAATGGTTGATTTGGCAGATGTAGAAGTAACGATTTCAACTTCAGGGAATCGGCTATATGCATCAATGACAACGAGCAAATATTCCCCTGTTGATAAAGGTCCCAAAAAATCAATGTTGACTGTGTGCCATGGAGCGGGCGGTAATTTTGTCATTTTCAACGGTTCTGGACGCGCGGCTGGTCCAGTTGCTTGGCAGGCTAAGCAATGTTTGATAATATTTTCCGTACGTTCATCAATACCAGGAAACCATATCTTGGTACGTAGCAGCTTTTTCGTCTTTACTAGGCCTTGATGACCTTCATGTGCAATGTTGATTGCTTGAATACGAAGTGAATTCGGTAAAACAATACGAGTATCTCGTAATACTATGTTCGAATCTGTGACAGTTAATTCCTGACGAATTTTATGAAATTGTAGGAGTTCTGCTCTGTTGATATTCTCTGGTAACGTGCGAGTTTTATCATAAATATCTTGCCAGTTTGTATCGCGAATGTTTGAAATAACACATTGAAGCGTTGCATCGTTGCAAGTGGCGGTGGCGATCTCAGAAAGTGTCATTGCTTTCGGAACGGATTGTTGCGATAGAAAATTGACGTAGTCTTCTGCATTGTTATTATGCAAAGTTGTATCCTGAATTGGGTGTCGCGATAAGAAATCTGATGGGTTATCTTGTCCCTTTGTGTGTATAACATCAAAGTTATATTCTTGCAGGCGTAAGTTCCATCGTGCGATTCGAGCTGGAGGGTTGGATTTCGGATTGTTTAAGATCATTTCAATCGGTTTACAGTCTGTGTACAACTTGAATGATCCTCCATACAAATACGTGTGTAGTCTTTCAACTGCCCAAACAATTCCTAGGGCTTCACGTTCTGTCTGTGAATATCGACGTTCTGTAGGTGTCAAGGCTCTGCTAACATATGCAACTACTCGTCTTTGTTTGGTTGGCGAAAGTTGCGATAATATTGCAGAGAGGCCTACAGGCGATGCATCGGTGATGACTTCCGTCTCTTTGTGTGGATCGAAGTATGCTACGACAGTGTGACTTGTCAAGGCTTTCTTTAATGCGTCAAAATCTTGTTGTTGTTTTTCTGACCAGCGGAATGGCGTGTTTTTCTTGGTAAGTTCACGTAATGAGTGTGTTAGATCACTAAAACGCGGAATGAACTTTGCACAATATGTAGCCATTCCAAGGAAACTGCGGACTTCGCTAGCTGATTGTGGTGCTGGTGCATTGTGGATGGACTTCACTTTTTCCGGATCTGCGGAAACACCTTTGTCGGAAAAGACGAAACCGAAGAAAGTCAAAGACTTCTGAGCGAACAGACATTTCTCGCGATTCAGAGTTAGTCCGACTTTTATGAACTTCTCGATGACAGCTTTCAGTGCATTGTTGTGTTCTTCTGGAGTTTTTCCATAAATAATTACGTCATCGCTTATGTTAATCGCTCCAGGAATATCTCTTATTTGATCACTAATGACACGTTGGAATAGTTCTCCTGCTGAATTTGTGCCAAAATTTAATCTTTTGTAGCGACGCAGACCTTTGTGCGTTGCGAAAGTCGTGACATATCTGCTTTCGGGGGCAAGTGTTAGCTGATGATACCCAGACCGAAGGTCAAGTTTGGAAAACAATTGTGCTCCGTTGAGGGCGTGTATCAAATCATCAACTGTAGGACTTTGGTGACGTTCGCGTTGTATCGCGCGATTCGGCATTCTCATGTCCACGCAAATTCGTACTTTTCCATCTTTCTTTGGGATAACAACAATTGGTGAGACATAGGGCGTTGGTCCTTCAACGGGTTCAATAATGTCCTGCGCTTCTAATTCTTGTAACGCAGCGGCGACTTTCTGTCTCATGTGAAATGGAATTCTCCGCGCGTTTTGTGCGACAGGGGGCACTGTTTCATCAATATGTAATTTGACTTCAAAGTCTTTTAATTTTCCAATACCATCAAAAATCTGGGGATAGCGTGCGGCGATGTATTCACTGTTGAGCGGGCAATTATCCACAGTGTTTATGTGCAGCGTTATTAACATCAAATTGCTGGCGGTTTTGTAGCTAAGTAAGCATCCTGCATTTCCAGAAATAACATGAATATCATCAACAGTAACTTTGTGCTTGGACTCAAAAGTCGCGGTAAATTTTCCAAGGGTTTTCAGAGGCGTGTCCATGTTATAGGCAAATAGAGAGGCATCGGATTTTTGTAAACGAATTTTACCCTTAGCGGCAAGTTTGTTATAAGTTGCCTGATCCACAATGTTCGTGGAGGCGCCAGTATCCAGTATCATCTGTACTGGACAATTATTGATTTTGACTTCCACTGCTGGAGATTTATTTTTCTTTGTTGTCAACGTAAAAAGATACTCATCGTCGCTTTCGCTTTGCGGTGGAGCGGAAGCTTGGCTTATCTGGCGGATATTTTTACCTTGAGATGGGCGTTGCTTTGGTGGAAATTGCTTTGCTCGGCAAACTTTGGAAAAATGATTGTTCTTGCCACAAGTATTGCATTGTTTTCCTTGTGCAGGGCAGGGACTTTTAGTGTGGGGCCATGTATATCCACAGTTGCGACATTTTCCAGTTGGACGGCGATTTTGGGCTTGCGGCCTGTGCGGCTTTTGTTGCACGGCACGGTTTCTCGTCACAAAATTTGCTGTGTCCCTTGAGTGTAGAGGCTCTACTAATAGGAGATTTTGCTCCATATCGATGGCTTGTGCTTCACTAACTTCGAGTGCGCGTGCTTTTGTCAGCAAGGCATCGAGGGTGAGCGTGTCTTCTCTAAGCGCGTAACGGCGGAGACGCGTCGAGAGGCAGTGCTGAATAATCATGGACTTGATTTCTGTGTCCACATTCCTAAATTCGCAATTTGCAGCCAGCTTTCTCAGACGTGTCGCAAATTGATCAATTGTTTCACCACGGTTTTGCGTTGCTTTTCTGAATTGAAATATTTCAAAATCAATGTTTTTCTTAGGGAGAAAATATTCATCTAGTTTCTCCAAAGCTGTCTCATAGTCATCATCTTCACCATTGTTCGGAATTGTATCAAAAATGTCCTGTGTGTCTTGACCAACTTGGTAGAGTAGTAGGGCTCTTTGCTGCGCTGGACTTGTAACATCAATTGCAGCTAGGTATGTTTGAAATCTTCGTCTCCAAGATTTCCATCTCTGGCCTACTGAGCTAGGATCAGTGTACGCATCGAACGGTGGTAACGGAGGTAAATCGAGGCGAGCAGCCATAACTGTATAAGACAGTTAGACGTATTTGCTAATAGTAAAGTATCCTCGTCGCCATTATTGTGTTCTGTATATCGTCATAGATATAGACCATAGAAAATATGTTCTTGATTCTAATCGGTTCTTCAATCAAGTAACTCAAAATACATTGACAGCATTCGTATATTCATTATGCTAATTATGTTAATTATGCTTAAACATTATAAAGATGTTGGAATTTACGTCGCCCTGTTTATATTCCACGCATCTCTTTCACAGGGGCTTGTTTGTCTGTTTGTATATGTTGACCTCCTCTGATTCTGAACTGTGAACTTGAATCTACATGCAAGTGAGGAGTTTTCTCATCAAGGATTTTATTCATATTAAATATTTTCCGGGCTTTTACAAACTTACTTTAAAGGGGCCCACCGGGAAAATTTCCCGGTGTCCCGCGTAGCCACAACACCCCTGGTGGCCGTGGTGGGGGTAATGCTGACGATTTGCACAATGCTTGGAAAAACTTTTTGTCCTATAGACGAGCTATAGACCAATGCTAATGGACAATTTCCTCTACAACCAATTTGGAGTTCAGCCAATTTCTCCAGGTAATGAAAGTAGTTATCAGACTGAAATATTTCATTTGCAATTGCTAGGTTTGGTCCAGTGGCGGTAAAGATTAACTCAAGCACTTTTTTAGCACATCTTACAGTGTCTTTATATAAATTTTGAGTTGGGAGGATCGTTGTTCAGTCCTATTGCGAACTTTGTTGATATGATTCTGCATTGACTTGTTGAAGCCACTTTGGTTTGGCCAAAGCTACCTGAACAATCAATTACCCGATGATTAGTGGTCATAGATTCAAAGATAGCTTACGGAGCTAGCCATCAATCCTGTAACAACCCCCCTGACTGAATGGCCGCTTGATTCCTGGCTCAGGTGAGGTGTCCCGGTACTGGAATCTCAACCCCTTGATGTTCTCGTTCTTTCAAACGTAACAAGACCATTGTTTTTGCTAAAATAGCTTTTTGGGCTGAAATGGCCCTGAATCTTACAATTTTATAAAACATAGCGCAACTACAGAAACAATAAAAGAACATCTGCAACAGAAACAAATCGCCAGTCTCATGTGTATTTCAGATCCAGCATAAAGATTCCGGGACGAATTTGTTAACAAGGAATTAAGCCTGCTACTGCAATTTTATGAGAATATCTACGTAAACTCACTGCTTTTACTTTGAAACAGTGTGATGAAATAGCATTTTTTCGTTTGTCAATCGCATCTTTGTGGCCATTTCATCTCACAAAAAGGGGCAGCTCTGCGCTTACGCTCTTTGAGAAACTGCTCCCACTTTTAAGCTTTGAAATTCTAGAATTCAAAAGTTCTTTTCCCAAAATATTTTAGGACCAAAGGCAGTAGAAAATGCAGTAGAAACTTCTGGCATTTTCTAGTAGGATCTGTTCATAGGGCTGTTTTTCAATCAGCTACAATGTTGGGAACTCAGAGAAGGAGACCGTGAATTCCTGACTTACCGTAAATGGTACAGTGGCCGCTACTCCCAAAAACAAATGTGCAGATGATGATTTTGGATCAGATTTTGCGCCCTAAATGCCGATCGTTTTTTTTATTATATGGTGGCAAACCAAGCCAGAAACCTCAAAAATATAATCAGGGTAGAAAAGGTGGTCGCAGCTAATCTTTTTTTACCAACATGGAATGGTTGCCAATAAATATGATCTTTGGTATATTATGGGCTTATTCTAACAAAGCTCTGAATCACTCCCACTATTCACAGACTGATTAATTCTTTGCAAATACATCCTCAACAAAACCGTCATTTTTTTGCTACATAATCTGGGTCATTTGCCCATACCAAAGGATAAGCTTCACAAAATGCAGACTAGGCAACTGACATCCAGGGGCAGAGTGAGAGTTAATTTTACGGGGGTGTAGGTATGGGGCTAGTGCTCAAATTTTTCAACAAATCTCGACACAGTAGCAAAACTTCCGAAACTTTATGAAAAAAATTTGGTGCCTTTGAAGCAACATGCCCCCCGCCCCGTCACTGCGCCCAGCTGATATCTAAGCATCACGGTAAAGAGTAAGCCACAAAATAGGAAAAAGGCAGAAGGGCATCTCTCGTTGGTTCCTTTGTTGCTTTTGAAGCCTGAGTGATCTATAATATTTCATTCCCTTTTAACCTCGATTTCATTAGACGAACTACGCAATGATAAAATATCATTCATTTACCAGATAGTAGAGGAACTATGATATATAACTTAAATTGTTTATATTCATTGGGCATTTCGTCTCTATAAAGTGTTTTGCTTTCTTTATTTTAAAAAATTTCCCAAAGCAGTCGCTAGAATTTTCAGGCTTTTCTTGATGGGCAAAAGTTCCCCTTCCGCCTAATTCCTATTCTGTGGTAGAGCCCAGCAGCTCCTAGACCGGATCTTTTTATCGCTGTGGGCAGCTTGTCGGTCCATTTATTAAAGCAAACTTTTCAAACACGAGGCTCAATTGATGCTTTATAAAACTTTAATGGTTCTAGAAATTTTTGGTTGCCCTAATGAGAAATAAGCAAACGATGAATGAACAGAACGGGTTTACTGGTCCGCCGCACACTTTTACTAATGCAAAAAAAACAAATTAGTGATGGTTTATTACGGGCTGTGTACAATGCCCGTTATCAAATTCGTTATTAAAGGGAAAAATAAAAATTGTGCACGCTGTACCAAACGACGGAACATATCACGGTTTGAGGGTGTCAAAAACTTTTATTTTCTCGGGAGAAGGGGGGAGGGGCTAACAATGTTGTGAAACTTCCTTAAAGAAATTGAAAAGTTATCCCAAAAACGACGAGTTTAAATTCTCGAGAGAAAAAAAGGAACAGCCAGCCTGAACTGCAATTCACTGGTTCTTATGAAAAAAGCGCAATCGTGATACAAGCATGCTATTGGTATTTCCATTATCGGGACGTTCCAGGAATATAATTGAGTTTGATACCTCAATCAATATTGTTCCAAATTGTCTGGTAATTTTCATCGTTTTGCACGGCTATTTCTTGGCATTGCCTATCATTACTAAAATAAATATTAGGACAAAAGAAGGAGATTATAATTCACTGAGAAGCACATTTCGTGACTGTCACCTTGCCAGGAAAAATTCACCAAAACCGGCAAAAGGGTGAAGTCCGGGTATTTCGTTGTTTAGAAAAACCAGGCAATATTGCAATTAAAATTGTATTTCGTGCACCAAACAGGCGAGAGGGGTAGGGGAAAACGCAGCAAAAACTCCATGCTACTAACGGTTGACGATCGAAGGTACTTCTACATGTATAACAAAATAAAGAAATCACAGACCTTCTTCGGCTGGGATGACGATTTGTGTTGTTTTGGTCGGTTCCCCTGCAGTGGAAAACAACGCACTGATCTCGCCATCGAAGACAGGTTTTGGAATGTTTGCACGCAGGTCGTCCATGTGTGGAGGCCTTTTTGCCATGCCAAGTTTGCGAAGGATTTCTTTCTTGGCTATTTCAATGCGGAACTTGCGTGAGAATGGATCGATCAAATATGTGGCCCCGTCATCGATTTTATCAGCGACATTTGCCTCCACGATTAGTGGTGAACCAGTTGTCAGTTCACCTTCCTCCTTCGTGCACCATACTGACTGGCGATCACCATAATTTGTAAACAGAACGACGAGAGACAGCCAGAACATCGTATTACGTAAACCTTAAGGGTTGTGATAAACAGACTGCCCTGTGGCACATACAAATGCTGACTGCTAGAAACAAAACAACGGTTTCATCTGTACTCTGAACCTTATTTTGCCCACTGAACAAGCACACACTTCCCGTAGGTAGTGTAGGATATCAATGTTTTGCAAGGCAAATGATATTGAATCAGCTCATATCAAATTCAATTAAAAGACCAGCGGGCAACGCCAGACCAGAGTAGACATCACACATCGCAGGCTGTAAATCTTTCACCATTATCAGCTGAAGCATTGTTAAAGAACAATTTCGCATAGACAATACGAACTGGTAGGCTGGGCCAAATTTCAAAGAGCATCAACATAGTGCTGCCCTTTTTTTGCACGATGAAATGGCCACAAAGGTGTGATAAACAAGCGGATAAATGCTATTTTATCCATTATTTCAGAAACTAAAAATGAAAGCAGTGATGTTTTACGTAGATATTTTAATAAAAGTAGGGTTGATTGCTTGGATAGACTCATTGCAGACTGGAATCCACGCACATTGCGCCACAGATCTGTGGCGCACAGTAATCTCCAATTTTGGAATATGACGAAAGCAGTGCAATTGCCAGCTAGAGTGCTCTAGGGGGTGTCCAGACCTTATATGCTACCAAAGTGATCGAGGCATCCTTTTTCTGCTGACGAGTTGAAAATTAATCGAAACAGCACCAGGGACCGCGCACCAGTCTAAATGCGGGAGGGCTGAAAAGAGCGTGACAGAAGATTTTTTGAGATCACGCCCACTAGAACGCCGAAAAAGCGCCTCCTTTTTGAAAATACTGGCTTATTTCTACTGGGGTTTATTAACAATCTGGTTCAAAGAAGATATCAATAGCTAAAAGATAGATAAAATTAGCTTGGGGATAATAAAACAACAAGAAAAACACCTAGAAAATGATCAAAAAGGTTCCCAGTCAAGAAAAACTGCAACGCCTTAGGAGTATACGATTGAATGTTGCGTTAGAGCATAGTTAGAGTAAACTTTCCAAAAAGTTTTCTAACCTTGCTATTATTGCAAAGAATTTGGAGGGGCTATAGCCCCTGCTAGCTCAATGGCTGCGCAGTGCCTGAACAACACTCTTACTAGATGGCAAAGAACTCCTCGATTTTGAGATGAAATTTTTAAGAGTGTCACAACATTGTTCAAATGTACAATTTACTGTAACTCATCCTCAATTCGTTCTTAACTTTTGACCAATTTTGAAGCTCGTGTTTTTATAAAAAAATTCTCATGCTGGACACAAAGTACACGCGAACCACCGTAATATTGCACTAGAAGATTCAAAAGGAAGCTTTTGGCACATTTTTAAATAAGAATACCTTACTTTTTGCTGAGCCTTGGTAATTTAAACATTTTAAAAAACTTCTCAGCATTCATTCTGCATTAAGCAGCAACTTTTCTGCATTCATAGCAATTTCCTTGGATTCGCATCAACTAAGTACCAAATATGTTTTGTGTGACAGGCTGTGTATATTGTCTTTATTGTAATTGCCTAATTTGTGTTAGTGGGGAAATTTAATTTTGTTTGAAGCTGCTGTTAGTCTTCGAATCGACCCTTGAACAAGCTCTGACCTTGGACGTAAAAATTATTGATAAGCTCTCACCCTAAAATATGCCCCAACCTCAACATGCCACTTTTTGCGTTTAAATAAGGAGAAACAAAAGAAAAATACACCATTTTAGTCCATAGTTTGAGAACACATTCACCGGCGAATGAAAAAATTTACCTAAAAAGACATTTATGAAGAGAAACCGTACATAATGAAGACATTAACAGTCTTGAGTAAAATATAATTTACGTTTTTTATGCTTTGGTTGGATATTTTGAAAAAGATTATTTAGTAAAATTTCAAATGAAATCATTTGGTTATTAGCAATCACGGAAAGCTACAAAACGAGCTATTTGCATGGCAAATTGGAGATGACTTTTATTAAGCGCCTCGAATAAGCCTTACTTGAGGAGTTTGCAGATATTTTTCATCTGAGTTTTTACAGCTATCTTCGTTGGCTTTTTGCAGTAATTTCCAATTATGTTTGCAGAAAAATCTAAATGTGTTTTTGAAGCAATTTTTTTGTCATGCACATTCGTGATGAAAGCAATTTTCATTTGTCTCTAAAACAATTTTTCATTTACGTGAAATATGTCCCCCTAGTTCTCAGCAGGGTCAATTTTGTGTTTCCCCTAAATTCAATGAGAAAATGTCGGGGGAGGGGTAATATTTTAGCAACGTACTTTTTGTGATGTAATCCTATGATTTTCAGACTGCGTTTACATATTAAAAGTTAGTAGTTTCCTTTAGGTAAAATTGGCGTTCCATTTGGGTTAAAAGGTGTTTCTATAGTAGGAGGGGTGAGGCCTAACAATTTTTGTTTTATCCCCCCAGAGCCTAGTGGATGGATCCGCCATTGGTGTGTGTACAGGAATTTTCATTTTTTTTAGTTTGAAGCAATGCTAATTTGCTCTTCCAGAAAATTTCATATACGTTTGAAGCAATGTTAATTTGTGTTTACAGAAATGTTTCGTTTGTGAGTTCATAGCAATTTTTCATTTGTGTGTCCACAACAATATTCACCTTGCAGCTATTTTTATTTGTATTTGCAGCTATCTTAATTTATGTTTAAAGTAATGCTAATTTGGGCTGGCAGCAAATTTTATTTATGTTTGCAGCAATGTTTTTTATGTTTACAGACGTTTTTCATTTGAATGTTTACAAATATTTTTCATTTCTGCTTGCAGTAATTTTTATCTGTGTTTGCAATGAATTTTCCATCCCAAACTATCTTGTGCAAGATTCGGCAATGAATTTCAAACTATGACCAATAAGCTATTGAATTACCAATACAATTAAAGCCTTGGTCAAACGATCCAACATTTCAGCCAACATCTTGCCCAACATTTTTCTTTTATGTTGGAATGTGACCCAACGATGGTGGTCAAACGATCCAACATTTCACTAAAGACTTCAAAACAATAGAATTGTTGGACGTCGGCAGCCAACATTTTTGACCTCAGTCAAATTTCGTCCAACATCGAAATTTACGATGTTGGGTGACGCAACCAGATGGTCAAACGATTCGACATTTCACCCAACATTATATTATTGGGCGAAATGTTTGGTGAAATGTTGGATCATTTGACCAGGGCTTAACTCCTATGAGCGGGAAGAAGTGCTGCTTTCACAGCTTTGACCATCAAACAAAATTTTCTTCTAACGAACGAAACAAGCTGCGTTCCTTTTTTGGATATGGAAACACCACAAACTGAAATGACAGCAGTAATGCCCGCGCTGCTCAAAAAGCGACCGCCCAGCAGGAGTGTGAGGAGGGGGAAATTACCACATCCCTCCATTCACACAGGGTTGCCATATTGGCCTTTTGCAGGCCAAATTCCATCCAATAACGGCCTTTTTCATAGTTAAGTTGCCTGGAAATGTTTTTTGATCTGCTACTTAAATTTGGCCTTTTTTGGCCTTTTCAGCAGAAATTCTAAATTGAAAGAGGAATTACTATATTAATGGAGTAATTAGAAGTTTACTATAGTGTGTTGCTCAAATGTCAAATCTAGCCTAACTATTATCAAAGAGTTTTTTTTAAGGGGAAGTAAGTTTCTTGTTTGAGTGAAGAAATTATTTGAAAGGCGCATGCGTAGAAAAATGAACAGTGCCTCTACTATGATTTTGTAGAATTTTTTTGATTTGGCCTTTTTATGTGGATTTTAGCCTGTGTTGCTCACGCGTTTGGCCTTCTTTTGTAAATCTGGCAACCCTGTATTCACAAAATAGTGCTCATATAATTCTGGAGGGAACTGGTAAGAGACGTAACGAGAGGTGGTAGGTTTGAAGATTCCACGGACGAAGATGGCACTTTTGAAAGTGTGCCACACAAATTCAAGATGATGTGAATTTTAAACTTGGATTACGGGAAGACTTTCGTAAACTGACAAGTGAAGTGCCAATGTTAGCAAAACCTCTACTTCTTATCAATATTTCAGTCTTTGTTTGTTTTCATATCTCCATAATTGATTAATTTAGTTAATCATCCAAAATCAACTTATAGGCTAGGCGGTTTGAAAGTTTAACTCCGCTTTAAAAGTGTCTGTCTGGACTCTAAGTGACCTAACAACGTCACAAGTAGGCTTTTTGGAAAAGAACGACTTTGTATTCCATAGAAATTCAGTTGTATTTGAAGGATAAAATCTTTCATGTTTTATTGCCTACTATAAGTAGATTTGTTCACTCTGCTTCCCAAATAACGAAAAGTAATATTTCAACACGCCAAAAATCACCGGGACTGTTCTGTAAACAAGAACTGCCCCACCTATGTTTGCACATAGCTGGTCGTATGACCTTTTTCATTATCAAAGAAATCAGTTTTCTAAATTGTGGTTGTCCGCATAAAATGTTCCTGAGCCGCTTGTAGTTTGCGAGGAACAGAACCGATCTTAGATACTTAAGTGGCTAAGCAATTTGTCAATCAGCAATTGGCCAATCAATAAGCGTGATATCTCTCACGTGACGCGAAGCTTGTCCCATGGTAAATTTAACATGTATTTAACATTTGGAGTTGGGTTATTTCCCTACAAACGTACGCTGTTTCCGTTTTAAGAAGGAGAAAGACATATTTTGAACAAGGACAATTTAAAGTTGATTTATTGACTAATAATCTGAAGATAGATCGAACAACTGTTTAGTAGGCCCATCGCTAATGTTGCTATCGCTTCAAAACTGAGTCAGGATTGGAAAGTAACTGCAACAAATAGCAAGTATTTCTAAAACTGAATGTAAGAACCTGTCTGTTACTCTGTTGAAATATACTCAGGTTTGCCGCGACAAAAATGTTGTGCTAGACTGTGATTGTAATGAGCATTTGCATTTATGAGGCAACGTTTCATTGGCTTAGAATTACTTGTTAGATTTGCTTATCTATTGTTAATAAAATAGGAATAATATAATAAAATATAATAAAGTAGAAAAGTTCGTCTCCCTAACATACTTGATATTTGGTAAAGTATCTTGCCTTTAACGGTCAAACCCACTTGTACTCCAAGTAAGAACAACCCGAGATACAACTTCGCAAATTAAAACCAATAAGGCTAGATTTATTTACAGAGAGCTGGTTGAGCTCTAGTCCGCCATGGTTTGGCTAATGTTTGCAGAACCAGCGTCCCCCGTAAAGTGCAAGGAAATGAAACGATTCTGAAAAGAAAACGTCTAAGCACATAAAACTAAGCAGATGGATTCCTTATAATTACAAGAAAAATTTCTACTTGTGTTGATTTCTTTTAATTCTTTATTTTTCTTTGGTCAACAATCATTTTGACTTTGAGAAGTGTAGATCTTTAAAATCTTTTTTTCACATACGAAAATAATCGATGGTGTTTGCCCAGTAAAACACAAGGATACAGATACGGCTGGTAGACTCAATAAAACAAGTGAGAGATAATAATCTTAATGAGGTGCTTTTTGCGTCTTAAAATCTGCTGTTCATAGTTTGTAGTTGTGAAAAACTAGACAACCGACAGAATTTGTTGCTCCAGAGATAATCTTAAAAGAAAACAACAAAAGGTATTTCTCGCGTGCATTCTAATTCAGTTTGCAGTTGCTACGTAATTCTTGCCAACTTTAATGACACTAAAGTACAAAAAAAATTTTGTCTTTTGACCAGGGATTTTAAAATAACATATGACATACGGCATCCAGGCACGATTTTTCCACTGAGCGACAGTGTGAACCATTCCCTTTCTGCGACTCCCTGCAAGTTTCTATTGCCAGCATGGGCCTATAATATCTGCTCGCGGCGGAGAACGGATTGCTTTCCCATATCGATATTTCTTTGTCAAATTGAGCAGTATTAAAAAAGTTTGATGAAATAACTGCAGTGAAAGGGTCTTTTTAATTGATTTGTATGTGGTTGTGACAAGTGTACCATCTTTGAAGCTGTCTCTGAATAGCATTGTTAGCACAACTATAGTTCTTTTCTGAAAATAACTCGCATAAAATGCAGTCTAAGCTTGCGTCTTGTTCCTAAAACGATGGCTGGGTTCACAAGATTCCCGGTTGTTGTAATTAGGGCCGTGTAGGTAAATGCCTCATCGCCAAGCTTTATCGTTGAGAAGAAAGTTTCTAAAAAGCGAGTAACAAGAAATGGAAAGTATGTGATAAAGAACACAAGAACGAATAGCAAAGTGGATGAGATTATGTTCCATGAAGTTGTGGATCTGTTGCAATGGGAGACCTGTTCTTTCTTTTCCTTTTGAGAATTTAGCAAAACAGTCTGTTTTGACTTTTTTGTCGTTGTGGTGTTTTCGGAACTAGACACCATATCAAATTGCTTTGCCGATTTTATTTGCTTCTTGTTACAAGAATTCCCTATTGTAAATACCTCTTTACCCTTGAGAATACTACTTTGTTTCTTTTTTCCTGAAAATGCAAAATCTGTTTCAGATTGAGTTCCATTCATCGCCTTATCACCTACAGCTTCTTCAACTAGATTCTCTGCATTCAGTACAAAATTGTTGTTGAAATGTCTATTGTCTGTTTTCGTCCAATCAGCATTTGCCTTCAAAAATTTAGACACTTCCTTTAGTTCTGTCCCATCGACTGCTCCCAGCTCCCTAGCCTTTTGTCTTTCATCAGTTGCTCCATAGTCTTGACTTAATTGATTTAGTGAATGACATTTTGCCTTATATTCTTTGTCCCGGTCATTCAAGTCTGAGCCTTTTGCTGAAGGTGGCTTGAGAGACATGGTCTTTTTGAGTGAAGGTTTTACATTTTCCTTTTTGCAATGCATCAGCTCGCTCTCTTGATGCCTCGTGAATGTTTCTCCAATAGTTTTTCCAGAAGCTTTACTTCTTTCATTCTGCACTCTCAAATTTTGGCGGCGTGCTGTTATGTAAACCTTTGTATTTGCAAGCAACATCAAACACAAAGGAGTGGCAACCAAAAAGACCCCAATTAAAACAATATAAACTCCATTTGTTTTATGAAAATCAACCCCGCATGCGTAGCCAAAAGTCCCTTCATATGTTGTCCAGCTTTTCATTATCAGCAGTGGTGAAAAACAGAGCAGCGAGATTACCCAATTAAGGCCAATGCAAATGATCACCCTTGATATGCTGACAAAGCGTTCATAAACAAATGGAAAGACTATCGCCAGATATCTGTCTAGGGACATAATTGTCAGTGCCAAGAGCTTTAAGGCTGCTATTGTGTATGTTGCAAACATACTTACCCTACAGGCAGCTCTATATTGCTCTTGGGGAGGTGATGGAAGTCTGAGAACAAGACTGAAAAAGTAATAAGGTGCCTCAGAGAAACAGGCTAAAATCTGCATACTGAGTAAAGAGAGGAGGTAGAGAGATGATACGCGCTTTCTGTGCTCCTTGGAGGAAATAAGAATGATGAAAAGAGTAATGTTTAAGAAGGATCCCAGAAAGAAGACGACTATACATACGGTCGATAAGAACACCCTGCTGAACAGACTCAACGCCATGCTGAGGTTGAGTTTATTGCATTTGATGTAAGTGAAGCTGATGTAGAATACAGTTCAAAACACTCAATATTGTTCGATGCTCTTGGCAGTAGCAATATGAAGGCCGGTTTTCGTTATCATTAGCCGCTTTCGAGCTGTAGTTTCCACCAAATTCTTCTATAGCCAAAGAAAGGCAAGATCATTCTTTCTCATAAGTTATTTGTTTATAATTTATTAATCATTTTCAGCGTTCCTCCAGTTTCAAGTGCAAACTTACACCGTTGCCAACATTGTGATGAACCTCATAGAATGTTTTATCGGAGTATGTAAATCACCAGCAGGCCAATGACGTCAGAAATGAATTAGAAAACCTGAAAGAAAATGGCTGAATTTAGTACCGATTTATTGTTGAATTGAAACAGGCATTTCATAGCTTGATTTGCATTGAGTATTCCAATTGTAATCATGAAACACGCTGACAATTGCATTATCATATTAGGCGAGGTAGGTAAGAGGGCATGAATGCTTGCAACATGCATCGCAATAAGTGATAGGTTGCTATGAGCAATTGTCATATAAATAACTCTTGAACACTGATTGGTTGATAACTATCAATCGGGATGGTTGCTTAGACAGGAAACGAACATGTCATTATTTCAAATAAGAACTGGCAAAGTGCTGAAAAATCTCGTCTAAGGCTATACACTTCTTAAAGAAAAAAGTCATGTTTGAAAAGAAGTCCTCATTGGCAAGAAATATTACTAAGTTTAGTGCAACCAGTTTGCAATAATTCGAAACTTATTTCATACTGTAGACTGGAGCTTGGAGACAGTTTAACCATGGCAACCAGTAGCAATAAAGGAATAGTTTGACATAGACATTCCACTGTGGACTTTATGTCTAGATTATGTTAAATGATTGGAAATTTTTCAACGGAAAAAGCTACAGTAAGAGCGGAAAATGATTTGCTGTATGCTGTATTGGCTGGCTACTTTGCGTCAGTACTTCTATCAGATACCATTGAAAAGCAAGTTATCCCTGTAAAGTTTATAGATTCGATGTTTTTAAGTTTTTCCTGCTATTGAAATTATGCTCAATAGGCATTTAAGTCTACGATAAACATATGTTAACAGCTGTAAGCAACAACAAACACTTAATGAACGAGCAACGGTACGATAAGCCCATCTGTTGAGCTTCGCGTGAATGCAAAAAGCAAGATTCCTTTAGAAAGGTAAACAAACGAATGCATTTGAACAAATCGCAATCGCAAAATAGTTTTAAGGAAACAGCCGTCAAAGGCAGAAAGCATCTACCCATGAATTTGCTGCCTGTCTTAAAAAGCTAATATCGATCAAACTTAACTACCGCTTCAGCAAACATACTCTGCAATGTTTGACCATATGCAAACAGCTATGTAAATTCCTCGAAGCGTACGTATTGCAGGTTTTGAGTACTTACAACAAAAATCTTAAAAGCATAAATTCTTTATATTTCTACGCTTAGCGCCAAGGTTTCATCTGCAACAACATTATTAATACTTCCATAGCAGACCATTTCCGTTTAAAAAGTCATCTACCCTATATGTTCCACAGAACAGGATGGAACTACTCCGAGTTTCTCGTTTAATGTGATCATGAGGCAATTACCCCCAAATAACGTGGACAACTCTGTCTAACGGTAACGAGCACTTTATGACAGACTGGTAAAAAATAATTTTCATTAAAAAGTCATCTACATAAAATAGCATTTTGTGGCCTATTTTTGATTGAGTTTACGAGAATAAATGAAAAAAGCTCTCTTCAACAGTAGTAGAAGTTCATAACTTTCATTCATACAGTCATTTGACGGTATGTAATCATAAATAGGCCTAAATTTGGTTTTTTGTTATCTGCCGTTACTTGAAATCAAGTTATGACAACAGCTTTACTTTTGTCTACGTCGTCTCTTGTTTTCATTTTCACCTTTTTATTGCCGTTTGAATGACGAAAGCGCCGCGTAGAGGTTTTGAAATGCTAATCAAGAAATTATTTAAATTCACCATGCCAAAACCGATTCAATATTCAATGGAAACACATTGTGAAGATACAAATAACATGTTTTATTCACGGCAGATTCTTCGCGATTATAGATTACAATGACAAGTATATATTCACTTGAATAAGGACTTTTCTTTATCATTAATTTCGGTAAGCAAATCGATCTACTTGTACTATTTGACAAGCATTACTGTTCTGCTTCTTCAAACTTTTGCCCTTGCTGGTTTTGTTTAATCAACACAGAGCAGAATTTCGACGTGCAATAATTATCGAATATCAATAAACAGTTCCACTCGCTTATATTTTGTTCTAATCAACAACTTCATGCCGGCAAATGAATCTAGTATTGTCAAAACTGCGTATTTTCGGAAATAGATACATGTTTCATTTGGCACAATCTCTGGTTTCTTACTTTGGTATATGATTGGGTCAGCTTATATTCCGAATTGCGCTCCACTATTCAATACCTTAGCCAAACAGACGATCTCCAAAGGAAACATTAATAAAAGAACCAATAATAACAGTTGCACAAATCGATTGCTTGTATTGCTACCCGCTGAAAGAACACACAGTATAATCTGCGAATTCTTGATAGATTCTTACATGGGAATCCCTAATTTATCCCTCATCCCTAATCAAACTAACCATCACTGCGCTCGTCAAGTGATAAGTTACTTGACCAACTCTCACTTCAATACTTGAAATGCCTCCTTCTTCTCAAATCTTATGCTGACACTCAAAACTGATTCGATTGTGACTGTTTCTCTTACGGCTCTATATCACTGACTTGTTGTCAGTTACTGAATTAGACAATGTTCTTGATTATCGTCATCTTGCCTCTACCAGACCTATCAAATTACCGAACTGACTTGTAGTTGCAATATTGACTAGAAAATGAATATTTCATCTATCATTCTACAACGGGTGTCAACTTCAGCTATCACCGTACATTTGTTTAAAAGTAAACGTAGCTTACTCCGAAGCCTTGAAGGTGTTATATTATTTAAACAGTACAACGTAAAATACAGCAGTAACCATTCATTATAGAACTGCCTTGTAGAACTCCTGAATTTTAGTACTCCGTATTCAGGCGTCATAACCACCTCTTGAGACGAATCTGCATCAGAAAACGACTATTTATTGCATGATTCTTCAGGTACATGACATCCAAAGAAGCAAAACGCCTATTCTTCTTGCCATTTTAGTCTCCAAACAATAGCCTTTCAACTTTCACTTGTCAAAAAATATATAACGAGCAAAGGAAACGTTACTGAAGAAAAAGTGTTTAAAAATGGTTTCAAGCTAACGTGACATATCAGAAAACGGTTTTCAAAGAACCAATCGCTTCAACTGAAGCTACTTAGGAATAAAAAGATGCATGTCTGTCCCATTGAGCTCTGAAGGAATATCTAAATCATTAAAATATACGCGTTGTGTGTAGATTAGCTGCGGGTCGGATGGCATTGACGGCCATCTCATTAATTAGCAAAGGATCTAGTTGACGATTGAGGATAATATAACATTGATTTTGTACTGATGCAGCTTTAAACAAGTAAGTTTATTTAGATATCAATGACATACCAGAATCTTTTCGTTGAAATGTGATGCTATCTTTCAATGTAATTCGCCTTCAAAAGTTTTGCGAAACGAATTACGGAGAGTTTGACAATGGTCTGAATCAGCCTTGTTTACCTTCAGCTGTGATTCCTCCAACTCTGATGATTCTCCTCGAGTATCTTGGAAACATAACTGCGGCACGAATATTTAAACACACAATGTAAATTATTCATAAAGTAAAAATGGCCAGCCTGTCTGATAGCAATAAGGGCCTCTGTTTGATGTACAAGTCCAAGCAATCTAAAGCAATCTCTTCCAAATTGGAATAAAACAGGTTTCTTTTAAACGATAATCTTTTTAGTACATGACGAATTATGGTAATGTTGCTATTTAAATTTTAAGTGAAAAACAATTTCAAATAGCTTTCTAATATTTCAAATGAAGATAGCAGATAAAAGAAAAAGGAGAAACATAATATTTTAAAGTACTTTTCATTTGACACTTCTCGGATAATGTACAAAGGTGAGACGAGATGTATATCCAAGTGCGGGTCGAAAGTAACGTGAGAGGAAGAAAAGTGTGCTTTATTGGTTCATTTGGGCCAACGGGCAAATAGAAGGGATAATTGTTCTAAGTTATAAAAACCAAAGAAGTGATGTGATGAAGAAGAAATTATACAGAATAACAAATTGCATACCTAATTACTGTACAAAAACAAAAATGATAAATGCACGGCCAGGTTAATTGCAAAATTTATTTCCATATAAATAGGACACTACAATTTCGGCAACTGCACATTAGTTAGAGATCTCTTTATGCATTAAACATCGTCTTCAATTTCATTAGAGTCACTTGAACTATCATATCCCATTACCAACGATGTTTTCACGCTCACATTATTACAATCTACCTTACCTTCGCTATTATGCGTTTGACACTCAGAGGTCTGAAGAGAATTGTTTTTATCAATTGCATTATCACTGTCAATGACAGATGAGCTTTTAGAAAAAGAGTCAGGATTAAAGTGTGCACTTGAAAAACTATTGACTGTTATCTCTTTGTTGCTGACTTTCTCAACTGCAGCATAACTATTGTTTTCAGTCAACGAAGCTCCCTTCTTGCCATCCATCTTTCTTCCTACTCTAACTGTAGTTAATGATGGCTGCCCAGAAAACACTGAATTTTTCACCATATTCACCTGCTTTTTCTTTGCCAATCCAGCTAGTCGTCTTGCTAACTTCCCTTTTGAATCAACCTCGCTTTCGAAAATCGAGCTTTCTTTGATATCTTTTTTCCTTATTTTGCTGCGAATATCAGGTCGGAGATCTACGAAACATTAAGAAAAATGGTAACCAGCACCTTATTACCACCAGCCAAAGAAATTCAATCTATTCTTAAAAGTTCTGGCAAAATTTTTTTTTCTAATAGGTAATTCTGAAGTAAGAAAACGGCCCTTCCCAAAGCACCGCCATGGTTAGTGCCCTGCTTAGTATTGATATTCGAAAAAGACGATTCAAGAGGAACTCGACAAGATGAACAAGACAATTCAACCGTCGGCAGCAAAATCAATACTGCAAGAACAGAATTGAAGCACAAAATTTACACAAGATCAAATAAATGAATAGCAGATGCAAAGCTACTCAAACATGAAGAAACTCTTCCAAAAGAAATTTTTTGAATACGAAAAAGTTCCTGAAGTTACAGAAATAACAGGAGATAAAACAGCAAAGCAAATCTTGCATTTTTACAAGGCATCGTCAAAAAACAATCTTGATCGCATAGCATACTATAAAAAATTCGCTTAAATGGAGGCTCGACAACTATTATGCAATGTTAGAACACTAATTAGATTGGGATTGTTGCCTTTCATCATACTACGGGTTTAATGAACGCCCAGGAGAGGACTTTCAATGCAATCGATCCATTCCCAATAGACTACAGTATCCTCTCAAATTAACGGACACTCTAAAAGGCGGACACCTCTTATAAGCGGACAAATTTTTTTCCCCAATCGTTTTCTGACCAAAGTCTCATAAAAAACTTTCTAAGAGGCGGACACTCTAATTGAAGGACAATATTTTTTGCACAAAATAGTCAATTTGGCTTTTCTTTCTTTCCAATTAGTGGACAGTACAAAAAGGTAGAGATAGCGAACAAAAAACTGCGACGAATGAATATTTGTTCAAATATTTATTTCAAACACTTTGACACTTGATAATCTAGTTGGTTTTTTTCCAATTTTGAGCTTCTTTACAGCCCAGTTTATTAACTTTTTTGTCCATGAATCTGTTGTCTTGCGCTCAGTTTGGTTATTTTTTCTTTTTATAGTGTCTAAGTTCAACCCAATAGCAACTAATTACCCAGACTACACCCAGAGGTGGCGCCGGAAATCTTCCGACAGAGGGGTTTGAGCTTCCGACAGAGGGGCTAAAATGACTGAAATATTCAGTTTTAGTACGTTATTTTGTCAAATTTGCTCCAACAATAACCTAAAATTTCCTCCGATAGGGGGCTAGATGCTTCCGACGGAGGGGCTGTAGCCCCCCTGACCCTCCCCTGGCGCCACCAGTGATTACACCTTTAAAATATAAAACTCCGGTCTATTTTCAAATTTGGGACTTATATTGCAAAACTTTCCAAAAGGCGGACACTTCCAATTAGCGGACAACTTGCTCTTGTCCCGATGGTGTCCGCTAATTGGAGAGAATATTGTATTACGCAAGGTTCTATTACAGAACCTATCGCAAAAGACCTTAAGGCTTAAATGTTTTGAGCAAAGATATAGAAAAATCTTAATGCTAAACAAATTCACTGTGACAGTTTTCAATAAAATAGCAAATCATTCAAATTAATAAAAACAAAACTGGCTGTCGTGTTGTATTTTCGTTTTTATCTATAGTCTGCATACTTTAAAAAACACAACTCTTTGCTTGAAAATAACAAGCGAAAAGATAATTCTATAGTTTTGGAGAAAATTTAATTACAACAAGAAAATTCGGATTGACAAAATTTTTTTGTTTGTCAAAAAATTTGGCCTAGCTTGGTACGATTGAGATTTTACTAGAAGTCCTGAATTCTACAACAGCCACATATAAGATTTGTTTTTTCTTATGTTATGTAATACAAAATATCCAACTTCTCAAATTTCAATGATGAGTTTTATGATTTTCTAGAGCTTATTGATAGCTTATTTCAGCGCCGTCCGCTCATCAGATATTTATCTTCTCCATATAATATCGGTATGCCTATACATTTATGTGGAAGCTTGAGATTTGAAATGGGTCATCAGGTCTGTTTTAAACCACAATAAATGTTTGCATTGCATCTAAAATGTTGAAGTTCTTTATTTTTTGAAATGATGTCCTATTAGGTTACAGATCACAGATCAGATCTTTAGATTACAGATCAGATTATGACATTTTGCTGTATGTTGCAATTAACAAAAAAGGTGGTTGTGCGATAAAAATATCTGGCTCTTCAAGTTTGTTAGTATTCGTCGTCAGAGTCTCTTCATATTCACTCATTCATAGATATTGTTACTTTCTAAATGTCGTTTTGATAATAAGATTTCTTAGTTCATGTAAATTTGCTAATAGTTTTTGTTGTTTATAAAGATCTTTTGTAGCAGGAGGCTTGGCCATTATCAACAAATCCGCAAATGCAGATTTTTCGATGCATAGACCTATTGTCACATGCAATCTCTTTCATGGAGTAGAATTTGACTCTATACAAACATGCAGCGTGAAAATTTCCTGTTTTGGAGAAAACATTCAAGGAGTTTAGTGTTTTTTCTCCAAGCCAGTGGAAGATTTAAGGGGAGGGGGCAACTAGGGGCAGTTGCCCCCTCCCTTAACGAGTTGAAGCAAACTTCACTTTAAACTTTGCCTGCATTTGCCACCTTTACTTCACAGGCCTGGCTACGGGCTTGGTTGCATTTATGTCGGTGTGAAAGGCAATTCGATAACCAAGGTTTTTGCTTATCACACCAACAGTTTAAATTAATTTTGTAGTGTACCTGTTGTGTGCCCATCTATTTTAAATTTTATCGTTAAAAAATGTAAAATGCCGACAGGTGGTCCTTATTCTCTGGCGAATATGCATTTAGCAGCAAAATAAATATCGCAAATTTAATTGCAGTGCAAGTATACTATCGTAATAATATACAATTTTAAAAAAGGAAGTAGTTATCTCAATGTCTCCTAAAAAGTAAAAGCCGAAAGAAAAGACCGACCCTGCCAGGACTCGAACCTGGAATCTCCTGATCCGTAGTCAGGCGCCTTATCCATTGGGCCACAGGGCCGTTGAACAACAACGTTGAATATCCTTTACTTATAATTGTTTAAAAAATTTTCCATGGATATAGGAGTTTTTAAACCCGGGGGCACGGGGCATATGACTAGGGAAGTGATTGGGGTCTGCGGAAAACCCTAACCCTGTCAGATAGAAAACAGGAGTGGCGCTGGAGACAAACTTTCAATATTTCTTCTGTTTCATAACGTTTATCGGAAAAGGATACCCTGTCCCACGGCACTTCCTGTTTGGTCAAGTTTGTAGCGCCCGCGCCGCGAATTTAAAAGTGGGGGCCAAGGCTAAAAATGTGGGGGCATGGCTTCTTACCCCTTTATTAGAGCTTTAAAACTACTTGCTTCGCAAAAAAGTGTGGGGGGCATGGTCATCCCGCTCTCCCCTTGTGGCGCGGGCCCGTCCAGACTTTGCAACGGGAAAATATAAAATTTAGATTAACTTGAACAAGAAACAATTATTAAGATCAAACAAAAATTTATAATTAAGATAAAAGTTCCCTATAAAGTGAACTAAAAAAATCAGTCGAATCCCTTTGTCGTGAATACACACTTTTTTATAAGAAAACCTAATTTTTTGCTGAGGCTTAATATTCTTAATTTTTTTTATTTTGAGCCTATCATTATCCTTAAATCATTCTTAAGTCTAGTAAAAAATGTAACTGAGTCGCATTATAGCGTTGATGACTCCAAGGGCGTTTATTTGAAAATATATAGTTTTAAACTCGCATTTGTTTGCTTTCCAAAAAAGTCAGATAAAAAATTGGATTCTTGACGAAGTTTTGGATTATTCTTAAATAACTCTTAAACTTCATCGATTATGAGCCCTTATATTTTTATAGATTATATTCATTTATAAAAAACTGTGTAAAGCGACTAAAAATTCATTAAAGTATTTTGTACTTAGTTTCTAGATGCCTCCTTTAAACAACATAATTCTATTGCATATTTGAGAATTTGAAAATGGCTTTGAAAAAAGCAAACATTTGAGTAAACTGAAGCTTTTCGTCTGACACTCTTCAGAGTTTAAAACGTCAGAACATGGTTCGAAAACTCTACGCGAGGAAAAATATATACCCAGTTGTGGATCGAAATAGGCCAATCAGAAACGCAAGCGACTGTTGAGGTTGCCCAGTCAGTGCCCCTTGCCTATTGAGAATGTTACCAATGGAGTCCTAAGGTAAAAACGAACTGCTATTGTCTACAATAGCGGGTTTTTCGTGTATGTAGATCATTGACTATGTGTAGATAGATGCCAAAACTGCTAAGCAACAGCAGCAAGAAAAGAATGCGCGCAGGCTAGATAGAACGTCAATAGGGCTTTACCAATAATACGAAACATGTTGATATTATAGTGTTTTGCACAATCTGGGTTTTCCAATAAATGATGCCCGATAGCAGAATCGCATGGTCTAGTTTTACTTGTAGATCTGCAAGACCGAGGTGGCTGTTCTCTTTGGGGATGAGTTTTGCTTCTAATATTAGACGAAACATGCTTTTTATTATATCCTCCAATCTTTGGATAGTGCGTCCTATGTAGCCAGAATCATACTGGCATGTATATTCATAACGGAACTCTTCTGTGTGGTAGGAACGCAGTCCTGTTGAATGGATGGAATGGCCTTTTTTGAACTGTAAACAATACGTGGATTCACAGCAAAGAAACAATTTGAGAATTTCGAATTTCCGTACCATAAATTCGACACTTATCTTTACAGAATTTTATTCGGAAACTTTGCGGTCACATAAGGGTATTAATGATAGTCCGGTCTGAAGGCACAACAATCGTGCAAATTAGGATACCAGCATGAAAACTTCACAACTTATGTACTTTGAGGTGTAGAATAAAATGCGAAACAGACCCAAGCCGAAAAATGCCGCTAAAAGCTATTTTTAGAACATTGAACTGGGTCCCAGTCCTCAAAATGAAATAAGTCACTTTCGAGCGATTTAACAAGTGTATACCTGCAAAATTCGATATTCATATATAATCTGAAGTTTAGAATATCATGCCAAGGAAAAAATGCCCATAAATTACCCCATTATCTATTTTTAGAACATTTAACTAGGTCCCAGTCCTCAAAATGAAATAAGTCACTTTCGAGCGACTTAATGAGATTATGTCTGCAAACTTTAATATTGATATACAATCTGAAGTTTGAAATGTCATCCCAAAAATATGAGCTCCATTTTTAGAATTATATTGGCTCTTACCCAGTTCACAAAGTGATTAAATTAAACAAGATTCGAGTTTCTAGATAATGAGAACGAAGATGACATAACTTGACCTTCAAATTCTGCAAAGATTTGAATTGTAGTCAAAAGTGTTTCCAAATGCCAAAACAACAGGCAAATTAGAAAAGAAATCAGATTAAGTTCAGCAAATGAATTCTCACTCCTCTTTTAACTTTTCTGACAATGGCTTTACGAAAGTTTACCATAAACAACTGAAAATTTGCTCTCTCCTGTAAAGCATAATATTTTGCAAAATAGAAAATAAGTACCAGTGCTCAATATCAATAAAATCATATATATATTAACGACATTAAGTTTTTTAGTTTATTATGACGTTCAAACGACATCTGCGAGCCAAAACACAATTTCAAATTGGAGATAATTTTAGACGAAAGGGAGGTGTTTTTTGAGAAAAGCAGAAATGGCTTTGAAACATGTTACAAGTAACTTATTTTCTAATTTCATAGCAGAATGAGTATAGACAAAAATATTTAACAAAAGAAATGATAGCTTAAGAATATTAAAAACATAGTAGGTCAATATTAGTAGGGCGAAACGAAAATTGGTGTACCTTCGCCATATCGAATGCGTTTTGCCAATCTGCTGTCTTCTTCATTTTCCTCTGCCAGGTCCACAGATGAGGGGAGAAGGTTTCGTTCCTTGAACTCGTCGTCTAACGACTGTGAGCAAATAAAACCCAGTCAAAAGGCGGTATAGAAAGAGGTCACATAACTTTTACCTTAAAAGCACTATTGTTCTTGTTATGTATTCGTTACAGTCAAGAAAGTAGTTTAATGCATTTTAAACTGATGAAAATTTGGCTGACCTAGTGAGCATAGACATCCAGAAGGGATATGCAAATAATATCAATAACAAAAACAGGCATTGAAATCGCTTGCTTCGTTCGAAAAGAGATTCATCCTTCACAACGAGTTTATAGGTTCAAAATTAACGAATGCTGTATGTAATTGCTATGATTATCATTGAGATTATCAACATTTTAAGTAAAGTAAAGTAAAGTTAAGTAAAGTAAAGTAAAGTAAAGTTAAGTAAAGTAAAGTAAAGTAAAGTAAAGTAAAGTAAAGTAAAGTAAAGTAAAGTAAAGTAAAGTAAAGTAAAGTAAAGTAAAGTAAAGTAAAGTAAAGTGAAGTCGAGCAAGGAAAGGTTACATAGCTAATACGACAGGAAAACATCTCCCTTACGATTGACATTAATCAGGATCATATTAACCGACTTATATTAACATCTATATCAATCATAAGTTGTTGTCTTTGCTCATTCTAAGTCAGAATCTTCCAACAAACCCTTCTTGCCTGACTTGATAGAAACATGTTTGCTGAGGATTTACGTTCATCAACTGATAAAGCTATATTTATTTCAACTCATGTATATAAACAAAAAGAATAACCACATGTCAGTGAATTAAATTAGAAAGTGCATATCTGTGGTTATTTTGTCAATTTCTACATTAAGATACTTGCCTAAATTTCTAAATTTCAAGTTGAATACATATATAGTTCAACATTCATCTTCGGGCGTTTTAATAATATATTCTGACATCTTAAGGCTACAAACTTCATTTTCTATTGTTTTTATTATTTGAATTCGCTTGGTCGTGCCACATAAAGATACCAAAAAACATGACAAAAAAGTTTTTAGTGATTAAGATAGGTGAATAGCGAAGAAACAAGTTTGATATTAACTAGAAACCTTTTGTTTGTTTATCTCTTTTTTCTCCTCCCTAAACTTCTTCCGCAGAGCTTGATTCACAGCAAAATCATCTTCCCACACGTCCCTGATTTCTCTGATTTTGCCCAATGTTGGTGCAGACCTCTTTGCTTTTTGTTTATCTTCAATTGTATGCTCGAGCTTGAACATAGCATCAGAAACGAGTTTGGCTTTAACATCACGATCTACAAGTTTGTAAAATATAATGCTTGAAATACTAACCAAGACAACAAAAATGCACTAATTCGACCGTAGTTTACTTTTTATTTGATGGAGTTCATTTACTCAGATAAATTGGTAAGATTTTAGTAGATTGTAACTCTTCTATCATAGCTTGTAAATTGTAAGTTGTAACTGGTAAATGGTTACTTCTTGAGACAAAGTCTGACCAGACTTGAAACATCCTGACAAACAGAGCATGGGGACCTTCAATGTCTTGCATTCGTAAAGATATACAATAAAAATATAATTTTTAAATACTTTAATAAATAAAATATATACTGAGAAATTTCTGTATGTCTCTATTCAAGCTTTTTCTTCATAAGAGGATCTTTTTTCTATAAATATTCAGACTTTCACATTATATCATTCATTATGTTTTTAAGATTTGATAATTAAAATTGAATAACAAATTATCTACGAAGCTATCTTGCCCTTGTTTCTAATCATACTAAAAAGTTGTTAGTGCATAGTCTTTTCTAAGGACTTCAGTGAGGGCTTATAACTCTCTTCATACAAAAGTTAATTAATCAGGACAGGACAAAAGTCAATTTTCACAACAAAAATAATGTGGATAGATGAGCAATGGCCCTCTAGATAGTAGGTAAAAAAGGCACTACCCTTTCATAATTGAAATTATTCTGACAACAATAAGTATATGGTGAAAATGCAAATAGCATGTTTTACGAGTTTAATTCCAGTTTGAATATTATTATATCACAGCAAAAGAAACAGGTTTACCAGTTGTTTGAATATTTTCTGTTACTGCTGGATCCCATCTTTCTTCTTTTCGTTTTGCACCACTGAGAATTACATATTCACAGTTCTGGAAAAAATGTATTGAATATAAAAAATATGAGAACTAAGAAACAATGATAGCTCTTAAAAAGCAAAATAAGTATTCATTATAAAGCAGCCATGTTGATGGCCCAAATCACTCTCCATAATGTGGGAATATAGCCTCATGGTGGACTTGCACATGCCTAATGATTAGTTGCATGTTTTTCCAGGGGCGGCTGGGAGTAGAAAAGTATTGGTATTAGCCTCCGAAATTAAGACATAAGAAGGTCCCCCTGCAAGGTCCTGAAACTATTAAAAGGGGTGGAGCTTATATGTTCTTATTTAAAAGGTGGGCAAACAAACTTTTCGATATGATGGTTTAAATAGCTTTTGGCAATACCAATATCTTAACTTTTTATTTGAAGGCACTGGCCCCCGTTGTCTCCCCCCAGACACTGATGACCCTGTGGTAATGTAGTTCATCCTACTAGTTTTGGGTGACCTTACAATCCTACGAAATACAAATGAATTATGGCTGCGGCAAATTACACGAGCGAAATCGTGTTTTGATACAGCGGTTTGCTGCCCAGTAATGGAGCCCCAAGGTATTAGCCCATTAATTCTGTTACCATGAGGCTTTTGGCCCGCGAATGAGATTCTATTACGATAAAGCCAGCGATTTACTTTAGAGTAATGCAGCAAAAAAACTTAAGATGTATCATTTGATTTGAGAAACCGAGAGAAATAATGTGAGAATGTTGCCTATGACTCTACAATCATATAGAATCGAAGTTTTACAAAACATACAGTTCATACAAAACAACTTTTACAACTGCCTTTAGCTTAAACAAATTATTTCATGACTGTTGCTCTTTATATTCAGTGTCTAAATTTTGTCAATCAAATTATCCATCCAAAGGCATTGCTAGCAAAGTACAGCTACATTTTGTAAATTCATAAAGTTAATTTCCAGAAATATTTTTTCTATAAGCTGAGGCCTTAGAATAGAGCTGGGGCTCTTTCCACCGTCCCTTCCACTGACAGTGGCCCTCGTAGTATTAGAAATGAAAAACTAATACCTTACTGCTGTTCACCCATTCTTCGACCATGGCTCAACAAGAGAAATTCACGTCATGCAGACCACAACAGACAAAAGAAATTTCGGGGCAGTGTATTAGTTTTTGGAGGCTAATACCATGGCCAGGGCTGCTGATTACGGCATGGATTACACTTTTCAAAGATTTCAATGTGGATTAGGAAAGCTTTCATTCAACGAACAGAAAAGCGAATATTGCTTGGCTATATGAATAGAGCTGGTCGCATCGATAAAATTGTTGTGAAAAAGTGGCAGCGTACAAAAAGCAAAATAAATTTCCTGCAATCTCAGAGACCCAAAGTCGCCTTCCTTTGAAAATAAAATGGTATTAGACTAATACCTTTAATACCACCCCACGCCGCCCCTGTGTTTTTCTGAGGGAGCAAACATTGTCCTAAAAGATTTCATTATAACTTCTGTCTCAGGTAAGAAAATAAACCACAGAAATTCTACAGAAGTACTACAGAAATTCTTAATAAACAAACCTTTGGGTCTGTTTGGATCTCAAAGTGTTGATCACACAAGTGACATTTCATTCGAAATTTGTATATTGGAGTTGTATAATAATTTCCAACTTTTCTTTTCTGTGCATTGTACCTGACACCTAGAAAGTGAAAGAAAATATGTTTAATATCTACAGTCTTGCTTAACCAGTTGAATGCACACCTTACAATTAAAACACTAATATATAATGAAGGTATTTGATATAAAAGCATGTAGGGCAAAGATAATGAGCCTATTTTAAAGTAACCATCAACCATGGGTATTCATAGGGCCAGGCCTTTTTGTTTGACACAAGCAATCACTTTACGTCAGCACTTGCGCAAACCAGGCCTTTCTGGGAAAAAATACAACATGAGCTATAGAAAGCCTTTGCCAGTTTGGCTGGCGTGGGCTATTTAGCCCTTGCAGAAATGTTGTTAATTTTTTTATATTTGAGTATTTACAAAGGCAAAGATACATTTTCTTGCTAATTCTCTAAGCACTTTTCAGATGAAGAAGGCATTTTTGCGTGTATTACTACCTTTAAATGTTGTATTACCACTCCTCAAAACGAGACAGAAGAGGAACCTAATTTTTTGGAATATAGAAAAGTTTTGTTAGGTTTTGCAGGTTATTGTGGCGTTTTTGCGAATGCCTAGTTTATATTTTTTGACTTGAAAAGAAATTGTTTTCTATTTGACAGCACGGTGTAACATTTATCACTTTAATTATTTGTAGTATTGATCACGCTTTATGTCTTTCCTTTTGTGCATACACATTTCCTATTCTATTGCAAGTTTTAGCAGCTAATACAATAGACATGTCCTGTATAAGGGAACGGAAATCTCCTATTTAGAACATCGTTTGATAAACACATACCTAGACATTTAAGACCTCTTTCTCTTTATTTCCTAACACCCTGATATTTAGCAGTAAGTAGTAAAAATATTGGGAAGCTAAAGTGCGCAGATTATATGAGAATGTTGTTTTGAAAAACTGCGCGGGCAGAAAAAAGCTCTCGCAAATTTGCGTGGGGTTTGCACGGGCGCGGGCTATAGCCCTCGTCTTCGGGAAAGGCCTGACAAACCCAACCGCAAGCGTTTGATCGCTCATGCAAAACGGTGAATTGTGAGGAATAAATGTCTCATCAATTAAAGGTAATGTGTCCATATAAAAGGACTGCGTATACCCAACCTGTCAAGCTATCTATCAAAATAACAGTTTGCGATTGGTTAGTATTCTTGCGATGCAAAACTGCTCACATGAAAAGCTAACTTCGCAGCAGGATAAATAAACAGAACGACCATAATGACTGGGGCGATGACATCAAAAATTGCATGTTTCTAAAACCCCCGCAAAGTTGCTTGCTATAGCTGGACACATTACCTTTAACACAATTTTAGTTATCTTTTATGACCCAAGCAAGTGACATAGACAATACAAAGCCGGTATATCAAAACACAGGAAATATAAGTAAGCTGAATAAACCATATCTCAGCGAAAAAAATGCATTTGAAAATCAATTCCACAGCGAATGTGTAGGAATACTTTAGGTACTAGTATTTGAACTACAATAGCACTTAGGCCATTTTCTAGGCAGCCAGATTGTATAGTATTTTTTCTGCGTGGGGAACGCCTGGGAAAGTTTATAAATGAAGCACATTTGTATTTGGTATTTATTCTTTCTTGGCGTGCATTAAAGATCATCATAACAGTTTGTTTTCATTTGATGTTACTGCAAACAGAAGGGTACCTTATAAGATCATTGCTATCACTATCAGAGCAATCGCTCGTGCAAGAGAAATCACGTGAGCGATGGGCAACTCACGTGGGTTATTTCTTACGAAAAGGCCTGTAGGGCCCTTATTGATAATATCAACTTTAGAACTGACAAGGTTTACCCTGCAGAAATATTTCTCTTATTATTATTACTATTACTATTATGTTCAAGGTTGACAACAATAAAAATATTATTGCAAATTACCCATTCCAATATGGTTTCCACAGCCATTGCACCAGATGTTATATGGCATTTCAAATCTAAAGGTAAAAGTACTTTCAAGCTACTACAAATCAAACTTAGAGGCAAAGTTAAAAATAAGCAATGAACATATACAAAATTTATTCTTTATAACAACATAAATAGCAAATAAATATAAACTTAAAAACACACAGAAAAAATTACAAAGGGCCAAGAAACCTCTTTTGATGAAGTTTTTTACCAAGCTAAAAAATCAAGTGTGAGAAGGAAGAACCACAGGATAGGCTGTCCGCCGGATTCTGTGAATCTTGCAATGAGATTTTAAAATGAAATGTATACAGGAACAAAGCAATACGACAACGAGAATCCAATGTCACGAAATAAATTTTCAAAATAAATTAAATTTAAGACTATACTAATATTTCGCCCCGGTATACAGGGCTTCATCAGAGTAAAAATTTACATTTACTAAAAAAATTTACATACCTTTCACTAAAAAATCAACCTGATTTTGATGAGAGTGATTACAATATTGTTTATTATGAAAATGCAAGCACAAATACCTGATGATGATGATGCCTTCATGAATCTTCCGTGCTCTTTCACGGAGAGCATGTGTGCCATGATATGCATTAAGTGAACCCTGAAATACAAACAGTCTAGACAAATACAAAAAAGAAATTCTACTCTAAGAATAAGAGATGTATTGGGTTAAGGTTTACTATTCTGGACATTTTTAAAAAAAATTTGATCATTCGACAATTTCTCAAACTTTAGTGTCTAAATTACATTGCATAGTGAGCTAAAGGAAGAAGACTTCCAGGATTCTCATCAATGCAATTGAACCAGTTTTTATTTTATATAAACTAGATTCCCATTATTGGGGGGCAGCCATTCATTTCCTGTGTGTTCTGGAGTGTTCTCTTTTAATTCAAATGTTTAATAAGAAAAGTTAAGTTTAGGAGTATTCAATAATACCTTGTCAGCCCCAAACACTTGATTCCCTCTGTGTCCCTGTACTAAAAATTTTGCTTTAAATTTAAGCATCTTAAATCATATCAGTGCCTTACCTTTCTTGGGTCAAAATCTGGTGGATAATATTTATTTGTGCCTTTTCTTTCACCCTGCAAATTTGATCAAACAATTTTAAGAACTACAGCTTGAAGGGAAAACTGGGTATATACTATCCTATCTACTGAAAATACAAGAAGATTTTGTGTTATTTGTTTGAGATGCAACCAGTCCTTGAGTCACAGATAAATGATTATCAGAGCAGATAATTGTTCTCAGTGAATCATAGGAGGTAACGGTGAATGGTACAAGTTTTCAATAATTCTATTTTACTTTTTCTGATGATCCCAAAATGGTCAGACAAGACCGTTTAGCTTGTTATCTGACACAAAAAGATAAGCATACCAGTGCATACTTACCATACCATCACTCTTTACAGAAATCTGATTTTTCAGATATTTTGAAGGATACGGTTTTTAAAAGATACCCACAGGAAAATTTCACTCCAGCCTGAAGAATGTCAAGCCCCTGCTAATATTGAAGCAATGGCTTGCCATATTTAATTTCCTTATTTTGCTTAGTGGTAGATTATGATGTGTGTTTTGGCTGAATTATTCTATCTTAAATTGTTGCTATTTGAGCCGCCTATCTTAAATCCTTGGCGTGGCAGGGCCATACAGAATTTTGCATGGCAAAAAAATCGTACAGCCTTTCAAAGAAAAAAGGCTACGCCCTGCCCCTGATTACGCAAAATATGATGAATGCAACATGAAAAAAGAACACCACATAAAAAGTAGAAACATTTCATTAAGGCAACTTTTAGCTGGCACGCACGCATGAAATTACTTTCGTAGAATGGGAGATGTTTTCTCTTAGACAAAAGCTAAAACTGTCATGGCATTTTAGGATAACTGCATTTTGTTATTTGATATTTGTAATAACCATTACAATTTTAATGTTGTTTTAGAGACATAACGTTGAGTTGAGAAAACTTTTAGGTATTTTACCATTTTCTGCGAGGTCTACGGATCCAATGGTTCTACGCCTGTCAGCAAAATAGTCTTGGACAGTATAAAGTGATAAACCAGCAAAAGTTATGTGATTTTCAGCAAAGAATCAAGATAAAATCGCACACTCCTTCCATGTTACTGGTCAGCGATTGATTCGCGAAACATCGCCATTTAGCTGTTTGGGTTGTTGGGGTTGCATGCTTCATGTTTCTTTCTTTGTCCCCTGTAAAATTTAAGGTGGGACCATAGAGATATGGTGGAACATTGCATTTCTTTTATGACCGTATCAGATAATGGGACAACTAGAAGGAAATGCATAAGATAACAACTATTAAACATGACTGAAAGGACAAATAAAGCGTTAGTGACCACTACAGCTTTAGCTGCAGCTGCTGGTTGCATTGCAACTTGGAAACTTTACAGCGAATGGCAAAAAATACGGAATGCGAAGGAACGAAATTTGACAGATCTCGCGCGTGAAATAAACGCAGATGATCTTGCTATTCTTGCTCGGTCAGAGAATTATGCTTTGAAAAATTGTGCAAAGCAAGTACTCACTGATCGCATGGTATCAAAGAAAAATCTGCAATATCTACTTGAGCAATGCACGTCAGAGAATCAGACCCGTCAGATGAAAGCCGTGAGCGTACTGTGTACGATTTGTAAAACGCGGGAATTCAAGCCCATCGTCATGAAGAACAATGTACTGGCTACTTTGCTCAAATGCGTAAAAATGATTTCAAATGATTTTCAAGTGGCAAAGTTAGCAGAGAATTGCTACGCAGATTATGAGGTTGAGCAAACATTGAAGTTCTCGATTGTTACAATTCTTGATCTAGTTTCTGAATCGGACTCAAATCTAACTGTGTTCTTTAAAACATGTAAAGAACTGGTTGCTTTTTTGTTGGAACTTATCTCAGATCCATCAGATAATATAACAACGGATATTCGAAGATTGTCTATCTTGATTTTGCAACAAATGATGCAGCATGAACAAATGAGATGCAACCTTATAAGCTATGGAATTATACACCGTACAACTCTATGTTTCCTCAGAACAATTGGTGATGCTTGGATCTCAAGAAATTGTTTACAAATATTGGTGATGCATATTAACCTTTTTGAAGATTATGTTACTGAAGAGTTTCTTCAAGAAATGGCCCAGCTGGGGATCATACCTGTGTTGGTTGGATGTCTTAAATCAGATGATCCTGATTTGATTTACTGGAGTACAGCATTGTTGCATGAGTTTTTGCTGAAAGATCTTCACAGAGGTAGTAGATTTGACTTAAAGTTACTAAAAGTTACTACAAGTTACTAAACCTACTTTTTAGGAGGTTTAGGTAACTAGAATTGAGAGTGAAAATCTTGTTTAAAATGCTTTATTTTTAGGATACAAGCTACCTCTTGTTTATAATAATGATCTAACTAATAACTTTCCTAAGGGCAGAAATAAATTCCTATCACCTTTAAAATCAGGCACCTTTTTATCTAAGTTTTTATTTTTTATGTTAGGTGTTATCTCAAAGATTCCAAACCTCGTCAAAACATTGTATAATATACTTGTCAGCAGTGAGTCAAGTTTACAGAGACTTGTTTTAAGAATTTATTGTTTCCTGAGCATCAATGATGACAATTTCAAGAAAAAGTTGCTGAAGTTTAAGCCACTTTTGAAGAGATTGTCAGTCTGCCTGGCTTCTGGAAACACTGACCTTTTATACTGGTCAATGTTGTTGGTTCATGATCTGGCCATGACAGGTAATAAACAAATTTAACTAGCTTTTTGTTATTTTCTCATCTTATTTTAGTAAACAAGCGTGAATCCTGCCTGAATTCTGACTAATGCAAAGGTTGTCTGAAAGAGAAGCCATGCCTTTTTGTGTTGGAAATGCCCAAATTTTTCTGAATAAAATCAGTTTCACTGATATTCAATAGGGGATTCCAAAAAGGTATTCCAAGGAAACGACTCCAGGGCCACCCACATTCCGAATGCAGTGGTCATACCACAGCACTACAGAATAGACACTTCAAAGTCGCCTGACTTAGCTATATGTTCCTTAGCAGTTGTGAAGGGGTGATCTCAATTTCCATTTCATTGGTTGCAGCAAACAGTTGCATAGGCTCACTGTAAACAATTGCAAGGTGTAAACTCCGATCCCTATTGGCTGGCTGTACCGCTGCCAAGGCAAGCTCAAGTTCTGGTTCGATAAATCAAATCTCACCTATGCTCGCCCCAAAGATTGCAGAGGTGAAGTACACTCTGATTGGCTTAAAAGAGATGTTTGCATAGGTCATGCAAGTGGTGATTGGCTCTCGAGGGACAAACAAGTTTCTGGATTCAGAAAATATGGAGCAGATAAATGCCTAAAATTGCCACTTGACTTTTCTGTGTAGAGGCCAAAAGATGGTCAGCAAAATATATGCCCTGCTGTCATCTGCATGTTGTTGGTATCAACAGGGGGAGGATCTAGGACAGACATTGCTAAAGAATTTGCCAAAGAAAATATTGATTGAACTTTTTGATAGTTTCCATTTTATTTTTTTGTTGTAAAAATCTGACTTATGCTTTTGCATAGGCCGCTGTAGTCTGGATCTGCCTCTGAGTATATATCAAGATAGCAAGAGCAACCAGGTGATACATTTGAAAACAGATGCCCCCCTTTGCTAGATATTACCACCTCAAAACTCATTTTGGCACACATTGCTTCTAATTGTTTTGAAAGACTCATTACATGAGAATGACTCTTAGGAAGCTGTTTTCAATCTTTTCAAAAATCTCGAAACATACTTTAAGATACACCTGCATTGATAAAGCATGGCCACTTGAGGCATAGTCAATGAAGCCTTGGCTGCTCAAGACATGTGATCAGTTGAAGCTACCTTTGTGTCCCCTACCCTCCTTGATACAGACTGAAGACTGCCCAGTAAAACTTTTACTCAATAATAACTTCAGCGAAAGTGAGCTTTGTTCTTAGCAAGTTTGTAGATTATATTGCTCATATGATATGTATAGAGACTTTTTCAGGAAAGCAAGCTGCTTTGAAAATGATCCAAGCAAATGAAGATTTGCTCAAGTCAACTATACTGTTGACTCAAGATACACTAGAGGGACCCTGTGACATCAAACTTGTGGCTGAAACTCTTGGTTTCTTTTGCTCTTGTGGTAAGTAGTTTTTGCCTACTATTATGCTCCAAATTAAGTTTATGTCCAGTTGTAAACACCAAAACACATGCACAGCTCTGCCTATACGGCATTAAACACTTTATGGCAGACTGGTAAACAGTTATTTTTATCATGTTCCATTTCATGTTGTCAATAGCTTTTTGGTTCATGTTAGTGTATTTAATAAATTTCTATGTTTAAAAAATATATTTTTGATAGCATACACATCCCATTTCTCTTTCAAGATGAAAAGATTTTATTTGCCTATTTTTCTAAGATGATTTATATACAGCATTGATGCAAGGGGAAGTTTCTTTCAGCTGATATTTTGAAAGCTAAAAAGTTTACAATATCCTTTTAAACTTAATGTTTTAAATCAAGAGAGGAATGTAGTTTAATGCTATCCCTGTTGCTTGTTTATTTCATATACTTTAGATAATTCTGTTTTCTAGAGCCCCTGCATAAAATGGCAGTAGAATATGGATGCATAAAAACAGTGCTTGGGCTCTTAAAGTCCGAAAGTACAGAATTGCAGTTTTGGGCTTCGTCATTGCTCCTTAATCTTGCGATGTCTTCTGATGAAGCTAGAGAGAGGATCATAAAGGATGGTGGCATTGGATTGTTATTGGAAATGGCAGTTAAAGAATCAGAGATGCCACAGATAACTGCACAGGCCTCAAAAATTTTAGTCATGTTGGGGTTTACAGGTACTTTGGAATCATGTCAGTTGCTTTTTATAGCCATTCAAAAATAATAATATGAATTTTTCATATCTTTTTTTCACTGTTGTTACCCCTTTGACAGCACCTTGTCAGTGGCAACCATGAGCTATGGGCTCTACCCTGTAGCAGGGGAAGATTTTTGAAAGGACACTATTGCTTCAGAAATGTGGGTTTTCCTGCATTCCTATTATTGATGATTTTATAATTGGATATTTCGGATTCTTTGAACTGAGCGGATTCTTTGAACTGAGAACATTTTTGTAAATAGGCCCTCTCCTATTGCAATTTTTCAGATAGTGATTTTAGAAAACTAGTGAGTAACACCTGACAGAGAATGCTTGATACTCTAAAGATTAAAACTTCATATATTGACTTGAAGGTGAACAGAAATATATGTTACATGGTTTAAAGGGATGAATCCAATTTTTTACCTCTCAGCCATTACTGGAAAAAGACAACTACTTTGTTTCCTTTTTTAATCAATCAAGGAAAGCTAGCTTCTTACCCAAGATGAAGAGTTTGATATCACATAGAATGCATGTCTGAATGCCCAAGGTGTTGAATTTACCACTCTCCTGGTAATATTTTGGCAGTAGAACCTTAAAAAATCATTGCATTCTAGATGCAAGTCTACAACTTAGTCTGAAGGCAGGTATAGACTCAAGTATAAAAATTGATGGCAAAGAGCATAGCCCTGTCAAGCATGGAATAAACATGGTTAAAATCAATTTCTTGGAATATAAAATCAGTAGAGGCAGGGCATTTGACTTGGGGAATTTGACTGATGCTGCCAGTTTGTTGGCAGAGCTAAAGAATCTCAAACACAATGAGCTTTTCATTATGACAACACAAGGTGAAGTCAATTCATTTATGAAAGGTATGCAACATGTTGCTTTCTGTACTTTTTTATATTGATGAAATTTACTGCCATTGAGTAAATTTATATGTTGTGACTCTGCTTAGGCCAGTTTACATTTTTCTTTCTTAACCATTCCTTCACATTATCACAATCCAGGACAGGCATCCTCTATGTTCCTCATGTATCACTTATCTATTAATTTCAATTTTTCTTTCTCTTTGCCACCCTGTTCATTTCACTCAATACCTTAATGTGCTTAGCATTTAGCATGAAACATTAAGCTGCAAGTATCTCTATTTGTCAACAAGTAGTTGGTTTTCCCCAAAAATATTCATTAGAAAAAGTCTGCTACTATAGTCTTGATTTTTAAGAGGAAAATTTTATTGCAGAGGTTCAAGGAATGAATATCTTAACAGCTTTGGAAGAGTATGGCCTATGTCATGACAAATTTGAGGAAAATGATTGTTGGTGTGTTGTTGCACAGTCAGACAGATGCAACAGTGTGAAGTCTATACTGGCAAATCAGGCAAAAGAGAGTCTTGAACTGACCATATCAATAAATTTATGTGGGTTGGAACACAATATTTCTATTTGCAGCACATTCTTAAAGACATGTTGAATCATTTTGCAAAATTTTAAAAAAAAATGTGTTTCTTAATCTTCATTTATTTTTTTGCAGCTTTTTGTAATATTTTCAGCAGTCCGGTGTAATATAATATCAGTATTGTGGCAGTACACAATCTATGCCTCTATTGAAGGTTTTAAACTGTGATTTTTGCTTTATTAAAACACTTTAGGCAATATTTTATTAAGTATTATCCAATTATTTTTAACTGCTATGTTTCTTTCACCTTGGACAACTGTTGTAACCTGAAGATGTATGTGAATGTAAATAGTTCATTTTAAAAGAGACATGAAAAAGTTGCATTTTTTTAGCCAGGCCACTATTTTTTGCAGCTGATCAAGTAAACACTTTTGTTCAGGAAAGTTTGCTCAAACCCATCTTGAATATCCTTGTAAGTGCACCGGCTTGCAGCAATATAAGCAAAGTTCCAGAGCTAGAGATACTGTCAACTTTGGCACGACACCAGAAGCATCAAACTGGTAAGAATTACCACACCTCATTAAAAAAACAGTTTCATTGTAGTTTATCTTATTACATTCGTAACACTAGTTGTTATTCTGGGTATTGAGAAAATTACATCATTATGAAATGGGATATTTTGAAATGTTTGTGTATCCATTTAATTGAATACAAGAGTTTATTTGAAGTCTGTTGACAGAGGGGAACTTTAGTTAGATATGACATTATGACAACTTCGTGTATTATATTTGGCATTCTTCGAAATTCTATAAACGCTAGTGGACTGTAGTATGAGGTTAATAATGGAAACTTTTCATTTTGAATTCCTGTTAAAACTACAATTACAAATCTCACTATTACAAGGTAATTTGTAACTGGCTAGCCTGTGTTTACAAAATAAAAACTATTACATCGTAGTAATGAGAAAAAAAAATGTTAAAAGGGGTGTAGCTCTGGATTAGTCCAAGTTTTGTTTCTACAGCAGAATATATAGTATGTGGTGCGAATGGCGATGCTTGTAAGTTTTGAGATGAGGTAGCGTTTCTGTTGATGATCAATGGACAAAGAGTCACACATGTCGATGAATGAGCTGCAGGAGTCGCCAAAAATACCAAGTGAACTGATGGAAAGATTGACAAACGAGACTGACTTAAACTGACGTTTTAAGTCAGATACGAGGGTGGCATATTTCCCTGACTTTCTGACAGCATTGCAGTTGAGATTTGTTTCAAAGCCTATGGCTAGCTCTAAAACGTACAGACAGTTTTCCTTAGTTTTGAGAAGTAAGTCAGGGCGTAGTTGATCTCCAGTTATGATAGAAGGGGAAAGAAAGCATGGTAAATCTGCGTAGAGAGAAGACCCATTTATTGCTTGGAAGGAAGTGGCTAGAAAGTTTAATGCAGAATTATGACGCCAAGTATAGCGTCCTTGGTCAAGGTACACTTTGCATCCAGCAACAACGTGTAGAAGTGTTTCTGGAAGAAGACAGAATTCACAGTCAGATGTTTGACTAAGGTTCCATTTCAGCAGATTTTTACGAGTTGGAAGAGTGTTGTTAAGATACTTGATGGTAAAGTTAAAGATGTTACTAGGCAAATTGCTCTGTGTACTTGACCAAATACCGTTCAGCTTTTCCAGTGAATGTTTCAGTAGGAAGGTAATTGTAGCTCCCTGAGATGGTAAGTTTTGAGAGAGACGTTCTTTGTTGTCTGATTTGACAGCCTTTAATACCTCTTTAGTATTACGATAGATGTCGTACTGTAGGTTCGTGCCATGACTGGTGTTTTTCCATAGGGTTTGAATGTCAATATTAGGAGAAGATTTTAGGGCATTGCGACAGACAGTTTGGCATTGCGTAAATTTGATAGAAGGCAGTTGTAGATTTAGGCCTTTGATTTTTTGAGAGGATTATTCCACTCAATGTTGCAGAAACAGGAAGATCAAGCCACTGGCGAATGTAATTGGAAACAAGATTGTCTAGGTTTTGGACAACCCAGGTCTTTGGTAGATCTGCAACAGTAAAATGCCATAAATATAATAATAATAATAATAATAATAATACTAAGATAAATATTTACAGAGGATGGCCTCAGTCACTCGAGGGTGCTTTTCATGAGGATCCTCTATTTAACTAATTGTATCGATTTATTAAAACATTACAAAATTAAAAAAGTTCATCATATTAAGAGTGGATTAAAATCAGTTCACATTGTCCAAAACCTTTGTTTAAAAATATTAAAAGTTCCTGCCAACGTAATGTTTGTGTCCAGTTTATTCCAGTCATCAACAAACAGATAGGATGACACTTGCTTCCCCCAATTTGTCCTTACTTTAGATAGATGGTATTGCTCTTTGTTCCTTGTCTGGATGTTATGCAAATCGTGTCCTGTTTTATTGCTGAAAGTGTAACTTATATCGTTTTTTTTCGACTTGTAAATGGTGGCACATCGATGGAACTTTTGTCTGATATCTAGAGATTTCCAGTGCAGTCAATTTAAGGCCTTCGTGCTTGAGTCATTTGGTTTCATGTTCAATACCAGTTTGGCGCATTTGTTATGAAGAACTTGCAGAGTCTTCATCGAACATTGGTTATTTCTATCCCCCCAAACAGTATCTCCATAATCAAACAATGATATTATCATAGTATTTACCAAAATTAAACGGTGTGCCCTAGGGATTAGATGACTGATTCTTTTTAACAAACCTATTCTTTTTTCTATTTTTTGCTGCAATAAAGCAATGTGATCCTACCATGTCATATTTTCATTTATTATTATACCAAGATATTTATAATATAACTCCATATCTAACTCCAACCCAACGACTTAGTCACAATAATGGGTTGTTTGACTGACAGAAATGTTTTGATTTTCCCCATCTTGCTTTGCATTTTCAAAACTATAAAGAAGAATGTCTGTTATCTTCACCCGAGGGTATAACCATGCAATGAATGATTGTGTGATTGTAAAAGCTTATGAAGCATTCTGATCATAGAACAATAAACAAGACTTAGATGTAAAGCTGTTTTTACCTGATCGATGTAGAGAATTTCTGATAAAAGCCGCATGCTCCCAAAATTATATTTGTAAGCATTATATAAGTCTTTTTCAAGTTGGTATTGAAGCTCCATTTATTTATTTATCCAGTTTAATTTGAGCAGCCCTAAAAACTGCTTATTTCTCCACCATATTTATCTGATTGTTTTTGGATGGTAACATGCTTGTGTTTACTCCTACTAGTCATGCTCTCAACCGCTGGCCTGTTAGACTACATTGCCGAATTGATTTGGTGTTTCGCCTGCATGGGCACTGATCAGTTAGCCGCAAAGCCTCTCATGGTTGCTCACTGCGTAGGAGCAATGAAGATTTCGCACTCGCTTAGCACCAACCCTGACAGCCACAACAGATTCTGCGACAGTCCTTTGTTGGGTGCCATCAAATCCTTCCTTTTTACGAGTTGTGGTGTGCTGCTAGTCTCTTTAAAAGAGGACGCTGAATACTTTGAAAGGGCAAATTTGAGACGCACCCTTTGCTCGCCAGACGAAGATATTTTTGTTAGTGGCAGAGAATCGCAATTAGTTTCAGAGTCCAGCAACAAAAATACAAGGCACTCAGCTGTTTTCAGCGATATTGTTGACGTAATGGGCGAAACAGATTCGTCTCACAATGTAAATCTTGCTGTTTTCCAAACACGGAAACCTGGGCAAACCGAGCGTTATTCGGTTGGAGCGAGTGATGTCTTCGATGAGGGATCAGGGATAATTTCACCTTTCTGTGCGGATCCAAAGACACAAGGAGAGGAGATCGAAGCTTTGATTGCTCAGGTGACCTTCGAAAAGACGTTTCGCAAAATCAAAGAAGATGACATTGCAGATGGGGACAAACAACTTATCGATGCATGTGCTATTATAAAAGATGAGACGGTGAGAGCAACATTAAGCAGTAAAAGATGCATAGAAGCTCCACTTAAGGGGGAGGTTAACTCTGGAGTACACTCGCTATATTTTCAACTATTTTACTTGCCAACAGAAAGATTATGAAGATGGCACAAAGTAGCAGAAAAGTCCTATCTAGGTGTACTTAAATTACCGCATTATGTCATTATTGGAAACATGCTTGTTTCGTGCCATCTTCAATTTTTGCGGTACCAGAAAAATTGTCTTCAAATATCAAGTATTTGTAAAAGGATAAATAATAACTTTTATGTAAAACACAGACTGCTCATATTTTTAACTGCAAATGTGACTGACGAGAAAATGAGAAGCGATTACCATTTTAGCCATTTTTACAGCGATTACCCTTTATTTCAAAGCTAGACTCCTGGCGTGCTTATTTCCCCGTTAAGTTAATGTCTTTTTGCAGGACCAAGTCCAAGAAGACGATGTTGCTGCTGCTGCTTCCTTTCCTGTTAGAGAGGAATTGAATTTCGAGTTTCAAAATGAAGTGAATTACGAAGGGATGAGAAGAAATCCGAACAGGGATTCAAGGCTCAGCGAGAGGAGCCGGAGCTCAAGGCGGAGCGAAAGTGACTTTGGGCGGAGAGCTGATGAGCATGATAATGATAATTTTGACTTCGACGATTTCGAGGAGGAAGATCTACCTCCGATTCCTGATAATGATGATGATGACCTTGGATTGTCTCAAGGCAGAGGATTCTTTGACGTAACAAGGATGGCGTCAGCACAGCGAATGCGCTCTTCTTCGGCTTTCAACCCGAACGATTGGCCCACTACGCGTACTGGCTCTCTCTCCAGAACTCTAAGTGAAGCGGCTCAAAGAGCTAAATCTCCACTGAAAGATATTGCTTCAGACCTGGAGGATTTTGACGAAGCGCTTGTGAATTTGACGAATTATGCCTTGATGACTACTTATTTTGCAATTCATCGTGGAGAACATAAGCAATGTGAAAACATAAGTGATATTTTCCGATTTGTTCATATTCTGTGGTGCATTTTACTAGGTTGCAAGCAGGAAAACAGAATCCAATGGGGAATGGTAGTCGCAGCCACTATAAGCAAGCTGTGCTCAGCTTCACCAAGTGATGGCGAGAATGAAGGTATTGTTTCCTCTTGTTTGTTACTATTGTTGTTATGAAGTGAGGTATCGTCCACAGAAATTCCTTTTCAGATGAAAACGCAATTTTGGTTCGCCGTCTACACAACACGATCAGTGTATGAATCAAATCGTGACTCTTTTAACTGAAATCAACATTCAAGTGCAATGATTTGAAATGCATCGATTCCGTGTAGACGCAAATTTTTCATTTCATTTCTATTGATATGAAAAAACGTATCTATTAAAGCAGGGGCTTAAATGGCTTTCTACTTTTGCTTTTTTTATATAAATTGTACCCAATGCATGTTAAGGTATTTCGATGCATCGTTCCATGCAACAGTTTTGATATTTATGACTGTATTGATAGGCCAAGAGGAACCGATGCTCGCAACCCAAATATTCCTCTGCACAACCACAGAAAATTATGTTCATACTTATTATGAGCTTTCTATCTCAGTTTTTGTGTGAAAGTTAGAAGATTAGCAAAAAATGGTTAAAACACCTAATTGAGAGACATACTGGAGCCCAGAAGTAAAATTTGATGTGCTTTCGATTCAGTAGTTCTTCCACAATTAAGTAGTTCCTCTTAGAGAGGGTTGTTCTACTGCTGATCTACTGTTTGTCATTTCTCAAGAATAAACAAAAACTGTATTGCTTACTCTTAGCTATCGAATATACGCATGTTGTGAAGCTGGATGTCAGCAATATGACTACGTCAATGTTGATCAGCAATGATTACTTGGAGGTTTACAATGGAAACTGGACTTTCGAGAGCATCACTGCGACAAAACATGTCTCAAAACTTGTTTCTGCGCCTGGTACATTATCAGGCTGGTACTACGAAGTCAGTCTTTTCAGCAAAGGCATAATGCAGATAGGTAAGTAGATACGGCTTTTGAAAGTAGCCAATCCGTATAGTGGTTGATTATGCCATACTTTCCAGGGAGCTTGTTGACTGAAATTTGTCATTGGTCGCCTTGGGTGAGCTGAGGGTGAGCTTCGTTGCAAATATAGCATCCATGGGCACTGGTTTCAGATTCACTTTTTCCCCTCACGAAATCCTTTTACTGATGATGATCATGGAGGCTTTTGAAATCAAGTGAAGTTCATTGGCTCTCTTTGTCCAGTTTTCCATAGGACGAATAAACTGACAATGCAAACAAATACTTGGCGACAAAAACAGATAGCTTTGGGTGGTTGCTCAAAACCTTCACCCTGCTAATTTAAGTGAATATCGGACCGTGGTCATTAATTTTCATTATAGTCTAAGCCTATTCCAATTTTGTATTTCAACTGCTAAAGTCAAACCTTGGACTTTGAAAGCTTCATTTTACGCTCTAGGCTGGACATCTGATCGAACATTGCATGAGCCCGAGAAGGGCCTAGGTGTTGGTGACAACCCGAAGTCCTTTGCATTTGACGGATCAAGGTGTCGAGTATGGCATGGACAAGGACCACACGATGACAGCAAGGAAAACAATTACGGAAAGTGAGTATTTAACATCTGTAGTGGTTAACGATTAAGATGTGTTGCTGACTGTAGAAATACTCTTTTCAAAGATTAGATACTTATGTCACGTTTTTCTCCGACTTTCATAAATTTCTACAAGGATTTTAGTAAGGCATAACAATCGCTATCATGTGAAGTTTTCAAAACCTTTTGGCGTGGCTAAAAGACAAATGTTCACATGCTCAATCACATGATCACATGCACAAATGTTCACATCCAAATGCTCTTGGATTATTTGTTGGAAAAATGTTCACTGAATGTTGGTTTAGATATGCTAGTTTAGATAGGCAAAGAAAATCTTCTTTTTGCAGTATGTATTTAGGCATCGTGCTAGTCATCCAGTTGCCGAGTTCATATAAATCTGGTAATTTCATACTGATAATTCTGCATCATGGATCATTAACTTGCTAAATTGGAACTATTGTATATTGCATATCTTTAATTGTTATCAAAATTGCTGCTATTTTTAAAAGTCGTTTTAATATCCTTTATAACATATGTTTTGCTCCATTTTTTGTGCCATTCTGAAATTTTCCTGTACAAATGACTTTTGTAGATGTTGGCATTCCTTTTTTAATTATTTTCTTTCCATACTTTCAATGTGTGTTAGAAAATGGTCGATTGGGGATACTGTGTCATGCTTGCTGTCAGTTAATGGAGATGCCTCCTTTTGGCTCAATGGGCAAGATCTTGGCACTGGGCTGAAAAACATTGACATGTCCTTAGACTGGTATCCCGCAGTTTCTCTGTCTTTGGACCAACAGTGCAAAGTGAATTTCGGTGGAGAACATTTTCTGTGAGCAATGCTTTGAATTTTTTAATTTTTTTTTCCTTGAAAAATATGTAGCTATTACGCACTTTCGTGCTGCATCTTTCAACTTTCTTTATATTGCTTTCATAAGCGACAGTTTCCTAGCGAGATGAACGGACAGAGTTCCCTACCCTACTCAAATAATTGTTTATGTACCAAAGCCCGTGATCACTCTCAAACTAAGGTGTTTTTTGCCTCTTACTTTTCATCCAGTGCATTTGTTTTTACCGTCATATTTTCCAAACAAGATGAATCGAAAATATTTTTGTTGATCAATTGATATCGTGAGAAATTTAGAAAATTTTGTATGTCTCAATCTAGCACAGAGGTATTTCAATTTTTGGTTTCATCTTAGGGTTTTTCGAAAGAAAACATCACAACCGTCACTCGTTTTTCAAAAGAAAAACCTCAAACCTTGTTCAAATGGAAGAAGCATCGGTCAATAACACCTTAATAAGCTTTTAATTATTGCTGTTTTAAGGTACGAGCCCCCGCTTGGCTACAAAAGCATCGAGCAAGCAGCATCCACTGAAATGCAAGCTTTGCACTCACAGACAAAGCAAGACGATGTTTTTGACGAATTAAGCCAGGCACACACTTCAGTCGTTTCTACAAAATCAACAGACGTTGCAGATTGGCAACCTATTGTTCCCCAGTCTCCTCCAACTTTGAGCAGAAAAGCAGCTTTGCAAAGGCACAAATCTGATCTTGATTTTTCACCAAAGGATTTGTTGGATTCAAAAGGTTTTTACCAGCATTTTTTCTGATTAAGCCCTGTATGCCGGGGCTGAACATTTTGGCAGCTACTACTTTGCTTGTGTTTATTGTTGTTCGTTCTCGGCACGTTGCGGTGTTTCTTATTTTCTACTTTCTTAACTTACTTTGTGTTCTGTATTTTAAAATGCTTATAGGCTCATAAAGTAAGGTAGCTTGTTTGTTCTTTATTAAATCTCGCAGAGTAAATTCTGATAAAGGTACTGCTACGTCGTTGAAGACAATATGTGAGATGTAAGGAATCCTCAGGTCTATATAACGCCATAAATTGAATACCAAGCTACGAATCTCTATGGGATATTAGGAAGTGCTCTTAGGAATTTTTGGAAGGGAACAAACCTGGAGCGGCAATCATGAAAATTGCCAAAGTCCTTCAAATTCTTGATTTCTCTTTATGAATAATACAAAAAATGCATTAGGCCCAACATGCTCTATTTAATTTGACTGTACACATGAAGATTTACTAGGCCATTTATTTAATGTAGCAGGAGTATCTTGCACGGAGAGTTGAAACGCTCCGCAAAGCACAGGTTAATGTAACGCTATCCGCTTGCCACTATACTTCTTGCGTGTGTGCCAGAGAATCATCCTTTAGAAGAGTTAGTACACTCTAATATCTATTTGTTAAACCGATCTTAATTTTCTACCATAAAAATATTTTTGGTGCTAAATGTTTTTCATTTTGGTAGGCCTGGTGGATGCTTGTGAGGTTTTATACTTTGAAGTGAAATGCTCAGCAAATAAGGAAACAACGACTTTTGATATTGGATACCAGTCCGTAGCAAGGAAGAAAAAGTTTGCGTGTAAAGTGAAGGAAAAAAGACTTTTCATACCAAATGGGGACGAGACTACATATGAGATTATTCATTTTGACGAAATTGTTGGCTGCGGACTGATTTGGCCAATCAAGAAGATTTTCTTTACCATTGATGGTATAGGCACCCAGTTTGCAATCAATCTTGCTGATCGAAAAGGAACTTGGGAAGAAAGTCTAGATGAAATTATTCCATATTTCTCCAAGGAAGGTCTGCATGTTAATTTTGGTCAAGGACTTTTTTGGTCACAAACAATGAACTCGTCGTTCTTCAGGAGAAACTTTTTTCAAATTATGCATGATGCTATTTTAAGGAGAGAGGAAGGAACATGAGGATTTAAAAGGATCACTTCAGACTTATCTAGTTGAGTTTAGTTTAGCTTAACTTTCTGTTTTGTTTTGTTATGTTTTGTTTTGTTTTGTTTTGTTTTGTTTTGTTTTGTTTTGTTTTGTTTTGTTTTGTTTTGTTTTGTTTTGTTTTGTTTTGTTTTTTTCATTTTTCCTCATACATGTATAGTTTGTAGTTGAAACCTAGGTGAAGTAAAATGATTTAGTAGAGTTGAAAAAACAAGTACTGTTTGCCTACGGTTTGGTTCAGGCCTCAATTTTCATTCGCGCCTCTATATTGGCTTTTAGACTGTTGTCTGGCAGTTTGGAATCTAGCATAGAAGCCTTGAAATCTACAGTATTACTTTGGAATTAACATAACCCACGCAAAGTTTAGTCACCTGTCATGTTTAAATAACCAGTATCGATTACCGTAATTCTTATGCTACAGTTTATAACTTCATAAAGCTGGGTATGAGGGCCTTTTGTAGCATATTTACTATTGGAGAATTCGCACCTAATGCCCAAATTACATTTCTTGGTCTAAGACAAAAGACTATTGTTCTTTCAGCCCTCAATCAAGGGAGCTTGTTTATCCCTTTCCAGTACACCAAAGCATTGATATTGTCAAATGAAGGTAATTGATCCACGGAACTATAAGAACATTAATGTGGATGATGAACTGCTAGGAATGGTGAAATAGTGATAAAGTGGTATTCCAAAAATAATTAACGCGGTGCTTAAAGTCTAAGATACAACAAGCAACCTAAGGCTCCTGAATTCAATTTTCGTCGTCTATTGCAAACTAGTATTTATCATAAATTAACTAGGTTATACTTTTAAAGTTGTCTGTTGAAGAAACTTGTCTTTTTCTACGGTTTTAGGTAGTACTTCTCTCATCATTCAAACTGTTGCTGAAAGTTCTTCCATTTTCAGCAAAGTTAAAGCCATATTTGTTGCACGAAGCTCGCCGTTCTTTCATTACTCTTGAAATTTGTGAATATTTTTTGAAAATATCATTATGTTATATTAAGTATTTTGTTAGTGTAAATATTGAAGAAAGTTTTGCCTAAGTACACTGAATCTCGATTTATTTTTCTGAAAGTTTTTTTCAATTTCATATAAATTTTTAATGCTCGTGTTGGGGTTTGTTTATCGCAGTAAATTGAAGCATGCTTTTACTACAGCACCTGCATGCAACATATACATCAATTGTTCAAAATACCTGATCACCCGATGCCTCTTTTAATGATTAAATTTCACAAATGCTGCTGAACTTACATTTACCAAAAAATAACCCTTTTTTCTTTCGTGTTGCGTGCTCAGAATGTGTGTGCCCGAACTGTGTAGCAAAGAGCAAGTGTTCGTGTGTGTATTTCTTCGTTATTTTTGCTCCCTTGTTTTCATCATTGCTCGACATTCTCTATACACATTGTCTCTATTCCTAAAGTTGATAGTTACGGTTTTAAAGAAACATGTGCAGACAAGCCACTGGAAGCAAACCTTTCTAAGTTACACTCATTTTCAAGTAGAGATTATTTTATAAATATATGATAATATATAAGCAAACATTTCAGTATCTCCCGATTTGTGTAACAAAGTTAGTTTTCAGCACGCACATATTTCATGAGGCTCACAAGTTTCTCAACGTATTTTAGAATTTCTTCAGCTTAATAGAAAGAATATTCAAATGTCAAGAATGCAGGAATGAATTTGTATAGTGGAAAGGCACATGAACTAAATTGCATTTTGACCACGCCCTTTCTTCAACGAGGAGGTGATTGAAAGTTCCTATTTCTCCATTTCTGGCCTCTTCTGTATTTATTTGCTTAATGATAAGAGACAACAGCGTCGAGTCTCCTAAAATCACCAAGCAATAGTAACAATGTTACACAAAATTGTTTCTTTTTCAAATAACAGACAACGGCCTTTCCACAAATATAAACGGAAATTTTAATAGTCAAAGGGAATTTTTGTAATTTCTGAATTCCCAGGTTTATTTTGGCATTTCAATCTAAAAGCTTGCTCTCCTTTTTTTAAGAATACACTTTATAAGAACACACAGGCTTGATTTGCCAAAAAATAATAACAACGCAATAACATTTCCAGCATCAGACCAAAAAATAAGAATATAAACACAACTTGTCTTTTAAAAAGTTACTCTCATTTGAGCAAAGAGAACAGATGGTCGACCATGCTACACAAAATGTCATGCAAACATTTTATTTAGTGGCCTTAGAATATATATAATGGAGTCGAAGAAAATAAATGCTGAAACAATGATATTAAGAACAAACAAGAGTCAAATTATTAAGAAAATAATCACCCTAAACCTCGTCAAAGTTACATTGTTCTTATCAAAATAGAGCGTATTTCTACTATTGAAAAAATCATTTTCGTTAAACCAATCAAAGGGACTCAACTGTACACGTGTTTAAAAAGAGGAAATATTGAAATACATTGAACTACAAAGTCCAAATTCAAAAAGTTATGTCATTAGGTGAAAAAATGCGGTTAGGGATGGTTAACCACAAGCCACACAAGCAATAACTATGATGAACGCATTTATTATTGAGCAAACTAAAAGGTACAATTGATATTTAAGTTTTCCTGTGAAACAGGCCATGACAAGGAGCAGCCATTCTTCGGACTGAAAGCTATGAGAGCATATGCCATAATTCGGGACTCTTCCTTTGCAATGCATGTATTTTTGACGAAAGAAAGCAGTACAAAAATATCTAAAGAAGACTTCTTTAACTAGGGGTAGCTGACATGTTTTTAACTGTTGTCCAGATCACGTGAAACGAAAGAAAACTGCATTGTTGAAAAATAAATTTCGATTGAAGCTTTTTTGAAAACCGAATCGTTGATTCTCTACTCAAGGTCAGTGTTAGTATCCATTTTATGTCATCATTATAAACATTTTCCGCACGATAAACAAGAGACGGATTCACGTTAAAGGGGAGGGGTAATCCTTCGAAGTATTACAGTAGGGCGCTCATACTAGGGTTTACAGTAGTTAGTAGCTCGAGGGACAGCATCTCCAGTTTATGGTTCATAATGATAAACTGTTATCTTGGAAATTTTCACAAGTATCAAAGATACAAGTAAAGTGTTCTCAAATTTTCTAGCCATTAGTTGGTTCTTTTATTTTCGGAGTCTTAGAGCAAATTTGTTTTCTTGTAACCGGAACAATATGACACAATTATTTTCCGTTAGTGGGGTGGGGGTATGTTTAAATATGATATCTGTTATTGTAGTCTTACCCTTTATGAAAATATATATAAAAATTAAATCATTGTACTGCAATAATTGGATGACATTACGTATGACCTGGTCTTTATTTCCGACGTTTTCTTGTTTACAAACTGCTCCTTGATACCCTGTGTTCTTGTCAGTGGTTGAATGATCGCGGAAGCAAATTATATGGTAGGAAGTTTCGATTTGAAACATTGAAAGGAGGGGCAATTAACTCTCTAAAATAATCGTGACAATTGTATTTGATGCATTGATAATAAGTTAAGACACTCATCACCGAACCGCGTTTGGTGGATTACGGATAACCACTTCACACAAAAAGTTTTGCTGTGGTAAGAATATTGCAGTCGAATCGCGTCAACTTCCTTGCCCCCGAGCCGAAAAGTTTTGCTGTAACCTTTCGTTTTCACATGGCAATGGCAGAACGATTGCAAAAAGAGGTAAACTTTACTTAATCAAGAAATTCTCATTTTTTGCTTTTCCTTTACGTTTTAGTCAAGCCTTAAACTAGCTAAACAAAATATGATAAACTAAACATGTTTTTTATGTCCTCTTCAAGGTCAATTGCTGTCTATCAGGCCTAAGAATTAAAAAATATTATGACCGTTATTTGGCGATTAACTAATTCCGTTACGCTGTTGATGAACTATCTAAAATCTATAAATTTTCCATAAACCCTACCTCAAAATTGAGATATAGTATAATATGAAAAGCATACACTTAAATTTAATTGAAATTTGCAAAAATCCAACAAATCAATCAAGTGAATTACCTTTCCTTTAAAAATGATACCCCAAAATTTAAGGTCATCGTAGAAATCAACCCAAAAATTTATGACCATGTTTGATTTTACCAAGTCGATACCCCAAAATTAATTTTCTTTTTGAAAAATGGTACCCCCAAAAAATGGCACAACCTGTACCAGGTGGAAGTTAACTGTCTGTGGAACTTCCACATACACTGGTACAGGATATGTTATTTTTTGGGGTACCACTTTTCAACCACTGATGGCAATGCCACCAAAACCTGGCTTTTTAAGGATTACTGTATGTAAGGATTTTACAACAACATACTATTAATTCTTTCTAAGACCACTTCATAAAAGTTTTTTGATTAGCTGATAAGATTATGCTCTGTTTTTCGAAGAGAGATTATTTTCAAAAGCACATTCTTTTTACTTCAAATTTTCCATCTGAGCATTTTTCTTGCATAATTCTTATTTGGAGCACATTTCTAGCTACAGTGCTCTAATAAAGTTTGTTCTCATGAAATTTATACAATCAAACACATATAGGTTGCAAAAAATAAAATGTCTCATTGTAAAACACATACATTTTAAAATTGTTTACTGCTTTTAAAAAAAATTGAAATTATAAGCACAAGAAACACACTTTAATGAAAAATTATTGCAACACCAGCACCATAATCTGAATTTTCAGCAAAAGACAGGTGAGCCTGAAAAGAAGATTAAGCACATATAAATTAAGATTTGGCTTCACAGTAGGATTATTAAATTTAATTTCAGGGGAAAACACACCAGTGGCATCACATTGGAATAAAAACTATTTACACTGTGTCCACAAAGAAACATCTTTGTCATGACTTGTTGCATAAAATAGAGCTAAATGATTGATCAAGATGAACTTAAATATGGCTTTTCTCACAGTGTGATCACTTGAACTTATTGTTTTTTGTAACATTTTGGGTACCTACCAGGAAATTTTACAAAACACTGGATTTCAACAAGATAAGTTAAACAAAGAATTTCATAGAAATTTGCTAAAATTATGCATTGAATGTTGGCAAGTTTTTTCTTTTATCTGCTGCTCTCTTGTAAGCAGTTTATTCCAGGGCTAAGAGATTAGATGATCTGGAACATTCGGAGAGTGGGACCCATGTTTGCCAAGTTTGAAACAACACAAGGGTACTAGGACATTGTGAAATGCTGTGATCACAGCATTGATTTGTTTTATCTTTATTATATACTTTAGTATATGCCATTCTGCACATTTGTACAATTCTGTTAACATATGTTTGCACATTTTGATACAGTAAAGATCTATTATTTGTATTGGTCACACTGTGGGCCTCAATATTCTTGTTGTAAATATCTTCCTTATGCATCTAGTTTTTTTGCTGCTATAGAAGTAAGTTTTGTGTATGAAGAATTGAATACACTATAACTGGATCAAAGTGGGTTAAAGGGAACACATACAACCATCCATCCTGTGTATAAATATATAGAGACCCTCTAGATCTCAGGCTAATAGCTGAACAAACCGCTTTGGGCTAAAACAGGTTTTTCAAAAGAATGTTGCCTGCATATGAGGTACAGCCGTTTTTAGAATAGCTTGCATTGTTTTAGTGGCTCCCTCAAAAGATATTGTAGAGAAGGCCCCCTTTATTTAGGAACCAATTTCCCCCTATCTCTCTCCTTTTATCTTTTATCTTCCTGGGTTGGGAGTTTTGCCCCAGTGCCCTGAGATTTTAATAAAATGTTGTCCATCTCTTTCTTTCAGTACTTTTTTCTGATGTTTGATGCTCTGTGGAGTGTCAAACAAAAAAGCTTTCAGTATGCTGTAATATTTTTTCTTCTTTCAAAGCCATTTTCAAATTTTGTACTGTCAAAAAAGATTGTTAATAGCTAATACAGTATCATCGTAAGTGCACCAGTATTCTTTGTACACAGCGACAGGCTACCTAACTTTAAACCAAGAAATGAAAAATATTATTTTTCCTTCTTCTAGTGTATCAGTTGTTAGAATTGGAATATTTTATGACAAGAAAAGATAATGAATTCCTTTACTGCTAAACCTTATGGCCCAGCATCCAAGCACTCAAGTCTTCCAAGAACTGGACCACAAGGAAATGACCAGGCACAACCAGGGACAAAATCCATGCCATCACTGTCTGGTGATATTTTGAAACAGAGAATTGCATCAATGCAAAAACAAAAGCCAGGCAAACCAGGCAAACCAGGTGATGGAGCTTTTTCTACTCCAAAGTCATTCGTAAGTTCTGGGACACCAGTTATTTCAGAAAGTGAAATTCAGCTTAGGAGAAACTCCATGCACAGAACTCCCCCACCACCAACTCCAGACACTAAACCAAATTATGACAAAAGTGTGCCAGAATTCCTGAGAAAGAAGCTAAAGCCCATAGGCATACCAGAAAATGAACAAAGTAAACAAGAAAGTGAAAGTATAAAAGAAGAAGATAAGGCACAAGTGGATGAAATCTCAAAAAAATCATTCCGTAATAGCAAACTTATGTTTGAAAACATATCAGTTGCTTCTAATGTTGGGCCCAAGCCAAAACCAAAACCAAAATCATTCAAGTCAATTAATGGCTTGACAAAAAACGGTAATGGTGACCAAGGTCATATCCTGAAGCAAGATGAATCAACTGTTGATCCTGGTACCGAAAATAAAGGTGAGGAAGAGAGCAAAACTCAAACTGATTTTGAGAAGAGTATCAAGAATGGAGGGCAGCAAAGTGAGGGTGAAGATACTGCTGTTGTTGTTGAGGAGAGCTGTCCAGAGTCAAACACTGATGCTGAATCTGGTAATGGTGCCGAAGAAAAAATCAAGGGGGAAATTGAAAATGTTCAAGATGATTGTCAAAACTCGGAAATTGCAGCTAATCTGAAGCCTCTTGATGTCAAACTTCCTACAGTACCTATAGGTTTGAGTGCATGGATGGACCGTTATGTGAAGAAAAATCCAAAACTCCAAAAACCAGAAAGTAACAAGAATGAGGCAGCCTTGTCTATACCTGGCAAGGAGTTTGGAGGCTTTTCACAAGCTGGCATAGGTGCTGCAAGTGATGTTAATGCAATAGAAGATGAACTTTATGATGATGTTAACAATGATTTAAAAGGTAAACTATATAGCTATTTTTATCTCCCTTTTTATGTTACTCATGCATCAAAATTAAACCAGAGAGGGTCAGAAAATGCAGGGGAGGTGAAAAACCATTGTAACTCGAAATAAATTGCATGGTGTTAAATGCTCAAAATTGCTTTCTTTTCTTCAAATATTTTGTAGCATATTTTTGCTGCATTATATCAAGAAATCATTGGCAAGTTTAACTGTCAGTCTGGTTTTTTGCACTGACAGATCAAGTTTTTGAAATAAACTCCAAGGAACCTGAAAAATTCAAAAAATAACTACCCGCGTTTATGTTGGACTCAAATGGTGGCGTAATGGAGACAGCCCTAGGGCCATGACTCATTTTGGGGCCCAAAGTTATAAGCATCAAGAACAATATTTAACTTTTATGATAAAAGAAGTAGTTCAAGGTTAATAAAAAAGTTAAAGCTAAAGCTAGTTTATAGATGGCTGTTTATTTATTTCAATGGTTTGCTATTCATATCACATGCAAAGGCCCCAAAACAGTGCCGTCGGGACATAGGCCCCGCTGCCCCCGCCCCAATAATTTTTGTCCGAGTTGTTTAATTATTAATGTGTAGGAGCTCAATTCACTTTTCAAAATTCTTTGCGTACGGAAACATGGCCTCAAAATTCAAGAGTTCGCAATATTTCACACCGTTTGTTTGCAATTAAATTCATCGGTTTTTGGTAGAAAACAGCTTTTATCTCCATGGTAGAGGGGGGGGGGGAAGCAAAGTCTGGTGTGTAAACTTCAAATAAGAGCTGCATTGCTACGGTCATTCCTTACAACTTTCTGTCGGTGATATGATAAAAGAATTTTGAAATCTGAAGGATGCACCGAGAAAATTTTCACCGAAATAAGAAAATTTTCACCTCAAGTGGGGATCTAACAATTTTGAGTGGCTAAAAACGTTCGTAGGATAAACGTGTAAAAGGCCAAAAGCAAGGTTTTCATGTACTTGTAAAGCAAGGTGTTGGGAAGTAGCTGACGTTTTAATATTAATTAGATTGCGATTTCATGAAGGTTTGTTGCCCCTTTTAGACAACTTTTTTGCTTGGCCTTTGAATGTCGTTGACCCTTGGTTTTTTAACTAACAGTTACTTTGGTCCGTTACGCTGCTGCCCAAGTGTATTGAAAATCTTTGCAAATGAAGTTTTGCGAAATTTCCAAGACGAGGCATCATTTTATTGAAAGCAGCTTATTGAAAGCACATTGAGCTAGCTGCCTTAGCACAAAGCAAATTCCAAAGTATTTTCTATTTCGCTAAACATGATGTCCTGTGGTGATTTCAGATACATCAAAGGATGATGCTGATCTGGTGTATGATGACGTTCAGAGTGGTCAACAGCAAGTGGATGCAGCAATTAGTAATGATGGTGAGGAGTTCTACGACGATATTGTTGTTGGTGGTTCCAGTGCAGCCATTGATGCAAGTAACGATGAGGTATATGATGACGTGGCAGGCACAGCCAGTGATGAAGTGTATGATGATGTTGCAGGAAAGGAGCCTAGCTCAAATGAGCCAGAACCAGAGATTTATGATGATGTTAATACTGAAGCGTGAGTACGCAGATTTGTACAAATATTTATTTTGCATGAAGGCAATATTTTATAAATCACAGACTTCTTTGAAGAAATATCAATTCTAAAGCAATATTCCTTACTTTCTAGCATAATTGCTTTTGCGAAGAGTCATTTTTATGAAATACTAGAATTTTCGTTGATTCGTTGAAATTCTTAGCTTGAACATGAACTAACAAGTTTCTTGCATTTTCAGGGCTCCTGTGTATGAAATAGAAGAAGGAGTATGTATTTATTTTACTTTTTAGCTTAAATCTTAATGTTATCAATTAATCAACATTTATTGAATGACCATCAGAAAATTCTATCAACTGTCTTGTCACTTGAAGAGTCACCTGTTTGCTGTGTAAATCTCATCTTTCTTTTTTTTAAAACTATTATTTGTCAATTATTTGTTCTTATCTTTAATTGTCATAATAGCCAGGTTTCAAGGGGGCCTGGACAAAATGGTTCGGATTTTCGCAAAAAAATTAATATTTTTCGAAAAAGATAAAATATTTCATTTTATTTCAGGAGATTGGAGAACAGGAACAGCCAGGGTTTTATGAGCCGGTAGAATCAATCCAACAGTATATGAGACAGGACCAAGTTGGCAAGTGAGTTTAAACTTTTGGTAGTTCAAATTTTTAACAAACCATGATTGAAATGTAATTTGGATAACATTTTGGTCTACAATCGATGACACGTTTAACGAGAAAAAAATAAAAAATAATTTTTATCTTTCAAAACTCTCTCCCGTCTAATATGACGTCACTTTTCTGACTAACTGACTTAATACATTCGCAAGCGGGGGGCTTGTGAGGCTGGAGCTCCCCAAAAATTCTCAAACTGTAGTATATTTCCTTTATAACTGTGTATTTAATGAAAAGGAATACAATGGACAGCCCCCTAAATATAAATTTCTTTCCGACGGCCCTGGTAGTGAGTGATATCAACTCCTAATCTTTCCGCACTATACTAAACCCGGGCTCAGCCCACCTTGGCCGACTCGACCTTTCTCAGCCCTTTTCAGAACCTAGGCCAAGCAAATTTCACTGCACCTGCATGCGTTGTGCATGATTGAAGACATATTGACAGCAACCTATGTGCGAAACCTAAGCTGTTATTGTTTATGTAAACTGTGAATTTTTATTTTTTTCAATATCAAATTATTCCTTTTTGGAGTTGTAACAAATATAAATTTTAATTTGCTTTAAGAGACGCGGTCGATGCAGCTGCGAGTCCTGCAAACGATAAGGCGAGCAAAAAGAGAGAAGAGAAAGAAAGGAAGGAAAGGGAAAAGTTGGAAAAGAAAAAGAAAGAGGAAGCAGAGAGGAAATTTAAAAAGGAAGAAGAAGAAAGGAAAAAGAGAGAAAGAGAAGAAAGAAAGCGTATCGAAAAAGAAAGAAAGTCATTCGATGTGAGTTACAATTTCTTTCTTTTAGAAAATAACTTTTATTTTTTCATAAAAGTCCAGAGAAGCTTGATAAAAGATCTGATATATGTATATTAAAAACGATTTTTGACCGCTCGCTCATTTTCAAAGATTTTGTTTGAATATTTTTTCGAACTTAACAGAAGTATTCCTTTTAAATGTTTTGCTTGGAAGGTTATTTGGATATTTATCTGGTTATTTAAAGATGCTTTATCTTCTGAATTCGTAAAACAGCTTGACGCATTAGCAACTATATCTATTTGTTGTAGCTGAAACCTGATGAAGATCCTGTTCCCATTGAACGACATATGGCAACTGCCAGCATGAAAGGCAAAGGAAAGGATCTGGCAATAACTCGTGGGGAGTATTTAGACGTCATCAGCAAGAATAAATGCCCAAAAGGAAAAGTGCTGGTGCAGAACTGTTATGGCAAGCGTACGTAGAAGTCAGAGTCTACTTAGAACATTGTAAGGGAGATCCAGCACATGAAATAGTTTGTTTCGAATCTTTGATTGCAAGTTGCGAAGAATTATTGCATTGATTGTTTAGATAGCTAGTTATTATTGGATAATTTAAATAATTTTATTGGGAAATTGAGTTTAAGAATGAGCATCCGTCTCTGTAAAAAATGGTGACATTTATGCATTGTCACTTTGCAATGGTCTTTGCCAGCTCAAAAAGCGCCAACTTTGGTTTGATGAATGTTAAATATGCACAAGAAAGAGACACATATGCCAAAGATTGTTGCGCATAAGTTTGTTATTGACGTTTTCAGGGTTGTCTTTATTGAGACAATAGGACTTTCCATTTCTGTCTTTGCAAGCATTGAATCTGATCACCGAAGTGGCTAGGTACAATCAAGTATGCCTCAACCTTTTTTTGTCTTTGAATTGCAGTTGGTTTTGTATGGTTGAAAGATCTGGGCATTGACAAAAGGAAGGTAAGGTTTTGTTTTGTATTTCAATAGCAAAATTCTCCTAAAAACTCTTAATTAAAACTCTTATTTATGCCCATGTGTAGGTTGTAATTTTGATTGCAACTAATCTGCTTTACGCTTTTTGATAAACTTAACGTTGTTCATTTTAGTCCTTAATCGAAGCGTCAAGTCCGGTAGCGGCCGTGTAAGTATTCCTGCTTACGTTTTGTTTATCATCATCATCGTAATCATCATCAGTATTTGCCAAATTTGGAGATACTTCATTGAAGTTTTATATTTTAGTTTATTCAAAAGAGTGAATTCTATCAAGTCCCATTATGCTATTTTCAGATGTCTCTCATACTCACGCAACCATCTGATGTTTTTTTCCCGAAAAGAGTGCCCTTAAGCATCTTAAAAATTCATATGTGAAAATTGCTGGCATTTGGTTAATGTTCCATAGATCCCCATAAAAGAACAAAGGTACTAAGATAGGTCTTTTGGACCATGGGAACTGTTCCTTTGTTCCTTTGTGTTAGGAACGTCTCGTCAACTTTAGGATATGCTGCTAACGTGCCGTTATGGGAATTACGGACCTTTGGTCGCTCGCTTTTCCTATACATTCTAACATAAATTTGAATATACGTTCTCAAGTTCCTTCGTTCTGCGTGCGCTAAGTACTTTTGGGCCGATTTTCTTTTGCTTATTTGAGTTTAGTCACGTTTCTCCGGAAAACAGCAAGACGAAATTCACATGTCTCTTGAGAAGTTTCAACCTATATAAGGCGCTGCAAGTTTTCAGCTTGGCCACAAAACTAGAAGATGTCTTCGATGGTAGTACGTTGGAAAGACGTCCCAGGAGCTGCAAAGCTGAAGAAAAAGCTGATGTTAATAGCTAACGTGCACGGAATATTTCAGTGCCCTATTGGTGATTGCGAGCATGAAGGCTTCCGCAGTCAAAGAGGTTGCAGAAAGCACGTTACAAATTCGCATCCTTGGTTCTTCTATTTTGACGAATACCCAAAAGATATTATGGATGATAAAGCTGCGCCACAAAACACATGTGACGAGAAGACCAACGAGTCAAAGGATGGCAGTTCGAATATAATTCCAGATGACGTCATTTTTAGTGAAACGTTTGCCAAATGGATGTGCAGCTCTACCGGTGGTGCTCGCACGAAGGCACACGCAAATCAGATTTGCTCTCGTGTCCTCAAGTTTATTCAGTACTCTCAGGACGATCTTATGCTCGAAGGGATAGAGGGGCCTAAAATTGACTACTATTTGGCTTCAATGGCATGCTTGTCAGCTTTTTTACAACATTTGGAGGATGAGAAATCTATTGGATTTGCTGGGAGCGTTAGTTACATCAATGCTTTGTTGGAAACAATGGAGTATAGAAAGTGTAAAGGAGTGTCAGCTTCCATCTTATCAAACTTTAGTGTTGCAGAGGTATTTTTGAAGCGCGCCAGAAGATGTATTGCTCGTAAGATGCGTGTACAGTGGACTGTAGAATTGGATGTTGATACCTTGGAGAGAAAAGGACATTGGGCATCACTAAAAGACTTACAAAAGGTCATACCGTTTCACATGGGACGATACAAGAAAATAGTGGCCAAATGTCGAGAGCATTCAGCAGAAGTTTCAGCGTCTGATCTAACTTTTTCAACGAGATTTATAACGACATTTCTCTTCTTACGTGTCAAGGGTTCTCGGCCAATGACATACCAATTCCTGACAATTGGCATGCTACGTAGTGCAGCAAAAAATGGCGGATACTTCGACCAGAAGAAATTCAAAACAGCTGACAAGTATGGCTTTGATTCCATGGTCATAGATGACGTCTGCATGCATGTTTTGGACGACTATGTGAGACACGTTAGGCCGAGGTTTCTTCCAAAATGCGAATATCTGTTACTTACGCGCAATGGAACCCAATTTACGAAGCTGAGTCAAGCTATGTGTTTGCTTGTCTATGAAGCTATTGGCAAGTATGTGCACCCAACACATTACCGACAAATAATCGAAACAGAGAGTGCTGATGTTCTATCCCTTGAAGAACAAGAGCTGATCTCGCAAGATCAAAAACATACTTCAAATGTTGCAAGGATTCATTATCGCAAAAAGCGTTCGAGAGTCGTTGCCGAAAAGGGGAATCACTGCATTAAGAAGCTGAGGGGAGAAACTGGAGAACAACTAGACAGCTCTTTGAAAAAACTCGTCAATGTTTCGATGGGTGCAGAAGACTCTTGAGTCGGACTCGGACATTTTCATTACACAGAGCAGTACCAAACCTGTAGCAAAGACAGACAGCGACTGCCAGATGACGTCAATTCGAAAGCGTATAACACCATTCACTGAGAAGGAGGACTTGAATTTGATAAAGGGAATAAACAAACATGGTTATGGCAAATGGGGCAAAATACTTTCGGACCCGAGCTTGTGCTTCGCAGAGGGAAGAGCACGTAACTCTTTGTTAAGACACGTTAGAAGTAATCAATTTCGTTGTATGTATGAAAAGCTGTGTGGAAAAGTTTTGTCGTAGAAATCCTTTAGAAATCAAAATACATGATGGAAGAATGTTTGAATATTTCTTTTACAAAGTTGTTTTTCTGTTCGATTCGTATATACGCATGTGCCAGACGCCTAACAATGATATAAGTTGATTTTTGGCTAGCTCTTCTTCATACAGTTTTGTGGACGTTCTGGCCTTATAATCTCGTAGAGATCTTTGCTTGTAATCTCAGATGGGTGTGCCATACTATACATTATAAAATGTTGGGCTGGGCTTTTCCCTAAAAAGTTTGACAAGGCAGTGAGTGGTCTTCCGTCCTCGCAATGATGTTGGCTTCTAATCTCGGATGGGTGTGCTATACTATACATTATAAAATGTTGGGCTGGGCTTTTTCCTATAAAGTTTGACAAGGCAATGAGTGGTCTTCCGTCCTCGCAATGATGTTGGCTTCTAATCTCGGATGGGTGTGCCATACTATACATTATAAAATATTGGGCTGGGCTTTTCCCTATAAAGTTTGACAAGGCAGTGAGTGGTCTTCCGTCCTCGCAATGATGTTGGCTTCTAATCTCGGATGGGTGTGCTATACTATACATTATAAAATGTTGGGCTGGGCTTTTCCCTATAAAGTTTGACAAGGCAATGAGTGGTCTTCCGTCCTCGCAATGATGTTGGCTTCTAATCTCGGATGGGTGTGCTATACTATACATTATAAAATGTTGGGCTGGGCTTTTCCTTATAAAGTTTGACAAGGCAGTGGCCTTTGATAATGACATCGAGACCACCAGCCCATCAACATGGGAACGAGGTCAAAAGCCTTGGATTTCCTTGCAAACTTATGGATGGAAGCCCAGCCCAATGATACATGTACATTCTATATTAACAGTTGTTACAACGATATCGAGACCACCAGCCCATCAACATGGGAACGAGGCCAAAAGCCTTGGATATCCTTGCAAACTTATGAATGCAAGCCCAGCCAAAAGAAAGGTTTTGTATCTATCAATGAAATGACAATGAGGTTATAAGACCGTTTCATTTCAAGGCTGGAAGACGAACCTTTGTCTGAAACCTATCCACTGAAGCAATTTAAAAGGTTGAATATATTATCTGGTTACAAATGTTCCTCGGGCTAGTCTCTGCATTGTAATATTTGCTTTAAGAATTGAAGCTACTGGCGTGTAAGCATTCCACTGGCGTTTATGATTCTTTTAAAGGAGAGAACGACAAAAATTCACAATTTTACTTCAAAGTTTTTTATTCAGATACACGCTCTTGGGCATACCTATAGTCTTCAATTTAAATGAAATGTGGTGTTCAAGGGGGTCAAGGGACTTATCTAAGACGACAATGTGATACCTATCATTGGACATCATTTTAGCGTAGGGTCTAGTGTTCATCATACATACAATAATTGGAATAGGGAAAATTTTAGTTGACGACTTATATTTGCTACTAAAGACAATGCCATTTTTAATAGCCTCTAATGTTGAATAGTTTATCTTTGCCGATTTTTCCCTGCTGACATCAAACACGATGTATCGCTCTCCGTTCCAGGCATAAGCAGTGTCTTTCAATGTTGTAGAGGTGAAATACAAAGAACTTTTTGTTGCCAGAATGTACTTTGCAAGAAAGGTCTTGCCGGTATTTCCTGTTTCGTCAACAACGAAGGTTATTCTACGTGGCCCCTGGCAGCGAAGCAGACGCAAAACCTCTTCTTGCCATGGTCGTAGAAGTGCATTTTGAAACTTGTCCAAAATCCTTTCCTTAGATTCCTCATTTTGCTGCCGCTTGATGCTTTTGTCAACTGAGGACTGACTATGTATCCAGGTGTCCCCAAATTCTTCCAGCATGGCATCTTCGGTGGCTTCTTGCATACGTCTCTCTCTCATCATTTCCAATTGACTTTTCTCTCTTTCTATGAATTTGTTCTCTCCAATTTCGAAGAATCCTTGCCCACACTTGCACTGAGCCTTGTGCTTCCTCGACGAGCCTCTAGCTATTTCTATTTCCAGTCGCTCTGGTCTCCCGAATATTGAGTATTGTTTCAACGCTGTTCACTCTTTTTTGACATTTGAAAATGATATATCCACGGAGGGATTGTGCTTCCCCTTCGTTGTTCACCTTCGACGCTATAAGATACTCGAAGTCTTCGCTTCGCTGTTCCAAGCGCTCCATAACATCATCTGGAAAACACTTGTAGACAAATGTCCAACACTTCGCTTTCGCTCCTCTTGCTCTCACTGCCATCGTACTCTTACTCTCCCCCAACAAACTGACAGAGTTTCTGCCTGAAACTTATAGGAACCAAGGAATCCCAAGGGTGAAAAAGGAACCAAGGAACGTGAATTTTGGGAAATGGTCATAATCATCATCATTATCATCGTCATCATCATCATCATCCTATCCATTTTGCCGCTTCTTATTATGACTTTATCCGGGAATCTGCTTTTCATTTTATTTCTATGCCAATGGATTTCTTGTTTTGCAGAGTTGCATTTGGTGAGATTGAAGAAGAATACGAAGACGTCTGTTCGACAACACCTTCTTCATCAACGGCCATCATGTCATTATCATCTCAACCCACAACGAAAGGTAATTCCTATCTGTTTCCTTTTATTTTCGGCCGAGGCTCAGCCCACCTCGGCTTTTCATATTTTTTTAATCAAAAAAGCTGGTTGAGGGGGAGGGGTGATTAAAGCAATTTTTTATCACGAGTGTGTCATCAAATAAATACAAGAAACACAGGTAACTATCCTCTTGTCAAACTATCAACAAGATGCATTTGTAAGTTGATGACCTCGCCAGAAAATTGAAAAATTAATGGGTCATAAAATTTTTGCAAAAGGGTACCTGCTTGACCGTCAATGGAGTTAAATTTAGGGATTGGGGCACCCCCAGGTGGCCGTTTGGCCGTTGATTGGGGGTGACCGCTGTGCGGAGTTTTTATGAACATTTGGACATAAATTCAGCAGTGACTTTCTCGACTTGCCGCAGATATGGCTGTTGCACAAGGGTTACCGGTATTAGAGGTTTCACTGTACTATTCTGTTGCAGATAATTCAACTGTGCCGACATTTGCTCATTTTTCCAAGCCAGCTTCACGTTCAAAATCTGCTCCTCAAGAAGAGAAAGTCGAAGCAGTAGCTGAAGGCGGTATATATGAATTTGTTAGTTTCTTCAGAGTGCCAGAAATTGTTGTAAGCGTAGATGATAACCATTGAATGCTAGCAGGGAAGCTTTTTTGTCATAGAACTATCTTTCAGAATCCACGAGCGAGCATTTAGAATCCCTTCAAAGGATATGCAAATTTCGAAATATTGTTGAAAAAGGCAGACCCAGTCATCATTCATCAAGGAATTCTAGAGTTTTTACCTATAAAATTTCACAAGACTGAAATTTATCTTGATCCAAAATTCATGGCTGAACTATTTGTTGAGGAAAAGCGAATCTCTTACGGCCTGACATCATGCCAGTACCAGTTGCATACAAAAAGGGCGTGTCATAGAGACAATCAGGGACACTGGACAAAACCTTACTGACATATTATTTACGCTGATTTGGCTTTAGCCTGCTTTTGCAATTTCCATCACTGGTTGGCGTCTCTACATTGTACTCAAGACCATCGCTAGAAAATTTGTAACCCTAGTGGCGTAATGTCATTTTTCTTGTCATAATGTAAAGGCGATGTCGTTTTTCTTTCAGGTGACATCTATGAAGTTGTCTAAAGGCGTCCTCTTGGTCTGATTTGCAATCAAATTTAAAGTAAACAATTAAGCTCCATGTATATAGAACTACGTAACGCGTCCGTTGGCTTAGCCTCCATTGTTCGTATACTATGTTGATGTTCCTTATGTTCTAGGCGACCTCTCTCGCAGTAAAATAAAGCCGAAAACTCTGAAAACATGAAGTATTTAGATCAGTTGATACAAGTCAAATCCTTTGCTGGTATTTTAAACTGCAATATTTTATTTACCTATGTTTTTATACTTACAATGCACCGATGTCCATCGTTTTTTCAATCCAGGGCGTTATGGCACCGTGTTTGAAAGTTGATGGACAGTTGAAAGGCCTATAGCATTAGATAAAAGGAATAGAATTGATTTAACTTTGTTATGAAGAAAAACAGATTCTAAAATTTTTTCTCCCCTAATAAAGATTTCTTTGAAGCTTAATTGTTTAAATCCGAAATTTAGCTATCAATTCTCCAAAGAAATTTTTCCACTTTAATAGGGGAGAGGGGGAGGGAGGGCTCTCGGGGAATGCTATTTGAAAAGCATACTAAATAGGGTTTTGAAAATATGCCCATAGCATCTTATTTAAAGAATCTAGGCACTTGCTAAGTGTATGTCTAGAACCCTTCAAAGTGCAGGATGATTTAATAGTATAAATATTTTTGCTAGAAATATCTTTTACAGAAAATAGCAATTTTGAATTCCTTCTATATATAGTGTGCTGTAAGGTAACGTCGTTTATATTGAAGTTTTACTTAGCAGATTGTGCGTTTTGTAATATCGTATCGTTCAGGTTTTGTATTAGAATAAAAAACAAATTGGCGTTTTTGTCAGTTATTAATCTGCAAGAATGGAAACTTTTAACGTCTTTGATGGGGTTTAAAATGGCAATGGCGCATTGGTACTGGCTGTAATGAGTTTTTATCAAATCAGAAAATTTGCTGCCATTTTACAATCGTTTTTAAGATAAAGCCCTATTTTGGGTTCCCTGACCACTTAAATGACTTGCAAAAGTATCAGTCTTTCTTTGGTGTACGTCTTTCCATAGAAAGCTTGTTGCCAAGTACCCTGGGTACAAAGCCGAAAAAGATATTATTTTTGCTGCCGTTAAATTTTTGTGGCTCTGGTACCAAGGATAGTTGCGAAGGGACAACAGAGCGAAGCACGTATATTCATCCAGTAGCTGGGCTCCGGGGGTGGGCACTTGAACTTCTTATATACGGCGGGGGTCTATCCAAAATCATCTAAAGTGACCTAACAGAGCCGCCGGACTTAGGTTCGGACAGGGGGGGGGGGTTGAAAAGGGAAAAAAGCCACAAACATCTATTTTTCCGTAACATTGGTTATTGCCAATAATGGTACAGCTTTCATTGTAGTTCAGAAATTTAGAAAAAGCATTTCACAATGCACATAGCAAAAACTGTCTTTGCTAGCGTGTTGACAGCTATGTGTTCCATTCAGGGGCCACACACTCTTTATCCCACTTGAAAGATATTTCAGTCATCTATCTATTTACGGTCATCTATCTATCTACTTACGGTTACGGTATTTACTAGTCTCTATCTATTTCAAAGCGATTCTCAGTCTCTATATATTTCAAAGCTTCTCTATCAATTTCGTTCCTTATCTCTTTCGAAATAATTTTCAGTCTTTACCAGCCAAATTTTCAGGCTCTATCTACTTTAAAGCTTTTCTATCTATTTCATTCTTTATCCCTTTCAAAATAAATTTTCAGTTGTTTTAAGGCAAATTCACAGTCTCTATCTATTTCAAAGCTTCTCTATCAATTTCGTTCCTTATCTCTTTCGAAATAATTTTCAGTCTTTACCAGCCAAATTTTCAGGCTCTATCTACTTTAAAGCTTTTCTATCTATTTCATTCTTTATCCCTTTCAAAATAAATTTTCAGTTGTTTTAAGGCAAATTCACAGTCTCTATCTATTTCAGAGCTTCTCTATCAATTTCGTTCCTTATCTCTTTCGAAATAATTTTCAGTCTTTACCAGCCAAATTTTCAGGCTCTATCTACTTTAAAGCTTTTCTATCTATTTCATTCTTTATCCCTTTCAAAATAAATTTTCAGTTGTTTTAAGGCAAATTCACAGTCTCTATCTATTTCAGAGCGATTTTTAGTCTCTTTTTTTTATCCAGAAGATATGAATTCCCAAGATTACATAAAATGCCAAGTAGTGCCACTGTGGTAGTACGCTGGTCGACCTACGTAATCGGCTGAAAAATGCCTGGCGACATACTGATGAAATGTTTCCCGCAAAAGAGACATTTTCTTTGAGATTCACGCGGGTTTGCGCTTTCTCCAGCAGCATCTAGATTCAGGCTGTTTTACTGAAGATCTTTAAGCAAAATCTCTGGCCGTGAAATGTTTGCATTCAGCAAAACAGAGATATTTTGAACTGTATTCGTTCTACTTTTTGATTTAGGCCGCCTTAAGCTATATTAAACTTAATCCTGGGTATAGTTGACTGGGAAATTTGTGTCAAAAAGACATTTTCACAGGGATTTTTCTGGCATCTGTGACCCGAAATGTAATTTTGCTTGGAATTAGACTCTTTTTAAGCCATCGGTGATATTAACATTGCATAGAAATATGAGATCTTTTGCGTATGAAACACTTAATACCACAATCTGCATCATTACACAACATTAAAAAGTTTTATTGTTTAGCGTTCTGGAAAACCAAAAAGTGTATGATAGAAATATAAAACAAATATGTGCCAAGTGATTTCGTGGAAGGGAGCTTCGTGGTTGTCCCCTCATTAAAATCCAGAGAGATTTGGGGGCTGAGCAGACAAACCCCCTTAAAAAGCGAGCACATGTTTGGCTGAACGAATTCTGTGTTGGCAACCATTTATTATGAAGTAGATTTTCCGTAAATGGGCAATTTCCTGTCAGTCTATTTGGGATGGTGATTTGTTCCCTGATTTCATATACACAATAGATAATCTGTAATACTATTTTATTCTACTGGGTGTGTCCATGTGTATAGCATATAGAAGTTGCCTACGGCGAAGCCCCCTATGTTTTTTAGGACTGCACCCCTATTTGTGCTTTACTTCAGACAAAGAGATTCTACCAAACCCCAAATCTAAAAGGTCCAAACGCTGAAGATTTGACTCCAAACACAATTTTGCAAGCCTGGAAATGAGTCTTTTCTAGATACGCCACTCATTTTGACTTCATATCTCTTTATAGTAGTTCAGAATGGGGGAGATAAGGATGTTAAACAAGAAAAATAGCCTTGGGGCTGAATACATCACAGTTGCATGTGTATGAATTCCAACAAATATCATTCAATTCAACTTGGGCTTTAGAACTTGTGTATTCGAATGTTTTTATCATCTCAATCTTCTTTAATGCAGATGTTTTCACATTTTTATAAAATTTGATACGAATTAAAAAGTAATACTTTCTATAAAATACCGTTTTCAATATAGTAAGATTAAATAAAAAAATCATCTTGAATTTAGTTGCCTAGAGACAAAGTTTATTTCACTTTTCGAATTCATCACCTTCCCAGGATATTAAAGAAATTAATTTTTGCAAGAAAAATAGTTTTTGAAAATTTTTTTTGCAAAATTAGTCAGGTATCAATTTTTGTCGATGGATCAAATTTGATTACTTCACAGGAATCTATTGGAACGTCTGTTTTACAAAGATTTTCTAGGTTTTTCTTTTTTCCATCCACATAATCCTTGAAAAAACCATTAGATTTAAAATTTTCTCCAAGCAAACAATCCACATTTCATGAGTGAAGATATAAGAAAATAGATCTAAGGCAAAAAGAGTGCTCAACAAAAATAAAACAGTTTCTAATAGGGAGAGGTACAAAAAATTCAGAAATAGATGTGTTAAATTAATTAGACGTACTAAAAGAGGATATTTCGAAAATTTAGATGTTAAATTCGTCAACGATAATAAAAGATTCTGGAAAACTATCCAGCCTTTATTATAAAAATGCAAAAGCAAATAAAATCATACTAATAGAGAACGACGAAACCCTGTCTGACAGCAAAATAGTTGCACAGACGTTGAACAATCACTTCGTAAATATTACTGAAAGCCTCAATATAGCCCGACCTTTATCTGATAATGTGCAACAGACGTCTGACGAAAGGACAGCCTCGTCACTATTAGATCAATAGAAATACTTTGAAAACCACCGCAGTATTTTAAAAATCAAGGAAACATTTGATCAATTTCCTAAGTTTAACTTTGAAAATGTAGCTTCCAAGGAGGTAAGAAAGATAATTTACAACCTAAAGGAAGACAAATCAACAGGACCCGATAACATCCCCCAAAGGTTCTTAGAATGGCAATAGACGTTGTCTCTCGACCACTAGGTGAAATATTCAATCGATCTATTTCTGATAAAACGTTTCCCTTTCTTATGAAAATGGCTAATGTGTGCCCTATTTTCAAAAAAGGAGATTCAACTAGTAAAGAGAATTATAGACCAATAAGTGTGTTCCCCTCAGCTTCAAAGGTATTTGAGAGAATAATGTTAAATCAAATCTACAATTACATAATTGTTAAACTGTTCCCTTTGCTTTGTGGATTCAGAAAAGGTTATAGCACACAATATGCTTTATTACAACTTATTGAAGGTCTGAAAAAGTGCCTGGATAAAAAAGATGTGGCTGGTGCAGTGCTTGTGGATTTATCAAAAGCATTTGATTGTTTACCCCATATACTTCTACTTGCCAAATTGAAGTCTTATGGCTTCAGCGACAACGCAATGGAATTTATGTATAGTTATCTAGATAAAAGAGTACAACGAGTAAAAATAAGCTCAGATTTTAGTGATTGGATGGAAACAAAGCAAGGTGTTCCTCAAGGATCAATCTTAGGCCCTTTGCTTTTCAATATTTACATAAATGATATATTTCTGCATTTGAACAAAAGCAACTTATGCAACTATGCAGATGATAATACAATTTGGCTGTCAAGTACTGATATGAATGAACTAACTGACGACTTAGAATCGGAAGCCGCTATTCTTAATAAATGGTTTTATGAAAATTTTTTGGTGCTCAATGGCGATAAAAGCAAGCTTATAACATTTAAAGCCAATCGATCCAATTTAGAGGAATCTAAAATTCAAATAGATGGTTCTACTATAATAGAAAGTAAGAATGTTAAACTTTTGGGAGTAACACTAGACCATCAACTAAGATTAGAAGAACAGATTAAAGTTTTTTGTAAAGAAGCTGGGAAAAAGATAAACGCTCTAGCCAGGATTGCTTCGTATATGGACAAATCTAAGCGAATTATTTTAATTTAAACGTTCATATTATCATATTATAATTATTGTCCTCTTATTTGAATGTTTTGCAGTAGGAAAAGTAATAATCGAATAAACCGGATTCATGAAAGAGCATTGAGAATAGCTCATGATGATTATCAATCAACTTTTGAACAACTTTTAATAAAGAATAAAACAATAACTTCTCATAAGAAAAATTTACAATATCTTGCGATAGAAATTTACAGAACATTTAACGGATTGAATCCACCTTTTATGGATGAAATATTTTCCATAAATGAATGCCCATATTACTTAAGAAACTCCCAATTCGAAACAGCGGAGCCACATTACAAAATATATGGATTTAATACCGTATCATACAGATGTAGCCAAATATGGAACTCAATTCCAAATGAGATAAAGTGCTCCTTTATCAATATTCAAGAAAAAAATCTCAGAATTTACATCGTTTAATTGTACTTGTAATCTTTGCAAGGAATATGTTAGCAACATCGGTTATATTTGATTTATATTATATTTAGCATTGGTAATTTAAATTAGTTGGTTTTAATTAGCTTGTATGCATAGCTAGAAATTGTACCAACTTTAAATAAAGAAAGAAAAAAAAATGAAGTGAAAATCTTAACATCCTCTCCTCAAATTTTCCTGGGTTGTTTTGGAGTTAGCGATTCTTATTACGAACGATAACTATTTTCGATTTATCAACATCCATCGTCATTCCAGATTTTTTCGTACCAAAGGTCTACGAGACTTCTTCACAGCTGACAGGCATCTGCATAACATGAAACTATACTAACTTTCTGTGTATACTTTACTTCGAGTTAAGCGAGGATAAGAAGAAAGAAGAAAACATGTCCGCGATTTTTAACTTTTTCTTCCAATCGCAAATATTTCATGAATTAATTTTTTTAATGAATTATATTTCTGTGCATGAGGTTTCTGCATGGGTGTGTTTTGCAACTCAACAGTGTCTAGAAATGTGTTTCTAAACTTCTAAGGTAAGCTTTCAAATGACACACTATTTCCCGCCAAATTTTTGTACGTCAACCGCCCACGTCAGCCATCTTTGGACGTTCAGTGAAAGTTAGGGGTCTCGAACGCAGGCTACAATCCTTGCCAAAAATACTGGAACGCCTTCCCATTCCAGCATGCAAATATACAAAGCAAGTCTAAAACTACCTTACCAAAATATCATTGCCGCTTCAAAAATTGCGACCCCCTCTCCCCGTACAATGTTTATTTATTTTCTCAATACTTTCATACAGCTTTCAGTGAAGAACTTTTTACCTTCGGGATCAAAACAGCCCAATTGAACAACATTGTAATGTGGGGTAGGGGGTGGGGGGTGAGGGGATTTTTCAAAAAGGGTCCGGCTTTGCGCAAGTGCTCCAACAATTTTGGCAAGGATTGTAGATACGCAAAGGGCTGGCCTGGTTTAAAATTTTTTGAGGGGGCCTTGAGTTAGCCTGCCTCCGTGTAAAGAGACCCTAATTCTTTCTCATCATTATATTACTTTTTTATCCTTGTTTCTCATAATAAAGATTTTTATTTAAATTAATGATTACCACGTTTAGTCTGTGGTTGCTATATCAGGAAATGAGTAGAAACGACTGTGAAACAAGAAGAAACAAGAAGAAACATGTGGAAAACAAGTAGGAAACGAGTTGGAAACAACAAGGCAACAAGCAGAAACAAGTAACTTTGAAATATACAGAAATTGGCAGGAAAAAAATTAACTGAGGCTGCGATTTTATTTATTTAGTGGAAATCTTGCCTTAATAGCTGTGATGATAGTAGTTAACATGGTATTTGTGTGAAAAATTCATTGCAACTTAAATGTTACCAACCTTAAAGAAAGTGACAAACTTTGAGTTAGGTCCTCTCCCCAAACATTCAAACATTGTTCAAGCAGTAGGTTTTCAGCCTAAGCAGCTTGTTTCTCCTCGAATATCAGAGTTCGTTATTTTAGTCTCTGTTATTTTGCATAAAAAACAATATCACTGAGTTTTCCATAACTTGATCTCATGATCTGAGACAACAGCGATCACTTTGGAGAAAGACATGACCGAACACGTAGGCAACTGCAAGGAATGGGACCCGTGACCACGTGGATAGGTAAGCTTGCCTCGATTTGGAGATTGGTCATTTTTGCTAAACGACAAATCGTTTGATGTTGTTTCCTTATCGTTTCTCTTCGTTTGTATTAGTTTCTTGTTATTTCCTTTTGTTTCCTGTTATAGTAAACGCGCGTCTATAGAGAGGGTCGTTTGTGTCTATAATACAATTGTGTTTTTGATAGAGTGTTTTATGATTTGACATGCTATTTACCCCCGTTTTACATGGTCTTTAACAAAATTCTAATGACATTATGCAGGCCCGCCGGAAAGAATAAAAGGCAAGGGGGGCTGTGTGTTGCAAGGGGGCATTTTTTCATCATCATCATCATCATCATCATCATCATCATCATCATCATCATCATCATCATCATCATCATCATGAACAACAACAACTTTATGGGTGTAGTACAAACTTGATACGTTAAAATAATAATAAGAATAATATTGTTGGCGCAAGACAAAGTAATGGAATTCTCCCAAACAATTTTTCATCCAAATCATTTAATTTTATCATTTGGTAAATCCCAGATAATTCTACTTTCAACTGAACAGAAAAAACAAATCTACAAGTCTATAGCAGGGTTCATTTGCCAAAATAGTCCTTCCTCTGGTCGTTTTTCTGTACAAACTTCTTTGCTACCAAATTAATGTCCAATTTGTCAAAATCTGTTTTTTATATATGTGCTGACATAATGTCATTCAAATGGTTTGCTTTTGCTTTGGCCCTTAACCACATCTTGTGTCTGCGTATGGCACTGAAACTGCGCTCGCAGGTAGATGAACTAAGTGGCACTGTTTTGTAAAGTTTAATTGTCCTGTGTACTTCAGGGCATTGCAGTTTTGCCGAGGGCATTGCATTGAAAATATCTTCGACTGTTCCAATACGTGTGACATTTGTTATCTTCAATTCCCTCTCAGCATTGTAAAGCCCTAAAATGGAAGATCATCCAGCTGTCTCTCTACCATTTCTTTGTCAAGAAAACCACATTGAAGAATGGTCAGATCGACTTCTTTATTTTTCATTGACTTTAGCAGTACCTCTTCTATTTGTTTCAGAGTTGATAAATCTTCTTGTTCAAACCTTTGTTCGAGACTGGAAGAAATTGCATCAATAGCTTCAAAGAAGCTTCTGCGCAAATTATCATTACAAGTTATGCCATCTGTGGATGTAGCTGGAAGCCGTTCTGTTAGGATGCTTCATCTGCCTTCCATCCTCCTTGGGACCTTTTTTGGTCGCACTTCATCACTCTTTTCACAGACTTCTACAGTTTTTTGGGACTCTTCAAGAATGATATTGAAATGTTCCATGCACCTCATCTCCTGCAACCGCTAAACAATGTATCGTAAAGAATAAAATGCATAATCTGCAGAAATTATAACTGACTGAAGCTCCTTTGAAAACTTTTTTAAGCAGCCTTCTTGTTGCATTTTAACCAAAAAGAGTGCCCAACGACGACATTTTATGTTTCAGCAAATTGCTAATTTCTTGCTTTGGCATCTCTGCTGATTGATTGGTCAGTTGTGAAAGATTTGTAAGGTTTCCCTTACCTACGCTGTTTTCTCAAAGATTCTATTGGCGGCCTTTACTCGAGTTGTCCATCTGGTAGCTGACAGGCTTTGCAACATCAAGATGTTGCATTCGTTGGTCATCTGCTCAGTCATAAATGCTTCAAATTAATGTTGACAGGCTTCAAAAAGTCCTCTAGGGCCAGGTCAAGCATTGGTAAAAAAGTCAAAGTTCTTCTATAAAGGGCACTCTTGCTCCCCCCAACTAAAAGGCAGAAGGGACGCTTGCTCCCCCTGCCCCCCTCTCCGGCGTCCCTGTCATTAAGTTATTCTATGGCATTTAAATCGCCAGTCTACCGTTTTGTGTGACTTCAAATTCTCTATAACATATATCATATTCCCATTGCTTATTCATTCTTCGTGGCATTAATTATTATATTGCTATATACTTCGAATGGTGTTTTATTTTGTGTGGTGTTTCAAATTTAATATGGCGTTTCAAATTTCATATGGCGTTTTACATTTCATATGGCGTTTTACATTTCATATGACATGATGCATTGCGGGATGATTTGATTTATTTCAATCAAATAGAAGCATTTCATGCTAGTGTAAATTTTTTAGGAGGGGGGAGGGGGGGTGGTAAGATAACCTTTCGTGTTAGCTGAAAAGGTTTCCAAAATTCTCTTTTTTTATCTTGGTCTCTGTTTCTTCATTCTTACTGTGAATGTCCCTGACATCACGCAACCCTATAGGTCGGTAGATTAGGACAAAGGTAGATTAAAGTTACTACCTGAGGCGGCACCATAGTTGCCGGCGAAGGGAGATTTTTTAGAATCTTAATGCTTCAAGGTTGCCGGAAATTGCATTCTGTGGAGCAAATCTTAATAATAAAATTTTATTCTCAAAATGAAAATCAACTGGCGGAAAGCGATGGTATTGATCGACTTCATTCTTGTTTTACCTTATGCAACATAGCTGGATAAATTTTCAAATCTGGGGCAAAATTTTCAAACTTGGTGATAGACAAAAAAATTGACTCTGTTCCGGTCTTCAATATCATATAGAGATATAATCTATGACCAATATTGCAAATTTACATAACCAAATTTGGCCCTTGAAGATTCGGATTTTAACTAACTAAATCCGAGCAGCAAAACACTCCATGGTAGAAGTCGGTAAATCCTGATAAATCATTCTATTTTTGTGAAAATCTAGTATTTTTTTTACAAAAGTGAATTGCTCCTCGATAATTCGATAGGTATTTTAATCTAAAAGATTATGTCGCTAAAAGGTTCGTTCCACTTCTCTTTTTTACCCACAGCTCAAGTTTGAGAATTTTCCAACATAACAATAATTTTTCCGAAGATCTGTCAAATTTTGAAAGCCACAACCCCCTGCCCCCAGTCACATTGCCCCTGGTCAGTCAAATAAGGGAGCTGGCTGCTGAAGGTTTTGTATGCGAAGAAAGGCCAAAACGTGACTCGTGTTCCTTGATTCTCCTTGCCGTTTAACGTGACGTGATTCTCACATTTATTCATTATTATTTTATAAATATTTAAGCTAAATTTAGCTCGTAACGCCACGTTATCTCTGACTCTGAGAAATTGAAGTTTTAGCTGTACGCTCGCCTCAGATCGCTTGGCTAGTCACGTGGCATCACCGAAAAGCGCGATTGACGCGATATTGCTGACGCCATCGAGTTTTGGTTTTGTAAGCTGAAAACTTTGAGAGATCTGTGCTTAAGTCCTCTGAAATTATCATTTTTTGCTTTTATCTCCAAGCAGTTTTACAGTGCTTTACAAGGTAAGTAATGCAAATGGTTTTCCAATAACGATCAAGACAAATATGGAGAATTGTAGCCAGACTTGTTGTTGGCATCGTTACGGGCACCAAGGAAACAGTGTGTTTCCATGGCGCTCTTTCCTGTTTACTTGATAGAAAATAGTTTGTTAATTGGCCTTAATGGCATCTTATAATTCAATTACGAGAAAAATTATCAACTTTGCAAGCTTGTTTGCTTCGCAATTTATATTCGACGACTTCTTCCTCAAGCATCATTTGTATGTATATTGAATTAAAGAATTCAATTACGTCCTAGTTCCTTTTGACATCATGACGACTCAAAAACAATCTTTTCTTTGTTGTTGGCGATGACTTAGCCTGGTCATTAAAACTAGGCATAGAAAAATTGATTAGGGTGAAAATTTCAGACTAAAAACAGAATAGAATCACATTACATGTATACACAAAATCAAATTAGCGTTGAGACGAGTGCCTTTAACCATTATAACCTCATGAAAGGACATCGAAAAAGATATTTATCTTCAATTTCTAAACATTGAGAGTGCTGCAATCTTTGTTCTTGCCTCGTTGGTCTCAAAAATCGTTCAAACATGCATGGTTTGAAGTGGCTTTGTACGTAAACCTCACTTACTGTTTCCAAAGAAATGCACCACTCTTCATAATGGCGGCAATTTTTGCCGACTTTTCAACAATACCATACCAAACATTTGAATGCACGAGTTAGGGCAAAAAGACATAGGCCTTCTTTACAGCATTTTTCGCTAAAAATTCTTGAAAATCTATCTGAACCCATACGAAAAATAAATAAAAGTATATTAATTGCGCAAAAAAGTTTTCATTTGTAGAATTATAGACCATGCCTGAAGGAGAAAATGAGATGAGAGTACATGAAATATTTACAGGAAAGTGGACATTAATTGCTCGACATTAATTAATTGTCATTGCTCGCTAAATACACTTACGTTCAAAAAATATTGGGAAAAATTCGATAAACGAAATATGGCATTGTGTTGGATTCGGTTTGGCAATGGAAACTTTTTCAGATTTGGGCAGTCTTTTTCCAAATAATCTAGGCCTACGAATCCCCAAAGTTGAATAAAAAGTTAAGAAAATGATTCAACTTATAAAGCATAACCTGGAAAGCATAGGATTCTTAATCTTTCTACACACCAGAAAAGCTGCACTCATTGAGCAGCCGACAATTGATGCAATTTCACGAAATCAATTTGCTTTATATTAGTAGAAAGCAATTTGTAAGCGTTTCTCCTAACTCAGTTTTTGAATTTTAAGAGCCTCCAGGTTTCGTCTCAAGGCCTATAGAAATTTGTGGTCGATGTTTTTTGAATTGTTTGGCGTACATAAAAGACTTCGAACATCGACAATGTCTTGTGAAAATTGCATGGAAATAGCTGCCGTTCTTTTTTAATGAGAAAGATTTTAAAAAAGTCTATCCAAGTTTGTTGCATAAAATGTCTTCGAAATTTCGAAATTTGTCCCAATACTTTTTGAACGTAAGTGTAAAACAAGGCGAGGTTACCCTTGGGACCAAGGTACTTCTGACCAAGGGATGTAGTGCTAGGAAGCTGAGCCCCCTTGATAATGCCGAAAAGTGGCAAATTTCTACTTTTTCTATTGTTTTCGCTATATTTTGTGCAAGAGCCCCCCTTTTTATTTTGATAGCATTACACCACTGTCCTGAACCTTTGCTTCTCGGTCCTTGTAGAAAACACGTCACTAAGAGCATTACGGACCTTGTGTTGTAATAGCTTGCCGTTGCATCAAGTATATAAATGCTCTAAAATTTTTTCTTTGATATTTAATTAATCTTCGATTTTTGCTAAGTTGATTTCAAGATTAAACTTTGAAATCTTGAAATAAGAAGCAGAAAGATTTGGGAACAGATATTCTGGGAGATGAGGTGTACTTTGTAAAGGAAATGTAATGATTTTGGGTCGTCTTGGCTGGTTAAATTCTATCAAAGAAAAGGAACCAAAGAAGATGTAGCAAATCTAAGAGGTTCTTGTCAGATGCAAGGCGTAAAGTGTTTTTCAACATGCCATGTTTAGTGTACATTCCCTTGATGAATTTTGAAGATTTTTGGTATTTTTGGGGTGCTCAGCCTGTTCTTGGGGTGTTCAGTCTTTTAGAAACGACGTATAATTCCCTACACAGTGGCGAAAGATAAGGTTGGGGCAGATGTTCCACCCCCAAGTGAATAGAAAGAATTATCTCGTATATCGGGTACTTTTTGCATAGCAAATAGAGATACAAATGATGACGTTACCAAAATCTATTTTAAGAACTTATGAATTTGGATCGAATAGCCTTAAAGAGGATCATGAAATACCTTTAAATGAGCAAAATCAGTCAGATGTGTTACGAATTGGCTGATATTTGGCCACACGTGCACTGGCTCTTCCCCCATCAAACCTCTAATTTCATCTCTGTTCGTAACTTTATGAACAGAGCCCAAATAACAGTGATTCTTTGGCAAACTTCAAATCTCTCATTTGGAATAACCCTTCAGAGCCTCTGTCTAGGCGAGAAAGGCCTCTCGAAAAAAATTCGGAATTCACTGAGATCACCCCCTACTGATCGTGTAGCCTCGCATTCATTTGAATGATATAGAAGCAATTATACAGAAGCGCCGAAGGCGCTAGATGGCTAACTCACAGGTACGCTGTGATGGAAATTTGTTTACTTCCCCCATTTTGAAAAGTGGCAAAAAGGAACTTGCTCCATACTGAGCTCTTATAAATTTGGTAAAAGTAAGGATTGATTTCGTTCACTTGGAAAAATAAGCCGTCATTCGCAAATTCCAAGCATTTGCAGTCGCGGTGCTTGCTGTGGTGTTTTCTGTCTCGTCGAAATTCCAGAAAATAATGAATGATCTGTTTTAAAACGGATCCAGCAACAATGTTTAGCCACTCAATACATTATTTTCTTAACACATTTGTTCAAAGATGTGATTTAATTACATTTTCTTTTTTTGTTTACAGAAACTGCCATGACATATCCACGCCTAACTCTAGAAAAAGCTGAAAATAGGTCATAATTCAATGCTTGGATATTAATAACAGAATCTAAATATAGGAACCAATTTTTGATTTTATATAGTCAATGATATTTTTAGACTATTTCAAAACCACACTCGTTGCTTGTAATTATTCTTCAGCACAATGCTTCCCTCCCCGCATCTTTAGGCCTATAAAATACATTCGGGGTACATTTTCACAACAAAGATAACTAATCGCATTTTCCTAATCATGCCATATTAGGTTCTAAACGACAGACAGAAAAATTCAAGAATTATATATTTAAAATGGTCTATATTATTAGATGATAGACTCATAAAGTTCTTTCTAATTTATATGAAGATAAAAATTGCAAGCACATACTTTCTCAACTCAAAAAAACACGACAGGCCACTGCTATATTCCTCCTGTAACTGCGTAAACTAAAAGAGCCATATTTTTTAAAATTCTGTTTAAAAACCCCAAAAAATTGTTGTGTGTTGTTGATTTATATCTTTTCTAACTACCTACATCAGAAAAGGCACTGAAATAGTTGTGAGCCACGAGAACATCATTCATTAAAACAAGCAATTTTCCATACTGAACTCTATTGCAGCTCGCTTTTTGCCACTATTTAAAATGGCGGAAGTTAACAAATTTGCCTCACTCGGCAGTACGCAGCATGACCCGAGCACAGAATAGGAATTAGGCAGAAGGGGAACTCCTGCCTATCAGGTGAAACATGAAAAAAAACTAGCGCATGCGTTAACTTATACGAGGCTTAGCATGTATCTGTCGGGGAAGTTTTAAAAAAGAATGAAAGTCGACAACTTTATTTGAGACGAAATGTCCAATGATAGTGAACAAATTCAATTATGTATCATAAATTGGTTTATATCTGATTGATGAATTATAATTTGTCATGGCTAAGTTCGTCTAATGAAATCGAGGTTAAAGGGGCATTAAGGAATTCTATTGTTGACTCAGGCTTAAAAAACAACAAAGGAACCGACGAGAGTTACCCTTCTGCCTATTTCCTATTCTGTGACCCGAGTTAGACATCTAGCGCCTTCGGCGCTTCTATATCATTGTCTCATTTTTCTAATTCTCATATTTTTTCCACTCTCATATTTATGGAACTCTCAACTCTCATCTTGCTAACAGATGCCGGATGACAGAGAGCCTTGCAGTCCAAATGTTGTTGTGTTGCCGGTTGAAAGATCGGATCCAGGAACACCAGTTGAAGAGAAAAGCCCTTGCTCTCAAGGTAAATCAATACACCAATGCAACTCGAGGTCTGCTTTTAAGATTTGCCTTAAACTTCGCTGCTCAGCAAGATAGGTTAACCACTTTGTTTTTAGTTGGGCCCTGTGCCCCTGGACTGACAAAACTGCTCCAGGTGGGAGTTTTAATAAATCCTTTCAACTTCTCAATATTTCTCCTTAAATTGGTTACTTCAGTAGTTAAAGAAAAGCTTGACGTTGTTGTTAAAAATTTTGTTGATTGCAATTCAATGAAAATTCCATGAAATTCCACCTTCAGTCTTGTGATTGATGATGGTCAAATATTCTGAGGAACGTCTCATTTTGATTTGCTAACGGTTCTTGTTTGATAATCTGGAACAAATATTGAGGAACTTTCTTTCTTCATTGTGTTAGACTCAGAATGAAAGAGGTCGGGTGGTGCGGAGCGCCGTAATATAGGGCAGCGGTAATATGGAGAAGTGACGTTGCCGTAACATGGGGAAGTCCTCAGAAAAGGCTTTGAACGCGTGTTTTAGTCATTTTCCACTACATTTAACGATAGATCTTCGAGATAAAATCTATCAATGAAATATCTCCCAGAGTTTTATCGATTTACTCTTTGAAACTTTCAAAAAATCTATCTTCGACACTCTAGCTCATTTAGGCCCGTTTTTCTACTGTTTCCTCCACGAATACGAGGTTCATCCGCGCGTCTAACTTACACATTCGCGCGAATATGTGACTTCAGTGCAGTAAGATGGAGAAGTAATTTAAAAAACACATAAAACTTCTCCATGAAAAGGGGCAAAGGCTAATCACAAACTATTAACCAAGTTTATCAGGGTGTCAAAGAATGACCAGTAAACGCATAAATAAGGTTGTTTTGATTGAGAATATTGACTACAGTGAATACTACGCGGAAGGGCGAACCGCGAAAGTTTTATCACAGACTTGAACAGGACAATCTAAACGGGGTCTCAGTCATATACATGTGGCTGTAAATGGTACACTAGGTATCAAAAATGGTACACTAGGATGAACATATGACAATGTTAGTTGTGGAGACGACCAAGTGGCGGACTGGCCCACCGGGACACAGAATTCTGTGACCGGGATACTGGGAAATTTCCCGATGGGCCCCATTCAAAAGGTGACTTTATTATGGTACTTGCAATAGATTTCACCCTTCATATAAAGGCATGTTTCAACATGCCTAAGCCAGAAGAAGATAATCAAGAAAACGTCACAAGACTAATAAGGTCAAGATAAGACATACAAGTCAAGTACAAGTCATGTACTACAAGACCATGTACCCTTGGTAGCAAAGCTTATAAAGAGTCTAGTCGAACAGTTACATATTAAGGCTTAGAAGGTAAAGGAATCATGAACAACTGAAAAATGTTGAATAGAAGATGAATATAGAATGAATAAAGAAAAAAGAGAAAAGTAGTAGAAGCGACCGACCGATTAGCCCTAATCTCAAATAGCGAGTGATTGTGGTTGCCAGGGCCTTGAAAGTTGTAGCGGAAATAGCTTGAATAGAAACGAAAAGATTTGAGGCTGTATATAAATGAGCAAGTCATCAGCCAGAAACCTCTCCTTGAGGGACATTTCTAGGCTTCAATGTGGCACGGCTATTTCTCATGGGCACACTACGTAATCCTTCATCAAGGATCTCAGTCACTAACAGAACAAGACAATTGTCACATCGACATAGAGTACTGGTTGCAGCGTTGTTATGTACCGTAAATCCTCTAATTGCCCCCCTCGAAAATGCTCCCCCTCGAAAATGCCCCCCCCTCGAAAATGCCCCCCTCGAATAAGTCCCCATTCTAGAACCATAAATTAACAATAAGCGCCCCCCCCCCTGGAATACGCCGCCACTGCTACCGTTTATTCTCCAATTGGACCCCTAAATTTGACGGTTTTTGCCATCTGAGGTTGCCTATGGCGTTTTATTGAATTACCACCACAAATTCGTACTTTTGCTAGTTATTAATTAAATGCTCATAATTCCTACTATAATAAATATGGTCTTTTAATAATGTCTTCTTATTATCTACAATAATTTTTTAAGCCCCCCCTCTCGTATAAGCTCCCCTTGAATAAGCCCACGTCCAAAAATATCAAAATAAATAAGCCCCCAGGGGGCTGATTCAAAGATTTACGGTATATGGAAGCATCACGCTTGAAAGAATGGTTGGGCGTGGTGATAGAAGCGCAGGATTGAATGAGCTGACTAGCTTGATTTCAACAAGGTTCGACTGTGGAAACTTTTCGATTTGATTTTGCAAAATAATGCTAAGCTTCTTAATCTTTTCTATGTTACTATTTCTATCTTATTGTTAAATTGTTTTCAACTTCTTGCGCTGATAAGTTTATTCTCAATCGTTGCAAGACCTTTCAAATGTCAGCATAGACGGTGCCAGCAGGGGGCTGGGGAGCTTCAGCTTCCCCTCAATTTTTCGCAAAAAATGTTTTCAACAAAATAAAAAGAATAAAGAAAAGACACAGAAGAAATGGAAAGTGCGATAAATCCTGTAATTTCTTAATTTCATAATAATAGGAAATAAGAGGCTTATGGGGCCTTATAAGTAATGAATTCCATTTTAAGACTGGAATTAATCAAACGTAGTGAAAGCATGCCTTGAAAATAGCAAAATGTTTTGAATTATTGCAAAATATCACTGCAAGAAATATTATAAAATGTATTTTAAGCTTATCTAAAAGGTGTTGTCGCAAAGATTTTTTTGCTCGTTACGCTCGCAGGGAAGACTCTTCTTTCAGATATACCTAGGGCCTCCGACAACTTAAAATTTCATGTCTGCAGGCAAGACTACATTTGGCTACAAAATTTGACTCATTTAATGGAAATAATTCCTTAATAGTAAAATGACATGACAAAATTTCGTATTCAATACCGTATTCAATATCGAAACAATACCGTATTCAACGAATCAGTGTTGCAGGGTCATGGCACATGCGCATTAATAACAGTAATTGCACAACGGTTCTGCCTGTGACCTCGCCTAATTTTCAGACCCCAAACTAGAAGTAAGCCTGGGGCTCAGGCTACCTGTGGCCACACAACTCTTGATCTTCCTGCCAGGGCTTCAAGGAATAACGCGCATGTGAAATGACCCTGAAACGGGGGCTGGTGCAAGTCTGGAAGACGGGTATGAACATCTCCTGAACAAGGTTGAGGAAAAGAGAAAGTCTTTTAAAGAGTGAGGGGAACCTCCGTCCTGGAGTCAAGAGGCATGTGCATAGAACAAAGTCCTTATTACGCATGCTCTTTGACTCGAGGACGCAAGGTTGCCTAGCACATTTGAAGATTCTAAGTCATTCTTCTCCCTAACAAATAATAAATAAGATCTTCAAGTTATTTAAATGAGTTACTTAAAACTGGGTATACTACAGTGTGTTAATTGTATTGTACGATTTATTCAAAGTTAATTGTTACAATAGTGAATAAACACTAACATGATGCACAGGGCCTCCGAAGAAGGGGGGCATGGCCATTACCCTTTTGCAAAACAATAGAGCTTTTGTCAAAATCTTTTGTTATCATTGTGAAATTTCCTCTTGGCCTAACAACTTTCCAACTTGCGTCAGAACCAATGAAGCAGATTCAGGTATTGCATACGGCAGTTAATTTGCTGCAAAAATAACACGTACATTTATTTCTGCCGAACCAAGTCTTAAACAGGTTTTTAAATTTTTTAGAATTTCGGCAGTTTGGATTTCATTTGGAAGCGAGTTCTAGATTCCGACCCTTGGAAACAGAGTGATATGATACAATAATTTGTAGTTCTGTTATAGGATTGTTAATACGGTGACTTACCGAATTTCACAGGTAAGCGGTGTGACCACTTTTCTCCGGTTTTCTTGAACAGTATTACTTTGACAAAAATATTACTTTACTCTTTTACATATTTCTTAAAATTTATCACCTATCTTAGAATCAAGTCAGGAACTATCTGAAGAAAGAGCACCAAATCAAAATGGAAAGAAAATAATCAGTGGGCAGAAAAAGTATCTTCTTTCAAGTTCAAGAAACTGTGGTGAGTAAAAGCATAGTTTTCAGCCATTAATAAATCTGATATTTTGCATTAATTATTATCTCTCTAATTATGCACCTTCAAAAATTGGTGTCACTGGTTTACATGAAAACTGTTAAGATGAAAGCCGAGGTGGGATGAGCTCATTTCGGTGATTTGTTGTTGAGACGATTGTGTCCCTAGAAAATTCACAATATTTTTTCCATTTCGGGAGGGGGGCGAGAAAATAAGGGTTTCAAACTTAGCTGCATAAAAACAATAGAGAAATATTGAGTCGAAATGAATTCATACCGGCTTATGCGACTTATCATAGACAATTTCTTTCTTCGACTTATTTTTGCACGCTGATTGGTGCAAAAGGTATTGCATTTCCAATATGTGACACAAATTTGAGCCCGACCACCAAAAAATGAAAACAATAAAGGTATAAACTATTCAGCTTGCAAGTATGAAATTTTTTAAGAAGCATCAAAATGTTGGAATGAATAAAATTTCTAACAAGTTTTAGACTTGTAGAAATTTGTATTGAATTTTGAGCAATACACATATATTCGCAGAAGAATTAATTTTACTACCAAGTTATTCAAATAAATGCAAAGTTTTTCTGACAGTTTTGCCACTTCACGAAATCATTTAACATCGCGTGTAAATATGATTTTTAGGAACAAGTCTGAATTTGAGACCTGGACAAACTGTTGCGCCCTTTCTCGTCACAACTTCTAATGGAGCGAGATGCATTGTCGTCATAAATGCAGCAACTGAAACAAGTAATTCATCCAAGCCCAAAGAAACACCAAATGGTGACGGGGTTTTTCTTGGAAATAAGGATGTATTTCTTCCACAAATTACGGAGGAAAATGGCGACGATGATATCGAAGCAGGTACGTCCCTGTATTGGCACTCTAGGTTCACCTAGAAAGGCGGCCGCATCTAACGCCCATATCTTTTTAATTGAAACCTATCCTGACAAAAAGGTGCTTATTTGTAGTCTGCAAAGCGATCGAATTGGCAAGAAAACAAAACCTGAAGTGCCATGAAAACAAGACAAGATTGGCCGATGCCAGAAATATTCTTTTACCAATGCAAAAAGTTAAACTGGAGTTTGCTAAGAATGGCTTCTTCTTTATGGGTGCTAAATTTTTCAATTTACTTCCTAAAGATATCAGAGGAAGTGCTATTTATTAAGTAGATTCCTTTTTGTAAGTAAATTATACTTTTATAGTATTTGAAGTAAATAAAATGTTTATAGTTTCCAGCTAATTTTAATTTCATTTAAAGACATTTTATTGGTTTTGATTACATTGTAAGAATATCTCTTCTTATTTACTTATCTATCTATTCATGTATTTATGTTTCTCTTTATCAGGACTGAAAGAACACATGTTGATAGCAGTTTTTATTAATTGAAATGTACATATCCATAAAATATTCATGATACCTACATACTAGTATTCTGTAACTTCGTATGAGAAAAGAGCGAACATGGATGGAATATAACGACGTCACGGTATCATTGAATTTATTCCGTTATGGTCAGATTTTCCTCAGAAAATTGTAGCCTATAAGCCTTACAACTTTATGAATAATTGGAGTTTACAAAAAAGCTATTTTATTATACTACATGCACCAGGTCTGTTTTTCAATCAAAATTAAGGCAGTAACACTCTAAATCCCTTGTTTTTAGTAAGCACCACCTGTGGAGTGTGAGGAGTCAGCTCCTAATGAATGGCATATGGCGGCCAATTTATTTACTTGGTTATTCCTTATAATTCCAGGTTCACCAACCGCCCTAAGTTGTACTGCTGCCTCCTAACATTTTCCTTTTGTCACCAGATTTTAGCGACGAAAATGGCGAGAACATTGTGGGAAGTTCATCTGATGAAATTTACACGATGGAAGGAAAGAAAGCTGTTTCTACATCTAACCAAGGTATGTCCTTCCTTTACAAAATTGCAAATACTTTCCATACAAAATTGCAATGTTGTGCAAAGCATTTCAGTACTCAGATGCATGGGTGTCTGTTTTTTTATAGCGTGAAACTGCATAGACAAACAGGATAGAAACAATGAAACGATTAAAATTTAAATTTAATCACAGAAATGACAATTCTTGGTCTCAAATCCTCCGATCGTGCCGAGTCTTCGGGCAATTTCTTTGTGAGACACTTCTGGTTCTTCAGCTAATTTGCTGAAACCAAGATAAAATAATATGGTTTTGTATACCCTTTTCGGAGGCGAAGTGACGAAGTATTCGATTCTTGATCTATTTTTGGTAAAACCCATTGTTTAGATTACTTCGTCACTTCACTTCGCCTCCGAAAAGGGTTAAAAACACGAAAGTTGGTGAAGGAAAATTAGTTTGGAACCGTACTAAACGATGATAGAAATGTAAGAGCAACGGCTCTCGGGATGCGAAAAAGGAGGTTAATCGAGGGATTTTATTTAGGCTATCTTAGTTCTCTTATTTATCTTGCTGATATAGTGTTTCATTTGAGTTTTTATATTAAAATCTAAACATCGGTCCGGGTACTCAAACGCATGGCAATTTTGGTTATGCAAAATCGTACCCAAGTGCTTAAACAATAGGGTACCAAAACGAATGGTGGAATTTAGCATGCAAAACGGTCCGGGTACACAAACGCATGGCAATTTTGCTTATACAAAAATGTACCCAAGCTTTTAAAAAACAGGGAACCGGAACGAATGGTGGAATTCAACATGCAAAATGGTCCTGGTACAGAAACGCATGACAATTTTGCTTATACAAAAACGCACCCAAGCTTTTAAAAAAACAGGGAACTGAAACGAATGGTGGGATTTAGCATTATGAATCAGAACAAAAATGTTCTGATTCATAATGTTCATAATGTAAAGAACAATCGAACTATTTCTAACAAGGGGGTACTAACAGGAAGCGGTGCTGTGATTTCCCTTGTTAAGTTCATGCAAAAAAGTACAACATTAATGGCGATTCCAAAAGTTTTCTTGATTAAAAAGTGTGAAATTTTAAACAAAAAAGCATTGTGTTCTATTTGTTAAGTATAATGTATCATAATATCGTACTACGATGAAATCACAGGATTTGAAACACATTGCGTTTCACAATGTTGCACTTTTGCATAGGGTACCAAAACGCATATGACACCGGCACCAAAACTGTGTGATTTCTGCGATTAAATCTAAATTGCAAGTATTTATACAAGAAATTTAGACAATCTCATAGGTGTTCAATGTATTCCCAATGTATTCTGCAAAGAGAATCAGTGTACTTTCGCTCTTATGTCTGCCATGTTTAAATTCAGTTTTATTAGGGATGAGGCCGCTTCACACCTCAGATATGTGTCTTACGACGGCCCACTGTGTGGTCGGAACTGGAGCACATGCTTCTGTTTTTAGGAACCTGCAAAGCATATATAATTAGGTGGAAATTGTAGGGGTTTGAGGGGTAACAATACCATTCTCTCCCCTAATTGAATTTATCTTAATGGCGGTACTTTGATCTGGAGGTGGAGTGGAGAATTCCACTAAAGTAGGCGAGTTGAAAAATTTCATTCCCTCAATCTAATTTTGTTGATGCAGCTGATGACGTGGTATGAAAAGAGTTCATCGCATGCTCTTTAAAATAATCTAGTTAATTAATCAAATTGTAATTTAAATTTAAAAATCATGCCTGATTTTAGGTGTGACACGGGTTTGTTGTTAGAATCGTGTGTATTGATTGGCCGATAATAGGGGAAATAAGGAATACATTTTTGCTAGGTAAATTACATCACTACTTGCATTGCCTATTCAACTACTTTCATTGACACTTAAAGGCATTTGACATGCATAAGTACAGCGAATCCAAAAATAACTTAGGCCAAATGGATCAGAGCACGCGCACAAGAAAGGTATTGAAAACCGCTCACGTGAAACCACTGCGCGCTGCTCTAGGATTTCACCGATTTGCAGAAAGACAGGAATTGTTCACGTGTTTTTCTCTGCGTGCAATTTGATTGGTCAACCGCGCGTGGTCGAGTGGCTGTAAGCCACTTTTACCTGTGTCAAATGCCTTTAAAACATAACGAAAACAACAAAACGGAACGATTTTCGAACACAGCCAAGCTGACCGCAGTCATGTGCCCCAGATATCAATACAATTCTTGAATTCAGACAAAATAAAAGTGGAGAGATCTTTCAGCTAATCAAGACTTGAGCGTTGTTCGGGTTCTGCTTTTGTATTTTATGTGTCTTGCAGCTTGTTGCAGCTCACATCAGAACACACAAGGCTGCTTTTTTCTCTAATTTTTGCAAAATTATTGTGGTAGAAACTTTTTCCCAAGATGTGTCATTACTTCGAATGAATAGGGAATTCATAGCCAATCCGAGGTGTTAAACAACTAGTTTTGCCTAGCTTGTTTGTTGTCATAGAATCATGTTGCTTTTTGATGTTTTTGATTGCATCGCACCATCATCATTGTTGCGAATATTAGTCCATTTTTCTAAATTTGGCACCAAACACAGATTCGAAAATCGAAGTTATGAGTTGCCTGCGTGCTTCAGAGTCTTGAACGCAGCCTAAGTTGCGAGGGGTTTGCGGGAGAAGGCTTGTGCATCGTCAAGAGAACCACACAGCATACAAAATATTGGCAAGACTAGCCTTGGTTCTAGAATGTAGGAAACCACAGGTTCGATTGAAAATCCATACTGAACAGAAATACGTTTTCTATTTACCGTTTCTAGTCATTTTATGTAAATCTATAGAAAATATACATGTCGTTAACGGATCTCTGGCTTTTTCACCTGTTTGTGTGTCATGAAGTTTAAAAAGTATTTCAAGTTTGATATTCCTCTCTTATCTTGGGCTGAAAACCTATTTGAGGAGGCCTTAGGCCCTCTCTCGAGGCCCGATAAAAGTTTAACAGGGAAAAAATTTATTCATTTTGCGATGGATTAGAGGAAATACTCGATCAAAATGGCCTACTTGTCCGTATATAAATATCCTGTCTGAGTTGTTGGGGGTCTTGGGAAGGAAAGTAGGCTTACCGTACCCCCCGATCAGCCTCGTTTGGGTTTATCCTCTATTTAAAAAACTTTCCGTTCGAACGGCAAGAAAAGTTGTGTTACTGGTATGTGTAAAGTAAATGAGATCGAAAACTAGCTCGATGAATCAACGTGAATAGTTTGCTCTTCGATACTGAAAGCCAAATGCTACTTTGAGCAACAACTGTTCTTTTCTGAAGCAACTGTAACAAGATTAATCAGCGATCGTTTATATCAGGTAGAGGTAGTTTCGTTCGTTGATATCTATTTGTAATATTGTCTGATGTTGAGAATAGTACAAGACTAGTGAGGATTAAAAATTTCGCGTGGTTCGAGAATGAACCACAAAAATTTGATATTTTGGCATAGAAGGTACAAATTCGAACAGGAATCTCAACATTTCACTGAGCTTGCCCCAACATTCAAAGAGGTCAGTTTCTACAGCTGAGACCAGTGTTTCGTGTCACTGTGGATGGTTGAGAAACTGATAAATCCTCGATTTCAACATGTTTGTAGTAAAAAGCATTTCATCATACTAGTAAAAAACAATAAACTCTTGTAGTGCATTCGTTGCCATTAGCTTCGTAATTCTCCATCGTAGTTGCTTTTGCAATTTAAAATTGGAAGCAATATCTTTCTTTTTTCCAATTGTCTGGTAAAACTTTGGATGAGTAGGCCTTCACCAGAAATGGCGGGGTATAAGAACATTTTACCTATGTAAGACATGTCAAATACAATTCATCATTCGCCTCCTTATGCACATGCATCTGCAAATGTGAAGGGCTTTTCGTTGTTAACTTTTTCTAAAGATTTTTAATAACGAACCGTTTTGTTCGACGATGCCAAAGAGTAGGTTTAATCTGAATGTCCACTTCCTTTGTGCTGGACGTTTCGCTAATGCCAGTCAACCAATTCCCTGGCATGCAATTTGCTGACTTTTCCCCAAAACTGACTTGCACAAGTCGGAAATCTGACGCTAATCCAAATCCTAACCAAAACCCTAATCATACGAAGCCCTAAGCCCCAATTGATAACAAAATTATTCAGATTTTGTATGCATTTGGTTTTATACGTTTTAAGCAGGGATCTTTTATTTCGTGATTTGTATTGTGTATTTCTCTATCATTTTGTACTCGATGTTCGATGATATTCGATAACTTCAAGCTTTTAACCTCTAAACACCGTTGCAGGGTTTAACTCATATTATTACGTTATTTGCCGCCTGCCATATAACATATGCTAGAGAGCACGTTAAGTGAAATGATAAAATCATCGCTTACCTAGCAAATGGTTTGGAATTTTAAAATATAAAATTCACTGGGCAATTTATAATTCATTCGTACAATTCTTTCGTTTATCAATATTTATGCGCAAAGAAACCTTACAACTAAAGCTTGTTACACATGGGCGAGAATGTCAAAAGTGTCTTTTTGATTTATGGAGGTGTTTGGATGATGAAAGCACGAATTACTTTTCACTCTATTGAGAATGTACCCCAGAGCCCCAACGCTGATGACGAGCGACAGTGTTTGGAACATCTTCAGGCTTCTTTCTGTTCAAAATTGTTCGCCAACGAAGAAAAAGCTTAGTGGAAATAGTATGGATCTGGAATCTGCTTCGGGATAGAGAGGGAAAGGCACGAGGATAGAGAAGGAAAGGCACGAATTTGCAATAAAAACATATACTAGGCAAAACGGAAGAGTATTAAAGTATCTAACAACAGCCATTAGGGGGCTGGTGTAGGGGGCTGGTGTAGGGGGCTGGTGTAGGGGGCTGGTGTAGGGGGCTGGTGTTGGGAATGTTGCATTCCCAATTTATAGTTAAATAGTCCATTAAAGGTTTAACTGGTAGATGAAATAGTTAAATCATATTTGACTTCTTGTTTTTAATTTACTTTCGACGACCTTA